GTCGTCCAAGAAAATATAACTAACCGAAATTTCTTCTTCGTATAAGATGTATGCCTGGGTGAAAAATTCGTATGCAATTGGCTCTTCATCACACTTATTCGCAGCCTGATGAGATATGAAAAATCTGTGAGCATTTTACTGAATACTGATGCGTACAAAGGGTGATCTATTTACCTCAGCACATTGCAAGTACAACCGAAATGCCAAATCAGGTGATGGAGCATTAGGTAACGCTTCAATAATCTGCAACAAGCAAAAATTTCCAACAAATAAAGACAAAGAAGTGAAGAATGAAATAGACTCGGAGCCAATACCAGTGGCCCCACTCTACCTATACAACAACTGTCGATTGAAAATCTTCAATTTCCTCAATCAGCTCGTATGAGCTAAACTTGGCCAAGTCTAACTAAAGAAATGTAGCTCTAAAACAAACTGTTATACCTAGAAAAAACAGAAACGAACACTCTAGACACGTAAGAAATTATGAAAAGTTACCTGATTTAGAAATTGGAAGATTTTAGTAGCAGAAACCGAAGCCTCTTTTCCAAAAGGATTGTCTCCTTCCACTGGCAATCGCCTTATTAGCTACAATTCAAAACAAGATTAATAACAAAAGTTATATAAATGTAAGACGAAAAATTCCACAAATTATATCAAGATACACTTCTATGCGGTATAGCAGATACTAGGAAACAACAAAACCATGTAATGGCAAATCAAATTCAACATAAAAAACTATGACGGGCTTTAAAGATTGGCATCAAAACACTTTACACTATTCATTTTGAATAACTTCGTTTAAGAAATCATACCTTTAGAGCAGAAACAACAAGGGGAGGAACGGTGAATTTTAAGCGCTTTGGCCCTCCAGTAAGGAAATGGTTCTTGAGAACACTGATTATCTGAAATTCAATGAAACAGCTTCAACGACTGATAGCCAAAAACCTTAATAGAATGTTGAAGTCCATGATGACTCATTGTGGAAATTAGGAAGCCTAATGTCAACATGAAAACAAGACACATAATGAATCTGAATGTGCAAGAGCTCCATGCACCTTAAACATCTCTTCGGAGTCATCATTATATAACATGTGAATGAGACGCGCAACAGAATTCTGCTCCTCTTCGAAATCATCTTCATCAACCTAAAAGCGTAGAAAGATATGTATAAATGTCAAAATTCAACTTTCTGTTGGGGTTCTGACTATTATTCTTTTTTTTAATTCACATGTAATCAAAGGATAGGTCTTGAAGCACAATATAGAAAGTATCATTGAATGCTTTATAACAACCTCAAGACCTTGCGGCTCATCCAAATCGTTGATAAGTCCTTTAATCAGTTCAAGCAGTGCTTCAACCTACCAAAGTAAAACAGACAAAGAAATTTAATTTTACCACACAAATGGTTCAATCCAAAAGGCAAGGGTGCAGAGGTATCCTACCTTCTCCGCTGTAGTAATGATAGTCTTGTTTTTCATAATGCTTCGAATTATAACTGTAGCCATTATTCTCTTCGTCTCGTTATCAAGGAACTCCATTACAAGGGGATAGTTTGTTAGTTTAAGGGCGGTGACAACATCGTTATACTTCTCTAGGGGAGCACTTAAAAGGGTGACAAGCTCCTTTGTTGCACGGATGTCATCAATCTTTCCTTTTCCTGACAGTTGTTTAATACATGATCCCTGCGCAGAGAAAGTGGAGAACATCAAATTTTACACTCTTTCATCCAATGTACCTTATTCAGCAAAACATTAGTATAAGATAAATAGTAACTTTTCTGAAAAAAGTAACCTGTCAAAAACTTGTATAGAAAGCACATACATAAGATAGAGTAATACAAAAATTGCTGAACCAACATCTGCTAGCAGAATCAATAAACAAGGATAACCTGAATCTTCCCACACAGCTATCAAGACTTTATCAATATTTCAGCAATGTGAATAGAAAGACAATTTTATATACATAATGAGATCTCGAGAGCCATTAAGCACCACTGACAGACCAAGAAGTATCTAAACTTGGCTTGAGAAGAGAACAATAGGTATATAAGAAAACTGACCAACACTTGGTCCGCATAATCAAGCCGATCAGGGTGAACATGGAGAGTAAACTTGAGAAGCGAGGAATATAGGGTTACTGCACTCAGAATTGGCATGTCTTCTTGTGCTTCTATCACCTGCAACATCATAGTATTTCCACTTATATATTTTCCATCGAAGGAAAAAGGCATCAAAATCACAATTTAGGAAGTGGGACAAAAAAATGCAGAACTATGTTAAGGGTCATGTTTTGCAGCGAAATATCCAACACATAGAGAACAATGCAGGTTACCTTTCCAATTGCATTATTCAACTTTGAGAAAGCTTCCACTTGCAGAAAATAAGGTAATACTTCAGCATTTAAGGCAGCATAACTTGACAGCCTCTCCATTAGACGTGAAAGCACTGTCATGATGTCCACTGATGGCTGAGAAGAAAACCAGAGGAAAAGTGAGAAAATAGGATATTACAGCCAAAATAGATAAACGCGAACAGAGCATACTGCTAACTACGAGGGGGCTACTCAGACTACCTGAAGTTGTGGACAAGCCCCAAGAAGTACATCAAGAGTTTGCAAGTGATACTCGTCAGGAAAAACTTGAATGATACAGTCCATTAGGTAATACTGGGCAATCTCATCTCTGCAGTTAACTATCTGAGAAAGCATAAGACAAAAATCAGCACACCTGCTGCAATAAGTTGAATAAGTTAAGTCTGCAAGTGTGTGTGTGTGTGTGTATAGGATATAATATATTACCTGCTCTAAGACTCTAGGAAGAACTGTATCTCTATACATATCAAGGTCCACACCTTCTAACTGACTCAGCACATGAAGGTTTTTTCCAACCTGATAGGAGCGGAAACGCACACTTCCATCAGTACAAAACGAATGGTAGGCACTTTCAGTACACTGTTACGAGCTGTAAGGAAGTCATATTACAAGGTCTCGAAGCTCGCTCCTCTCTTTCTCCCGTCTCTCCTTTTCTCGAGCAGGTCCCTGCAGACCAGAAAGCCCGACAGCAAGCCTCAACTCAGGATCATCAAAGGGAAATGATTCACAAGCAATACAACACCTGCGTGATCAGAACCATGCCCTCATAGTACAATTATATCTCCATGATGCGCATACATTCTGGCAAGCTTGTTTCCAAAATGAGTAGGAGAGTGCTCTAATAATGACTCACCTGATGTTGCATTCTGACCCAGAGTTTATTCATCTCAGTAAAGTTCAGTAGTACAAACTCCACAGCATCATTGACTGTATCAGCATCTCTGTAGAGAGTAGCAAACAAGTCACCAACTAGATGAAACTAGATTTAAGTATGTCAGTAACAAATGTTTCTTGACGGGAATAGAAATGGATAATGATACTAATAAATATCGAACTAATCGACCAGCAACCATCCTAAATGACGTCAAAAGAAACTAGGGGTCTTCGTCTAATAAGATAAAAATTTAACAATAGTGATTGAGTGCTTACCCTTCATACTCAGAACCAATGTCAGGTAATTTATCTCGACTAATCTGCGCAAGGTAACTTCTCAAGAAGAGACCACGAAGAGGATGCTGAATCCCACGGCACATCTCAACAAGATCTTTAAGAATTTCCTTGGCAGGAGCTTCCTTGGTTTTAATATAAACCGATCCAGCTGTACATAGGAGATATCTAGGGAAGGGAAAAAAAGAAAAGAAAATGAAATGATAGTAGTTTAGCAAGAAGAAGAGAACAACTAATATCCAAAGAAGCTAGAAACATTACGTATTGATCAATGAAACATCATTGAGATTATACACATTTGGGCTAAGAACCAAAATGAATTTTAGAAATGGGGATTGTTTCTGTCACTTACAAACGTGGCAATATGTTACCAGCATGCTGAACAAGCTCATAGAGTTCAATGACTGAGCAGCCACGCCGAGTTTCTTCCATGAAGAAAATCTCAAGTTTCCTCAACTCATCAAAAGCTCGCATATCTAAATTAGATCACAAAAAAAAACCCCATTTTAGTTGAAATAAGGGATTAAGCGAAACATATGATCACTCTAGAAAATAAAGAGCCGAAGATCATGCCAAGCGAATAACTCACAGAGGTCATAGTACTTATGAGGTGAAAGCTTCGAAGTCCGCAGCTCGCTGAGCATCTGAGCCGAATACTTGAGAGCATCTTTCAGATTATTCGAGTCCTAATCAACGATAAACAGCACAAAATGTCAAAAATTAGAGTTTCCCTCCAATTCGCCACATCAATTTCATGGTACGAACAGTCCCAATTCCCAAACGAATTTAGAAATTTCTCAAATTTTTCCCACGAAAGAAAAATGGTCACACGGAGAAACGAAGAGAAGTAAGAAGAGAGCAGAATTACAATAGCGCGTTGCATGTAGTAAGCGTTCTGCTTGAAAGCCGCAGCACCGGCTGCGAGCCATTTCTCTTCATCTTCTGCTCCGTCTGCGATCATCTTCTTCTTCCTCTCTAAATCTCGATCTCTGGGTTTCACGTTTATTTTTCATTTGCCAGAAAACGACCTTATGAAGTCTTTCGAAGGGAAATTATGCTCTGCTTCACACGTGTCCTCACTCTCCACCGTTCGATCTACTTAACTTTATATCTAGCGGTCAATAGCGGGCTTACTTCTTATAATGGGGAAAAAACTTAACCAATATACACCAAACCAAGCTAAATCGATAATCTAAACCGAAATCAAACCAAAATTTATTTATTCCACTTTCAGGAGCTTTCCACTTTCAGACAGTGCAAGGAAGTCGGCGTTATAAGATAAGAGCAAAGAAAGATTAAGACTCTGATGTAAAATTGATTTTGATTTACTATATAATCAGTAGCACATCTACAATGAATCACACATTATGTTCCGAGTTTTAAGGCTAATCTAAAATACATAGTAAAACAGTTCCTCCGTAATGCTAACCACTCTCTGAAGTCCGAACCAAGCTTTGAGGAAATCAGAACGGGACGGTGAATGGCAATGCGTGCAGTTCAACTTCCGGAAGAAACCTAGCAGTTGGCCAAACCATCGAACCACTTCCCTTGATGGTCGTCTGATTGCTAACTTGATGATGTCTTTCGGCGCCAAACTTCACCAGCAACCACCATTCTTGATCTTCAGAGTCTGTTGTGAGCTTGCTCTCCACCAGATCAGGCGCCCAGTTCTCGATGAGATTCAAGAACCGCACGGCCGTGGAAGGAGGGCATTTTCTGCATAGCTTTGAAGATGTGATGGTCTCTTGATGACTAGAGGACGGTTTCTCTTCCTTAGGATGACTACATACAGATGATGCTCTCCTCTCTTTACTGAGTTTTGTTGTGTTTTCTCTTCTCTTCTCTTTACCAACAGAACCACTATGATCAGCCTGAGAAGAGCTCAGTTTGTTGTTATCCTTGTTGGTCATCATCATCACCTCAGGATCTTGATCCTCTTTGCTAGGTAACAGGAACCGAATGCCGGATTCTTCAAACCCATGGCAACAAATTTGAAGAAACAATGTCACCATCGTGCAAGCGAAGCAAACAGACCACACAAGTAAACAAACAAACAACTCACCAGAGTCGTAATGTCTACAATCGAGTAGCTGAGTCTGACTCTCATTGCTATGAAGAGTACTATCACAAGAGTTCTGAGACGTTGATTGGTGCTCAAGTTCCACTGTAAGACAGCTCTTATCCAAGAACTCGGCCTCACTACTACCATCATCAACCTTCTTATTACCATTGACGCCGTGTTCATCTTTGCGCTGACTCTTATGACGACGGTGTTTTTTGCTTATATCCGACTCACTTTCCCTCTCCTTCCTCTTTTTATCTTTCTTGTGTTTTCTATCGTTCTTTGCTCTCTTAACTTCCTCCTTTGCCCCCTGGAGTTTCAGACCCCAAATGGAACAACAACAATTAGTGCTTATCCAGTATAAGTCCAAAACAGCTCAGAGGGACAAAGAAGCAGAGAAAGAAACACAAACAATGTGTAATGTGTAATTCTCATAGTGAATACTGAAATAACTCTAAAATTTCATGCTTTTAGTTGTTTACCAAGTCTTTAATCTACTTGAAATTTGCAGCTCAAACGAAGCAATTCATGATTTTTACAGTTTATTCCCATCTAGATTTCAAAATCAAGCTTGTTCTGTTCTTAAGGACGTTAAAGTAATTCAATTTTCAGATAAGATCGAGCAATCCTAGACCAGGGAAGTTGAGCATTGAAAAATCACATGAACCCAGAACATAAAAACACCGAAGGCATGGACTTTCTAATTGCTCAACAAACCTTGATCGATGATGATTCGATCATGGGCTCATCCCGGATGATTTCTCTCTCTACATATCCAGGTGGCGGGAACGGGTAACACCGAGACATCTCACACACGATCTCGTAAGGTACAGATCTCAGGAAACCCTAGATTAGTTAAACGAGAGAGACCGCAAGTGCGTTTACAGAAGAAAAAAAGTTGGGGCTTTTACTTATCCCGCCACAATAATCGGAAAATTCAAATCGAAAGGGACACAATTTTGGTAACGAATTCGAGATCAGAGAAGAACGAAGGGGGGTAACGAAAATTTCCCAGGCTTCGAAGCTCTCCGATCCAGAATTTTTCTCTCTGTTACCTCGAAGATGCTTTATTTATAGAAGCAGCATGATTGCCTTATAACGAACAAAAAGTCGTGTTTGGCAACAAGAATAACATTAAAAACGGCGTCGTAACTATAGGACCCAAGAAACAGGCCCATACATAAAAACCATTGACTTCAGGCCCTATAATTTTTTTGTCACGTTATAATTGTTTTTTTTATTACACCACCGCACGGTCTATGGGAAGTCAGCTATACGTGGTAGATATGTAATAACGGAGAGTGACACATGGCAAATTCGTAACTCACAGCACAAAATATTCGTTTCAGTAAAACAACAACCAAACATCATCACCGAGTCACGAGCAGAGAGCACTATCTTCTTCTTCTTTTTTTATCTTTTGTTTGTGGATAATCCTATCTCTCTGACCTTATTCTTTGTTGTTTTGCTGTCACAGACCAACCATAATGCAATATCCATGAACAAACTTCAAATCTCAGAGTGATTCGTCGTCGTTTTAGTTTCATAACGTAAGCGATAAGCTCTGTTTTCGAGAAGAGGAAATGGCTCAATCATGGGAACAGTTAGGAGAATTCGCTTCCGTGGCGCAGCTCACAGGCGTAGACGCCGTGAAACTGATCGGAATGATAGTAACCGCCGCGAACACTGCTCGGATGCACAAGAGAAACTGTCGTCAGTTCGCTCAGCATCTTAAACTCATCGGGAATCTACTCCAACAGCTTAAAATCTCTGAGATGAAGAAGACTTGTCCTGAGATTCTTGCTCCCCTCGAAGGGCTTGAAGATGCTCTTAGAAGATCTTACGTTCTCGTCAATAGTTGTCAAGATCGGAGTTATCTCTACTTGTTAGCTATGGGATGGAACATTGTTCACCAGTTTCGTAAAGCTCAGAACGAGATCGATCGTTATCTCAAGATCATTCCTCTCATCACTTTAGTGGACAACGTTCGAATAAAGGTAAAAATGAGTTGCATAATTTCTTGTTCTTGATTACATTGTTGGGAGATTGATTTGAATGTTTTTGGAATGTTGATAGGAGAGGCTTGAGGTTATTGACAGTGATCAACGTGAGTATACTCTTGATGAAGAAGATAGGAAAGTGCAAGATGTTATTTTGATGCAAGAATCTACTAGAGAAGCTGCTAAGTCGATTCTGAAGAAGACGCTCTCTCGTTCTTACCCGGAGATGGGTTTCTGTGAAGCGCTTAGAACGGAGAATGGGAAGCTGCAAGTTGAGCTCCAGCGTTCTCGGGCGCGTTATGATGAGGACCAGTGTGAAGTCATTCAGCGTTTGATTGATGTTACAGAAGAAACTGCTGCTGATGTTGATGTTGATCATGATCATGTAAAGGATTTGTCTAAGAAAGATGATTCAAAGAAAATTAGTACTCGGTCAGCTTCGAGGTTAGCATTCCAAATTCATCTTGATATAGATAATATCCATATGCGTAAATGGATGATTAAAGACTAATATTTTGTAGTCTTGTAATTTCATACATTTGTTTCCATACAGATCAACATCTTCTGTTTCATCACAAGACCATGAAGAATGGCACAGTGACTTGTTAGATTGTTGCTCAGAGCCTTCTCTATGTAAAGCCATCTCCAAACCAAACATTGTTGTTACACTTTCAAGATTCATACTCTTTTTTTACCTTTAAATTTGTGAATGATTTAGTGTGTGAACCCGCAGGCTTGAAGACATTGTTTTTTCCATGTGGTGCATTGGCAAAGATTTCTTCTGTCGCAAATAATAGACAAATCTGTAAGAAATCTTGTATAAATATGCATACTTATAAGATTCCAAGAATATAATACAAGAATTTGATTTTTTTTATGGCTTTTCCACAGCTTCAACTGAAGCTTGTAATGAGCTAATGATGTATTCTTTGATACTCTCATGCTTCTGCTATACTTGTTGCATAAGGAAGAAGCTTCGCAAGACTTTGAATATTACGGTACATCAAATGCTTTGTTAAGGACTTAAGGTCGTGTGATGCTGAACTTTTTCAGTCAAAAAAATATGGCTTTCTTGATTTGGCAGGGAGGGTCCATTGATGACTTTTTGTCGCATCTAATGTGTTGTTGTTGTGCCCTTGTTCAAGAACTGAGAGAAGTCGAGATTCGGGGAGCTTCTTATGGTATATACATACACAAATAGATTAACATTTCTTGACATCGATTTCGACAATTCTTGGATTTAATATTTGAGATCGATACAGAGAAGAAGAAGAAAATGACTCCACCAACACCCCAGTTCATGGAAGAATAAGGCTTCTCCAATGCTGAGTCTGAAACAGAAAACGCTTCTCTTTGATGATTTTTGTTACCGCCGAGATGTAACGTAAATTATCATTTTCAGTCGTTCCTTAATTATACTTTTACATTACATGTAAAATGTAAATTATGTAGGTAATGGCATTGATCCTAATTTACATTTTATAACAAAATAAAGGTTTAGGGAGCTGAAAAATGCATTGGAGTAAATAAAGCCCTATTAGCAAAACTAGTAAACTCATGGTTAACAGTGTTTCGAACTTTTAGAAAACATTAGGTCACGCCATATTTGCTCTCAAGGGTGTTTATTTGTCCCTCTATTTTTGGTTGCTAATAAAGTATACTACACAAGAAGTCAATAAAGATAAGTACAATCTTCTTGGACATCATCATCATCAAGACTTATCCCCATCAAGTAACTTGATAGTGAACTATTAAAGAGATCCACAACTATAGAAAGAGTTTTAGTGATGACCAGTATTAACAATTAACAATTGACTATTAACTATTAACTATAATGCAAGAACTACAGTGCATTCATGGATTTGCACTAGAATACAGGTTAAGTAGAAAATTCAAAGTAGTACTAAAGTCAAAAGGGGTTGATACGAAACGACAAAATAAGAAAAAGAAAAGAACTTACATATTATGAGAACACATTTTTTTCTTCTAGATGCTTTTCTACATTACATTACTTTCACAAATTTACCTTAGCTAAAAATGTGCAGCATTTTCTTGGTTTTTCTCTTCTTCTTCATGAGTAACACATAAGACTACCCAAAAATAAAAATAAAGGACTTGTAGATTTCTTTTTCAAAATGGAGACGTCGAAGACCGTTGAAGTGTTTTCTTGGTTTGGTGTTGAGTTGCTTCCGCCATTTTCAACTGCATTTAAAACAGACACAGAGAAAAAGAACTAGGAATAAATCAACCTCAAGTAGCAAGATCTCAAATTCAAAGTCTCCTTTGAAAACAAGAATGCAAATAGTAAATGAAGAGGCTGTGTCATTTTTCTTTTTTTCACTTCTTCATGAAGTTTCTTAAAATAGAGTTAAACATGCAAGATCTCGGTGCTGGTTTTACCTGCTCTTCTTGGCTCTTGAGTCTTGCATTTTCCTTCTGAAGGTGAGCTATTTCAAGCTCCAGCTCGTTTGTATATGCCTGAAAGATAATAAGAATAAAAAACCATATACCATTTTAATACAGAGGAATTGTTTCTTTTCCTTTGTTTAACATGAATTAGTAAAAAGGGAAGAAGAGTAAGGAGAGGCACAATCCTGTTTCCTAGCCCTGGAACGAGCAGCAGATTCTCTGTTCTTGATCATACGCTTATGTCTTCTCTCACCTCTACTTTCATCAGATTGTTGGTCTCTTTTCTTCCCAAAACAACCAAACCTTGCAGGTTCCTCAAAGTGGGTATTAATGGAGTGAGGGTTCAAGCTGAGAAAAGTAGCTGGAGGAAGAGGAAGAGGAGAGCCGTGTAAAGTAGAGGAAGAACAATGTGGTGGTTGTTGATTCAGAGGTATGTTGAGGAAATCTTGGAAAAGGGAGTTATGAGGGTTTTGGTTCCTCAACATTGGCTCGTGAGTGTTTAGCTTGCGATGTTGGTGAAGCGAAGCAAGGTTGATTTCTTTCCATACGTCTTCCATGGTGACTTGAGTCATGTTCTTGACTTGTGAGTGTGAATGAAATTAGTGAGGATATTGATGAGGAAATTGAAAAAGTACTATATATGGTTGATCTTATGCTTTCTGATAACAACATTCAAAAACAGACGAGAACAGCATAGGAAAAAACAAAGCTTTGTGTTTTAGTTTTGGGTGTCAAATGTCTTATAACTTTGACACAGAGAGAGACAAGAGAGCAGAGACTGAGACTGTGAGCTTCTTCTCTCTTAATAGTCATTTCTGGTATTATGATGGTTGGGTCCAGCAGAAGAGACAAAGATGTAACTGTTGTTGAAATAAATAAAAATATCAAAATATGTTAATGATAAAATGCTTGATCAACCAAATAACTTTTCTTGCTTGATCCAAAATGTGATAGTGATAAAACTATAGTTATGACGTCAAACTTTTTCTGTTATTAGAGATAATCCTTTTAAAGTCGCAAGATTGATTATTTACCAATTAGCATGATCCTTAAATCTGGAGTTGGTGGGTAAGAGATTCTTTGGATATAAAAGGTAGCCAATAAGCTATGGTTTTGGTCTCACTTTAATATCACAACTCGACATCCTTTTGATCGCTTTCATGTGTCACCTTTGCTTTAATTCTTACCAACTTTTCTGTTTGTTTTTAACTTTTTAGTAATCATATTTTCAACTTTTACATTAGTTTCTAAAGAGTGGAATCGATCAGCAAACGGGATCAAGTAGATAAAATTAATGCACTACAACAAACCACTTAATATTACGTATATGATGACTAGGTTTTTGTTACATTTTACTACTAATCACCTTATCATAATTTGAGTTTAGCCTCATTTCTAGTTACATTTAGATATGTTCTAATGAAACAAACAATGTATTCATCACCTCGAAATCACAATATGTGACTAACTGACTATAGATGGGATATGAATTTTTTTTTTTTTGGGTGAATTATGAAAAATAAATATTATATATATATATATATAGGTAATGCCGTAATGGAAAGCAACTCTTCTTTGATAGAAGCAACTTATTGGTTGAGTGAAAGATAACTGAGCCTGATTTGATTGATTTACTCTTTTCCCACAATCGAGAGTGCTTAATGCGAAAGGGATATTAAAAAAAAAAAAAAAAAAAAAAAAAAAAATACAATAGGGTCTAAAAAATTATATTCACATTTCCTCACCATATTCTTTTTTCAGATGAGTTTATTGTGTTTGAGATTATTGAGAATACTATTCACTTGTGACGAAAAGATATGTTATCTCTTCCTCACTTCATCATTGATGTTTTATCCAAACAACTTCCACATTTTGTTGTTGGTGTTTAAACTCATCTTTTTGTTCCACAATGAACAAAAAGTACCGGTTCTGATTCGGTCAAATCGAATATCCAAAAGTCTGAAATCTCTAAACCAAACTAATAACCAAGCGAAAGCTAACCATCCATTGTATCTTTACTCTGTCCACCAATAGAAAGACGGGGAGAGGATGACGTGGCAAGCTCCTACGATAGGACAAGTGTCAGGTATGGGTTGCTCTCTACCAAACTTTCACTAACATTGCTTTCTTCGTATTGCTCTTTGTCCTATTTCGACAACTCTTTTCTTTTCATATCTGACTCGTTTTAAACATGACCAATAAATGTAACAAAAAAGAAAGATAATAGATGATTTAGTAGTTGTGACAAAAAAAAGATGATTTAGTAGACGTGACATTGTATGGTGATGATGTTCAATGCGCTTAACATGTTATTAGTTACGGCATTATGAACATTTTAATCTTAAGAATTTGCGGTTGTTCTTTCAGTTGCTAGAAAAAAACTATGTATCGAAATTTATTTCCTAACAAAATAAAATGTTCAGTTTACCGATTGGATTATAGTTTATTACTTGTCGTACAAAAATATTGAAAACACTATGAGATGAAAATTGACCATAAACTCGGTCAATATACAAAATGACGAAATTATTCTTTTGCTTTATCTTTTTATCTTCTTTAGTATGAACTGACGGACAACGAAAATGCCCCATGAGTTTCTTTGACCGTCTGATGCTTTCACTTTGGATATGCATATCTCTATCAGTCGCTTGTCTCTAGGTCGTACGACGTCGACAATGCACAATAGTAGTTGTAATAATTATTACTATTAAAACTAGCAAAAAGCAAGAAGTACGTATGAGTTTAAAGATCCAAATGAATGCTAACCGTTGGATAGTTAAGGTGGTTGTCTACTGTAGTTCTGTACTTCTCAACTTCGATTGGTAAGAAACTTTGGGGAAACTTACTATTTTGGTTTCTCTGGATATTTTTATTTACTGTATTTATTAATGTATTTTAGTAGAGTTTGTATTTTTTTTTTTAAAATGAATAGTTGCGTGTTTATAGTAGGTTTCGTAGACACCGGTGACTGAAGGCTATTGTAATTTTGGTCGTTTCTATTTCAGTCTTCTTCCACATGTAGCTGTGCATATATATATAGCATGTCGATTGTGATTTTTATAACTCAATACTTTCAACGTTTTCTATTGATTTATACATTATTTTAGTAAACGAACTTTTTTTTTGTGGGGTCGTAAAATCATGTATGTTCATCGATATAGTTATATTAAGACTTGCCATAACGTAGACATCATCTTATTGCTAAAAAGGATTAAGGAACTAGGATCCGAAGGAGTATACGAGTGATAGGGCGGTCTATGTTATAACAGAAAAGAAATATGCAAAGACAAAGCGTTTGAGAAACAAATTCTAGAAAACGAATATTGGTTAGAAGATTAAAATGATATCTTCAAAAATATTTTCACTTTTTGGAGTTTGAAAACGAGGATCATCGCATTTCAAGTGCACGATTCCAATTCTAAGGAAGATAAGTGCAGAGAGGTGAAAACAAATTATGGTGTTCTGTTCCACAATCCACCTCCGTACGATCACAACTCTCAAAAGTAAAGTTTTTGGACTAAAACAAAAAAACAAAAGATGAAAGCTGATCAAACGCCATAAATCAGGTGAGTAGCTTACATCATTCCGATAATCAATAAGAAAAGAAAAGTAATGTAAAAATAACCGAATAAGCCAAGAGAAAAAAAAAACAAAAAAAACTCTGGAAACTAGTATGTTAATGTGCATAACCCTATTTTATGCAAAAGCAAACTCAGTCAATCTTGAATGCTTGAGCTTGATCCAAGTTGATGGAGTTTGCTTGTCATTCCATACTCTGGGCTCGGATAAAAAGGAACCCGCAAGTCATGAGGCATTAAGAAACTTCTCCAAATTTGCTTGTTCCTTATTTCATAACCCTGTAAACAAAACAAAAAGACAATTTTTTTTGTAATCATATACAAGATAACAAAATCATACAATATTGGTTCTCTTATTTTTTTTCAGTGATTTTGTAGTTTCAACTATTTGATAAGACAACTAGAAACAATACGATATATGTTTTCACCATTACACCAAACCAAAGAAATCTCGATAATTTAAGCAGTCACAAGGATACATTGAAAAATATACCTTCACTTCAACAACATTTGAACCTTGGAGAGAATCCATTATAAACTGGATATTAGTTGTAAGTGACTTGAGCTGAAAAAATCAACAAAACAAACATATAAGTATAAGGCAAAGAAAAGAAAACAAGAAGTTAAGATAAATAAAAAACTAAAACAACAAAATTTTAGATTAACTAAAATAAGAGAACAACAAATAAATAAGCAGCCAAGTTTACATGATAAAAGAGAAAAATAAATGAAATGATCATGCAAGAAAAAGTAGACCAGAAACTCACCCTTTTGAAATTAGCAATAAACTGTATATGAACAAAGCCCTCATCATTCATGCGCTTGCGCAAGAATTCATCTTTAGATAAATTCTCTTTACTGTTAACAAATGAATATAAAATATGAAAAGTGAAGCTATTTTGTTCACTATTTGATAACATCGAGAGAACGTGTTGAAGTAAAAAAAAATTACTACCTCAAATAATAATGAACTTGATCCATTATTCTGGTTTTAAGGGGAGCTTCTTGAAATTGTAAGAAGACATTAGGAGGAGGTTCGATCAGTGGCATGCGATGAGGATAGTACATCATCAATGGTTTCAATTCTAAAATGAAACATATGCGTTAGAAAAAACTAGTAGAAGTGAAAGAAAAAAAACTCCATATTTTCAGTAAGACTTAACTCACCAGAGAAAACCATAGGAGACTGGTGAAATGGCATATATGGAGCATCAAATCGCAATATAGGTGGTGACGGTTGTGGTGGTGGTGCATGTCTTACAAAATCTGGTGTACTGGTACCTCTTGGTGGTTGTGCAAATCCGCCTCGCACATTAAATTTTGTATGAGGATTCCAATTTTGATTCCATCCATATTCCTGAATGGACCTGCCTCCATGACTTTGATGATGATTCTGATTAACATGTTGATTCTGATTAACATGTTGATTCTTGGGTGAGTTTTGTTGATATTGGTTTTTGTTACCGCCATGAGATTGTGATGCAAACTCGTTCCTCTTGTTTTTGAGGTAGCAAGACAAACTTCGTCCCGAGGGTTGAACAACAGTACTATTGGTAGGACTAGATGCAACACTCGGTTCCAATTGGTGTTCGAGCAAGTCAAATATACCAGTTTCCTAAAACCAAAAACAGAAAAAGTTACATTACTAAATTTGAACATGTTAGAATCTAGAAAACAACATTATACAGATTTAAAATTTTAGACTTTACATAAATGAATTGTCAACAAAAAGGCTTTAAGAAATCGATTAAATGATTGTTTCTAAAGAAAAAAAAAGTTTCACTTATCAAACAATTCAAACCTTGGAGGAAGGAGCAGTTGATGACGATCCATGTCCCAAACTTTTTAACGAGTCAAAGGAAGACTTGTTCAAAGAAGCTTGTGTCGTCTCAGTAAGAGCTGGCCACGACGAAGCTCCCATGACTGGTTTGATCTCAGAATCGCCATTAGAGAGCCTGTTCCAAGCTGGTTTCTTCTCCGCATTACCCTGAGCCATTCCAGAGTTGTCTGGTTTCTCCTTCTCCGCCGGTGCAACAGCTACAGAAGGAAGCGACTCCATTAGTTCCACTCGGCGAGGACGATCTGAGTGAGAAGTATGATCAGAAGAAACAGAGTAAACAGAGGAGAGAGGATTAGAGTTTCTTCAGCGAAACTCTGATTCTACGGGTTCCTGATCAGTATCTTCATCAACATCTATGATCCCAAATCAATAAACATACAAAAACGAAAAATCTTAGAAACAAATAGGTAGAGACTGGAAATATCTGTGAAATAGACTTGAAATTTCTCAGAAGAAGGCGACAAAGACCTGAAGCTCTCTTCCTCTTTAGGTTTTTCTGATTTCTTAGAAGAGAAGGATCCTTTTGGCTGCCGCGTAAATGGAAAATTACATATATACCCTTTAAAGAATTACATGGAAAATTACAAATATTGCATTCAGATTCATAAACTTTGATTTCTATGTGACCTCATAAATCTTATTATATAAAGCTGGATGCGCACGACGTGGTTGCGACACGTAGGATTTTTATAAAATTCAGGATCGCGACATGTGTCACTTTTAAGTTTATGTCCGTTAAGATCGTGACACGTGTCTTAGAGAACTTAAAAAAAAATCCAGATAAATGTTAATTAAAAAAAACGAAATTTAATTTAATCTATTATATCAAAAAGGAAAAAATAATATTTGCCATATCCAAACAGAAAAAGGTTTCTCATTCATCAAATTTTTTATTATATAAAGTTGGATGCTTTTAGATAAAGGAATTAAAAAAAAATAATATATTACAGTTAAAAGAAATAAAAATATATTTGTCATATCCTAATAGAGAAAGGTTTTCCATTCATCAAATTAATATTATCCAAACAAATAATAAAATCAAAATAATGTAATAAATAAAATATATTTGTATAATGTTATGTAATCAAATTAATATTATCAAACAAATAATAAAATCAAAATAATGTAATAAATAAAATCATATTTGTATAATGAATAAATAATGTTATGTAAACTAAATTTCATATAACTGCATGTATAGGTTACTTGAATCCCTATAAAAGAGAGTCAAAGTTTCTCAATCATAAATTCATCAAAGCAAATTCATCAGATCCCTTTGATTCTATTTCTCCAATTTAAAAATCATGTTTTTGAAGTTTTGCGATACATATGATTTTTATAACTCACAAAATTGTGACATTGTTTTAGAAAAAAAAATGAAAGTATGAAGATCGTAACATGTGTCATGGAATAAAAATAATAAAAAAATTAATATGTATAAGACTAAATAAAAATTAGAAAATCAGATAAAAATAATTAAAATGAAAAAAATAATAAATCCATTAAAAGTAATAAAAAACAGAAAACAAATAATTTAAATTCTTTTGTTACATCTATTAAGAAAAGGAAAAAAATGCATTTCGAAAAGGAAAAATATCAATATATATTATTTATAATGGTATGAGGCAAAAACAAAATTGAGAAAGAAAAAATATAAATAGAAAACTAACAAAATAATATTCAAGCAATTAACTAATATTAAAAAATTATAATCGATATTCTAATTTTAAATAGTTTGATTTTCAATTTTTGTTAGGTAAAAAAAATTGAAATAAAGATTTCATCAATTAAAATCTCTTGAATGGAATAATAAAAGTTTGATTAATTAATCAGTTGATCAGATTTAGACATGTGTAAGTGTTTATGTATTGGATAAAAATAATAAAAAAATTAATTCATTTTGTCATATCATAAATTCAAAAGAAAAATCAATTATAATAAAAATGTAAAAGTATTACCAATTTTATTTTATTTAAATATTTTTATCGGGTTTTCAATATTATTTTGTTTACGTTTAAAAATGATCAAATTTTGTTTAATATTTTCCATGCTTTTATTATAAAATTTAAAATATATCCGTGTATACGTGGACGTTAATATATAAACAGGAAGTAAAAATCAATAATCATTTACAGCATAGAAAAAATAATACAACTGTAGACTGTAGTGCATTATTATTTGGTGATTTTAATCCAATCTTCTAAAGAATACTATAAATGTGTGTATAACAGATGGCTAAATTATATATGTGTAATGATAATAATCAAAGGAAGGCCAAAATTGAGAAGAAGTAGAAGAATGAAAGTGAGATGATAGAGAGTGAATAAGAAGAAGAAGACGCCGACGACGTCGTTGGTCTTTGAGAAGGTATGTTCGTGGCTTCTGGCTCAAACGATGAAGCTGGTGGTCTAGCCGAGGAAGAGGAACGGTTCGATGGTAGCCTCCGAGCCGAGGTTTCACCGGTGTAACCTGAGCCATCAAAGTAAAGAGAGAGTGAGAGATTAGAAAGAAGCCAAGATAAGTCTGATGTTAGTGTTCTTGAAGGAAGACGAAACTCACAATCAGATTCTTTCCAGCCAAGAACCAGTTTCTCACGATCAAAGACTACACGATAGCCAGTCATGAAGTTCTCTGCAAATCCAAAGAACAGAGTAAGCTAAACATTTCTCGTTTTGGTTTTTGAGTTTTGCAAAACTGATGATACTTACGTCCGATGATGCTAATCTCTTCGATCTTCATGATGGCTAAACAGTAGACATCTGTGTCCTGAAAACATTCACAAGGAGAGAGGCAAAGCTTAAAGTTAGTTTAATGGCGGACACGGAACAGAGGTTACGGTCTAACTACTAACCTTCATGGGGATTACAACTAACGGGTGATAAACAGGATACGAGCTCCCTCCTTTCATTGTCAGATTCACAGCTGGATACTGAAAGCTGTCTTTGCCTGGACTGCAACCAATACAGATGGAGCGAAGAGTTAGTCAGGTTTTAGCAAGAATCAGAGAGATGGTGACTCAGAGTAAAGAAGGCAACCTTAATGCATAACAGTACTCGAAAGGCAACTCGGAATCAGTTTGATAACGTTTGTCCAGAGCTAGAGAATTAAACTGCAAAGAAAACCATATCAAGTTTGATAACACAAAGATCATACACAAATATACAATATGAGAAAAAGACTTACACTTTCTGAAATCAGAGTGTAGGCTGCATCAGTCAGGTAAGTGAAGGAAGTTCCAGAGTCGAAAACAGCATCAAATTCAAGATCACCAGTGTTTCCTCCAACGGTTATTTGAGTGACGGTGATGTTGTAAGTAGGACTGGGTTAACAGAAGAAACAAACGGAAGTATATTAAAAAGGAGATGGACGAGTTTGGTTTTAAGCATAAAAGAAGATGTGATTCATTTCAACTGCTTGTAGCTTACTGTGGTTGTCTTATGTTCAATGGCGTTTCACGTTGGTCTACGCTACCTTTATCTCCAAAACTGATCCTACCAGCTCCATCGTCTCCAAAACACATTGAGAACGAGTTTGCTGCGATTCCTTCTTTAGCTAACACGCTTGGAACCGATATGTCTTCTAGGCCAAGCCCGAAAAGTCCATTTGGAGCTGCACCATCGTGGAACACACCGGTCTGCACTTGACCACAACTGCTCCACCACAGAGAGATTGTCAAGATGGAGACACAAAGGTTTAAAGTCTTGCCACACAAAAGGAAGAAACTGCTTACCCTAAAGTGACCCGAGCGCGGATAGATTTGGAGTTTCTCTCGTTTGAAACTAAGTGAAGCACATCCTCGACGAGGACTCCAGTTGATGAAGTACCATTTGAAAGATATCTGATCTGGTATGGGCAGTTGCTAGAAGGAGAAGCGCATCGATCACCTCTTGTACATAACGAGCTATTACAAGGAACTTTGTTGCTGGTCGTAGATGCATTAGGGCTATAAATATTCAGGTCCAAGCTCTGTTCAACAATAATAAAGAAATCATTTTTTCAGAGCCCAAAAGCTTACACTAACAATCAATAAAACACAGAATCATAAGAATATCTTGTGCACTAATTATAGTCCATATAGATGCATAATGTGGATAAGTCTAATGTAGGTCTCACTGCATTTAAGTGTTGAAGACTTGGTCAGCAATATTTCTTATCTACAATTTGATACTAATCTCAGCACAAGTGTCTCAATCAGATTCTTCAAAAACTATACCAAAACCTCAAGAGAACAAAAGATATGGCAGCAACATTACCGAGCCACCAGGTGCTTTCAATTCACGAACACAGTTGGTACAGTCACAGGGCAACCAAAACAAGTCACTTCCAGTGTCTAGAGCTACCAGAAACCAATCAGACGGCGTCCCTATCGTCACATTCGCGTAATGCAAACTGTTCAAACAAACATTCGAAAATCAACAACTCAACAATATAAACATCTCCAAAACCTTACAATCACATAAACCACATCGATTTGGAATAAAGCTATGATTTTTGGAAATGGGGCAATAAAAAAAAACGAAATTGACAAAGAATTTTGAGGAAACCTTACAATCCAAGGGCGTCGACTCGAGTAGTCTCATTTCCGTCAGCGAAAGTGACGAGGGATTGATCTTCGGCGGATGCGAGTCTACGGCCTCTGATTAATCGATCGCGATGAGCCATCACTCTGTAATACTTGGAGGAGCCTCGATTAGGCAACCCATCTCCGGGCAAAACCCCGACGACCTGATCCGAGAAACGGTGGTGAAATTCGAAACCGAATTCGCCACTTCCTTCGCATCTATCCAATACCCAGCTCGAAATCAGCATAAGAATCAGACCCATGAACATAATTCTACAGCTCGAGCACCAAACCATGGCGGTTCGTCGTCGGAAAGGTACTCCGCCGAGATCTCGGAAACTTTCTAAACAAACAAAAAAAATCGAAAATTTCCGGGGAATTCGAAAGGCGAGAGATATCGGAGTACCAAGTCTGAATCTTCTCTTCAGCTAAGAGTAACGATAAATTAGGCAAAGAAGGATCGTGAATTGAGAGAGTAGTGGAGGAAGCAAGAAGCTTCAAAATCTTCTCTTTGTATGAAAACTTTGAAGTCTTTTATAAAACAAAAAAAAAATTGAAACTTTGAAGTCAATTTATTTTTCCACGAAAGAACTAATTAAGAAATAAAATGATTTAATTAACGTTAAAAGGTGGCAGGTAACTTTCCTTCTCTACCTCAAAACCGGCAAAAGTCAACGTGGAAGTCATAGAAGTGGGACCCAAAGTCATCTTCCTGTTCTGTGTAGATTCGTAATCCACAAGACCAGAATTATCATGGTTACGCCTTTGAATTATGGTTATACATTACTGTATTTTTTTTTGTCAACACGTCATTGAATTATTTAAGCTTGATAATTAGTTTATGTAGTTGGACCAACTTTTCGTCATTTTCAGATTACTAATGTAATTATAGATTTATCATTTATATAAATGTATGATCCGTAGTCGGTAAAATTAGTTATTCTAGATAGATTTAAGATTCTAACCCATATATAAGACGAGACAAGAAAATGAATACAGAAGGGAACACTCGTGTTGAACTAACAATGTAAACATGAGACTAATACAAAATAAATTATTTATTTGCTTTGAAACAGAAAAGAACAATAGTTTGATTAAAAACTGTAAAAAAGATACATAACTGAATAGTGAATACAATCATTTTAAACGATTTTAAACGTATTGTTAAAGTCGAAGATAAACCACCATGATAAATTCAACTATAATATGCTATTTCTGGTTTCCAATAGAGTTCAACCTTCTCTCTATAAATTCAATTTTACATGAACCCCAAGAAATGAAATCTGTTAGAATGTGTACCTTATCAATCTTTTTTTGGGACTCTTCAAGGGCCTTAGACAAACTATTGGCAGCAGATCGACGCAACATGGCTTCACTTATATGTGTTTCTAAAGCAGCACAGATTTCTTCTCCCTATGAAAAAATACAAACTTAGTTCACCTTTACAAGTTGCTCAAAATAAATATCTCGTAAAGAATTGCTACAAAGTTATAAGGATGCTTGAACTTGTTTTGTTTCAAACTGAAATAAGTTTAGAACACGAGCAACTCTCATGTGGAAAAAGACGGCATTTTTAGTTTTAGTCTTGCCGAAATCCCTTATATCAGATAATTTAGCAGAGTGTAAGCATTCTGTAGGAACCTGTCTAAAAAAATGAAACTACAAAAACAAAAATAGCAAACAACAACAGCAACAATATGATTTTAATCATAACATTTCTTTTTAAAGATATGTACAACATCTAGTTTGAGACTGACCCGCGTTTATTGATACCCAAAGTTATTTGTCCAGGTAAAAGACCAATCCTATCAGCTATATTCCGTTCACTAAAATACACACAATCGTCTTTGGTCACATTATGAAAATACATTAATGCAACAAAAATAAAACTCAAAAACGATGAAGATGGCTAGAAAGTACAAACTGTGTGCAATTTTCCTTCATCTTCACTCTTTTTACCGGCTTGTTCTTTTCAGTATGCTACCAACTTTTTCAGTCACATAATTTATTTGGATGAAATATGTTTGCTAGGATCATTCACGATTTTTCTCATTTGGTCAAAGTAGAGAAAAGAAAATGTGACAAATACGATTTTATTGGGAATTCATGACTTATACATAAGAAATATGCATGCCCCATTCAAATTTGATTTTGCTAGAGACACATTGACAAATATTAACGTCTTGGCATTGCCTCCCAATGAATCGCTCATCAACATTGTTAACTTGTGATTCCTATAAGATAAAGCACCAATAACATCACCTAATGCAAAAAGTGATTTGTTTATATTTTGAGCTTCTTTGAGTTGGCAACCAGTAAAGCCTGACTTTTTTTACTCTCTCGGAACCAACAAGATCCACAAAGCTCAACTGCAAATTTACAAAATAGAAGAACAAACTATTATCCATGATACCACCATAGGAAATAATAATTTCTCATATTATCAAGGAAAATTATGAAGTCAAGGACAATATATGAACAATGATGCTCAAGTATTTTTTTTTGTCTACACGTCATTGGATTATTTAAAGCTTGATAATTAGTTGATGTCGTTGGACCAACTTTTCGTCATTTTCAGATTTTAATGTAATTGTACATTTATTACATTATAGATTTATATAAATGTACGATCCGTAGTAGTAAAATTAGTTATTCTAGTTAGATTTAAGATTCTAACCCATATATAAGACTAGAAAATATAAGTGAAAACTCGTGTTGAATCAACAATGTAAACATGAGATATGAAGCTGATGTCAAAAGACAAGAGACTAATACAAAAATATTTATTTGCTTTAAAACAGAAAAAGAACAATAGTTTGATAAAGAATTGTTAAAAGGATAAATAACTGAATACAATCATTTTCAACGATTTTAAACGTATTGCTAAAGTCGTTTGTGTTTATTGAATACCGTATACGACACACCATAAGCTGATAATAAAACATAACCATCGAATTCTATAAAAGAGAACTTACATATAACTTAAACACCAGTCCACCACAAATAACTTTTCCACTTTGGCTCATATTAAGGCTTCAAGAATTTAGGAAGCTCCAAAGTCCATGGACGTTACGATAGTCGATATATATATAGCATAGGTGATGGTCTCTACTCTAACCAGTAACCAACTTTTTATATATTTTCCCTTTTCATCGCTCACATAGTCACATGGATCTTTTTTTTTTTACTGCAATAGTTGTGAAAAGGAAACTTTGAAATGACTACGAACTCTAAAATCCCCACAACTTTTCAAGCCAGTCCATGACGTGATTAAATTAAACCATTCAAACGATCTACAAAATCAACTTGTTTAAGTGACGGACTTCAAAACAGTGCGTTTTACTCCGATTAGTAAAACGCTGCGCATTGGGTACAACTACAAAACTCTGCGTTTTAGCTCTCACCTTTCTCTTCTTCTAGTTCCTCTCTATGTTTAGGCGCTCTCGCAGGGGAAGTAGACATCAAATTCCTCTCTATGTTCTTCGGAATTTGCTAATCGCTTCAGGTCAGTGATTTTTTTTCCGGCATAAAGTAGTATATGAGCGTTGTTACTCTGAAATTCAAGGAGTTTGAAGTTTCGAAATTTGACTAATGAATAGTGACGTATTAGAAATCTTTCTCCATTTTGTTTGATAGCTCGTTTTAGGCTCAATTGTTCTAGACTCCGCTTAATAATACTGATTTCTCCAGAAAATTTGAAACCTTTGACTCTTGTTCTGTTTCATATGAAAAAATTTGAAATCTTTTTGACTCTTTATATGAATTCAAATAGGAACAGAACAACAGAGGCTTAAGGAAGTGAGACCTGAGATCGATGAGCTTAACGAGTGCTCCAATGCTTGTTGTTTCTGACAGCAACAGTCTTCATGAACCACTCTTGCTTGTATGAAGCCACTATGTATCCAATCGTCAATCCCAATACAATTCCAGGTGCAAACCCTATCCCTGCTGCTATCCAACACAACTTTTCCTCCTCTTCTTCTTCTTCTTCTTCTTCTGATGATGATTCTATAATTTCAGATTCACGGATATCTCCACAAATATCCTTAAGCGAAGCACCAAAAAGTCCTGTGTTTCCCTCGTAGGAAGAGCAATTCTGTCGTTGAAACTGTGTACCTTGCGGTATCGGACCCACGAGCTCATTATGTGAAACGTTTATCCATCCAAGAGAAGAGAGGTCTCCAAGCTTCGGAGGTATCTCACCTGAAAGCTTGTTCTGCGACACGTCTAGTGATTCAAGCGCAGTAAGGTTTGCCAAAGATGATGGAATGTGACCAGTGAAAGCATTTCTTGAAAGATTGAGGACATGAAGCTCCTTCAACAGACCTATAGATTCAGGAACTTGTCCATGGATTCTGTTTCCTGAAAAATCAATGGCCGTGTATATTGTGAGGATACGTTGCATCGCCATCGACACTCCTTTGTTCATCAAGACAACAGAAGTGTAGTAGCCGTAGTCATGAAAATCCCCAATGTAGCTCACCTGCTGCGTATAATCATCATCTTTCTTCGACGTTATCGCGGTCCAGTTCATGAAGTAATCAGACGGCAAGGCACCGGAGAAGTCGTTATGTGAAACATCAATGATCTTCAACTGAGGAAATCCAAACCAAACCCCATTAACGGAGGAGTCATGATGATGTAACATGCCGTGGAGCTTGTTAGACCGGAGGACAAGAACTTGTAGCTTCTGCAAAGAACTCAAGTGGAACGGAAACGTATCGTTGATCTCGTTGCTTTCCACGTTTAGAACTTCCAGAGCAGAACAAAGAGTAAGAGATTCAGGGAGTTTTCCGTGTAGACGGTTGTGACTGACGTCGATGGACCTTAACCTCTCGGCGTTGGTAAATATATCAGGAAGACTTCCGGTGAGGCTGTTGCTATGAAGGTTTAGATCCGAAATAGAAGTCATCATTTGAGTCTCTAAACACCGAGGAATGGAGCCGTTGAAGTTGTTGTTGGACAGGTCTAGGATTGAAGGAGAGGTTAGTTCACACACCGATGGAGGTATCTCTCCAGTGAAGTTGTTCTTAGAGGCAAACAAGTATCTGATAACTGTAGATGGGAGGAAGAGGGGTCCTTGGAAAGCATTTGAGCTTAGATCCAACACATCGATCTGACTTCCAGGTAAAGGGTTTAAAGATCCGTTGAAACCGCTTAAGGAGTTGCTAGAAAGAAACAAAACTTCCAAACCTTGTAGCCTCCACAACCAGTTTGGCACTTGACCTTGGATCTTGTTGTTGGAAATGTCTAGTGTCTGTAGGTTTGCTTGGTCTCTCAAGAACTCAGGGAACTCAGTGATGTTGCAGCCTGACAAATATAGGTATTTCAAATGTGATGGAAACTCCGAACCAGAAGTGATGTTTGTTGTTGAAAGAGGGATGCCAGAGAGACCTAGTGCTGATAGCTGTTTGAGAGAAGAGAAGACACTCAAGTCAAGTGGACTGACTCGGAACTTGTTACGGTAGATGAAGAAGTATTGTAGGTTTGGTAAGAGAGAGATGTTCTCAATCCCAACGATGTCGGTGAGATAGTTGTCCTCTAAGTAGATGTAGGACAGTGAAGAAATGTTGAAGAGAGACGCAGGAATGGCTCCCGTGAAGAAATTATCACCGGCGAAAAAGCTTTCCAGTTTGGAGAGCTGGCTCATGTTAGGAGGGAGAGGACCTGTGAACTGATTGGAACTGAGACTGATAACTCGGAGTTTCGTCAGATTGAGTAGCGCAGATGGGAAGTTTCCGGTGAGGCTGTTATACGCAACGTTAATGCCGACCAGTTGTTTTAGATTGCCAACTGAAGACGGGACTTCACCGGTGAAGTCATTTGAGAAGAGAAGAAGCACTGAGAGTTGAGTAAGCTTTCCAATTGAAGATGGAATCTTGCCAGAGAAGTTGGATTCTTGAATGGTCAAAGAAGTTAAGTGTTTGAGGTTGTCGATGGAATCAGGGATGATGCGTGAGAAAGATGTTCCCACAAGACTCAAGATTTGCAGATTGTTTTGAGGAAATCAGGAAGATAGCCTCTAAGATTTGGATTGTGATCCAATCTAATGGACTCTAAGTTTGGTATCAGAAAAACACTGTTTGGAAACTCTCCAAACATATTGCAACCCTCGAGACGTAGGGATCTTAGAGACCACATGGAAGAAACCTCGTGAGGGATTTCGAAAGAAATGTTCACTCCGCTCATATCCAAAGCTCTAAGGCTCCTCAAGTTTTTAGCAAGGAGACGGAAGAACAAGGGGCTCTCAATGGCCAACAAACTTGGAGAGAATGAAAAAGAAGAAGAAAGATCGAGAGAGACCAAACTGGTAAGTTGAAGAATCTCTGTTGGGATTTGACCTGTCAATGAAGTCTGAGAGAGATTTAGTCTTTGTAAACTCACGAGTTTATGAAACTTAGCTGGGAATGGTGAGAAAGTGAAGTTGTTGTAAGCAAGATTCAGAGTTTGGAGATGTTGCAGTCTAAAAAGACTAGTGTTTGGTTCGAGCCGGCCATGAAGACAACTGCAACTAAGGTCTAGACCGATCACTTTCCCCGAGCTGGTATCGCACGTGACACCTTCCCAGTTACAACAGTCGCTGTTGGTGTTTGTCCATGAGTCAGTCTTGGGATAAGAAGTGACGTTCATCGGATAACCTTCAAAATCAAGAACCTCATCAGGTTTTTGAATCTTGAGCTCGTTCTTGAAATCGAGAAGCGTATCTCTTTGATCTTGATGACACAGGTCAGGTGTAAGAGAAGCAAAAGTGTTGAAGAGATTTAGAATGGAGAAGAGAAGAAGAACAATGGTGCGAAGAAAGAAGCTCAGTGATGAGTAGTATGAGCCTATCATACTTTTTTTTTGTTATGTCCTTGGTGGAGATGGTTGTCTTTCTTTTTTGAAAATGTTTTGTCCCTCTATCAACATATTTAATTCAATAATATATACTCCCTACGTTTTTTTAAGAAGAATTTTCTAGCAATTATGTGTTGTTTCACAAAGATAAATTTTTTACCTTTTTAATGCACTTTTTCAGTTTTCAAGAAACATTGATTGTATTTGTTGGATTTTTATTGGTTTAAAATTATAAAAAGTTGTTTTATTGCAGAAATCTATGCACTAATGATTGTAAATCAACTTTTTCTTAATATGTGTGAAAAAACTAGAAAATTTATCTTTAAAAAACGGAGAGAGTATTCTGTTGATTCTTTTATACTATGTCTCTTTGAAAAATATAAAAAATGTTTCTAAAAAGCTCTCTCTTTGACTAATTAAGTCTTTGCCGATGATCATTTGTAAAAAAGAACCATCTCCATGAGTTCTTCACAGAGCTATCAATAGAAAAACAACATTAAGTAAATCATGCATTGTCGAAAGTATTTGTCCCTTGTTTTTAATTACTCAAAATGTTAGGTGAACTTAGACTAATGATCCACTTGCTAATTCTTATATAATTTATTTGTCGTCCTAGATAACTTTCATGTAAGCAAGTCCAATAAAGATTTGGATTGTTCTTAAAATTTGATATTAATACACAAGGTGTACATGTGAACCGTCTAGGGATTTGTGTCTTTGAGTAGAGTCATTTTTCTAATATTTGTATAAATCTCGGGTTATTAAAGTTGAGAGTTGTTTAGAAGATAAAAGTATAGGGTTTATTGAATTTTTTGTTGATTAGGAAATGCATTATTATGCATCTTTTTCCTTAAGGCTCAAAAGGTCCAACCTCTTGTATATACGCGACACAGACACTAACATTAGCCTCGGATCATCGTCTGGTATTTCATTTAATGCTGAAAATACGTTCCTTAATGTTAATTTCTCTCACATTGCATTAGGATATGTTTCATTTACACTACGCATAAAGAGGTAGTTGCAGGCTTGCAGCCACCAAGGATGAGAAGGCTTAAAGTATTATGTGTTGTCTCCTTAATTCCTGACATTTCATTGATGTACCTAACTTCCTATACGAATGTAAGGTTATACTTGAAACTCGCAAACAAGTAAATAATTTTTTTTTTTAATTATCTAACAAAATAAAGAAGAACAAAAAAATTGAGCGGCTTAGCCGTGTACTTCGCAAAGTCTTTAATAATTTATTAGTTCTTATACTTTTGACCCATTTTTATGGCTATGTTTTCCATTTTACTTTCTTTTTTTTTAGAAAACTAAAAGTATTTATATACGATAAACAATTCAATGTTAGATACAAACTAAATTATCCATAATAAAAAAAAAATCAAGGAAAAAAAAAGCAAAGATGGCTAAGGGCGTATTATCTGTCATTGATTTTGTCACTTGTTTGATGATTTTCTTGGTGATTTTTCCAGGTAATAAACATTATGACTAATAAATTTCATAGAAAACATAGATTCATGTTTTTGTTTAATTTCTATTCATGTGATGTGTAGTTTCATTTTTCTCAAACGAAGCCATACCTTCTAGAATTTTAAATAATATTGAGTTTTAATTTATAACTATCAAACAAAAACAAGTTATTAACTTTAAATGCGTTTGAAAATTTTGTTGCAAAATTATTTTATGAAAATTTATAAAATATAAATATGTTAATATAAGAAACTTTGTTACTTTTTGGTGATTATTTCAAAAAAAAAAAAACAATCAAGGAAAAAAAAACATATAAATTGTAAATGATTTTTTCAAGATATATTTCCTACAAGTTTAACTTAAACAAGAAGTTTTTTTTTCCAAATCAACGATAACTTAAAAAATAAGTTGCACTTTAATCTACTACTCACTACTTTTTTTTACGAATTCCAGGAGAATCTGGGGGTTCTAATATTGATATTACAGAATGGTGTAAACGAAGCATCCGCAACACAACTGATCCATTGGCAGATTGTACTAAGATTAATGGTGTCAAACAGTGTGAAGAAAGATGTATAGGGAAACACCATTTTAGACATGCAAAGTGTTTACCGCATAAAAAGACAGGAAAATTAGTTTGCACTTGTTTTACAGCTCCTACGATTTGTCCTTTGTAGATTTGAATGCAAGAAATAAGAATATAGAACAATGTGAAATTGAATAAAAGCGCCTAATATGCAGGGTTGTGTTAACTTTAAATTTTTAGTTTAAAGTAAATTATTATTCAATGAATATGCTATTTTTTATTTTTTGAGATTAATATATGTTTTTTTCTGTTATTCTTGAGTATATTTTTTAACGTATAATAAGAACCATAGTGTTTCTATTGTCGATTATAAAATTTTAAGTTTTTATTTATTTAAAAAGTGAATATTTGGCTATTGATTTCTATGTATATTTAGTTCACTAACTTCTAATCACTCACAATCACTCTTGCTGCATGATGTTTGAAAATATGCTATTAGTGGATTACTTGCTATTGCTTCTTCGGACCATTCATTACTGTATTTCTTGCTATTGCTGCATGATGTTTGAAAATTTATTAAATTTAAACCTAGTTTCTATAATCTCTATGAAAATTAATTTATCCCCTATATATTATTTGAGAAGGCATTTAAAAAAATAATCTTACTTTTATGTGTTATTAATAAAATTGTCATATGTGTCATCACTATAATGCTTCTCATTATACTTATAACAAACAAATTATTTCTAGAATAATTATTCACATAATTATGCCATTACATTAATATTAATTTGGTTAGATAATAGTTTATATTAATTATTTATAAATAATTCATCATTGAATTTATGATAATATTCTCATTCTTTCCATTCATACCAAAATAAATCATTAATTATTGTTTCAAACACTAGACTTTTCTCTCACTTTTTGTTGAATTAAATTTTGTATCAAATTACATATTGTAAAATAAATATTCACATATTTTACACAAGTTATTGTTTGAATTTTACAAAACAAATATAAATTATTCAAATGATAAAGAAATATGAGTATGTTTTTAAAGTCTCACATTGGAAAGGAAGATGTGTGGTTGTTTACAATACATATTATAAAAGAACCAAAATAATAAGAAATCATTAGATTAGGAATTTTTATTTAATAAACATCCTAGTTTAAATGTTTTTTTTAATATGGATAAAACCACATATATATTAACCAAAGAATATAACTAAAATGTTTTCTAGATCTGCCCCTGATTGGAGTAGCATATGGCTTTCATATGTTAAAAAGTCTGAAGTAGCAAAAGCTTTTGTGAAATGCAGTTTAGCACCTCTCGACATTAAGCTACAAAGACATGACAATTTTCATGGATTCGAAACTGGTTCTGGATAAACCAGTAGCTAGAGACAACATATGCTACACAAACTTCATATTCGGCGTCAGTTAACAGTATAAATGGTAGAGATGGTCAACCTTGACTAATTTGAGCTATTAATTCCGTGGAGCTATTTGAGCTAACTTCCCAACTTTTGTTTGGTTTTATAAATAAAAGTTGGTAAGCAAAAAACCATGTGATAAAAATTTAGAGTACTAGGAGTCTAGGAGTAATAAAGGGTTCTGAGGCAGAGAGTGGACTTATTTTATGGTACTAGGAAAAGTGAGGTCACAAATTTTATAGTACAAGTCATATTAAATTACACGACTGAATTTTAAAGTTTGGTTCTGGACAACGACTTACACCTTTACGTGTTACGTCACACACAAAAAGAAATTTTGATGTTGTCGTTAGGTAATTAGCAAACCACGTTATAGCTTTTGAAAATGCAAGCAATAGAGTGAGTTGGCTGAGTAATATAATCCAGATTATAGGGTGAGTTGGCTGAGTTTAAATCAACAAAGATATTATCTTCACAAATATAATCCACAAAGTTTAATAATGTAGCAGTAACTTATGTAATTTCTTTAAAACTAGGAATATTGTGACTTAACAAATAATATGTTTAAACTTTAAAATTATTTTTGCATTATGTTTTAATTTTAGCGATGATATGTTTAGTGGTATCGTTTTGATCAATTAATTTACGTTTTTAGAATTTGTTTTTAAAGGCATATTATAATTTATGAAACAAATAATATAGTTAGAAATATATCTACCTAATTTTCAATTATTTGCAGTTGATATATGTTTTTAGTTTTTCTTTTTTATGAATATCCAAATTTTTTGTGATCACTGATCATGGATATTTTCAATATCTGCTCCATGCCCATGGCTAATAACAAGAGAGAACAAAAACAACTATACATAACAATTAATAAAAGCACACGAAAGTCCTCTTCTTCACTGGATAATGTTGGAATATATAAAAAAATATATATCCATGCTTAATTATATGTCAACAGTCTAATATTAAACAGTAAACACACACAAAAAAGACTTATAGACTCCATAAAGTTTAGCTCGCTCCCACATATCGGTAGTGTGATTGTCTAATAAAAGACTTAATTAAAATAGAAAAAAACGCTAATTAGTGGGATAGGACATGACAGAGTAGTCATGTGCGATAGACGATTCACCGGTGGTGAACGAAGGAAGATCACTCCGGTTTGTTTCCACGAAGAAACCGGGAGGTTTAGGACTTCTAGTCTCGATAATCTCATTTTCCAGGAGCGCCACCGCGTGGGACATGACAGGCCTGTCATCAGCAAGTTGCTGCACACATAGGAGACCGATTATAATGCATCTTAGCCATTCATGGCTATAATCTGGTGATGAATCTCGTATGATAGGATCTACTAAGTCTTGCCAATTTCCTTGCTCCCACTTTTGCCAAACCTGTTCATTAAAAAAACAAAAGCGGCACTTTAATTTTATTTCTTCTTTTCCTAATTTCTCAAATACCCTAAATTGTATAAAATCTAAAAAAAAGCTTACATGCGTAAGGAAATTAGTGTCCGACTCCACGTATGAGAATTTGGTGTTTTGCTTCCCGCTAACAATTTCGAGAACCATCACTCCGAAACTGTAGATATCTGACTTCATAGAGTAAATTCCACCTTCAGCATATTCCGGAGACATGTAGCCACTGCATTTTAATCGAGAAAAAAATAATAATAAAAAGATAAGTCAAGTTAACTCATGATGATGAAGATAAAGCTTTTTGATGCTTACAAAGTCCCAACATGCTTGGCTGTGATGGCTTCGTTCTCGCTGCTTTCAAAAATTCTGGCCAGTCCAAAGTCTGATACTTTGGCAACCATATCCTTGTCAAGTAGGACATTGGAAATTTTTAGATCTCTGTGGACGACCTTGAGCTGTGACTCTTCCTGTAGGTACTTAATTCCTTTCGCTATCCCTTTGATAATGTTAAACCGGGTTTGCCAGTTTAGCTCACAGCTTTTGTTTTTGACTGCACATAAAACAAACCCGACAGTAAAGTAAATTCCATGTTTGTAGATATAAAATGTGAAACCAAAACCAAAACTTGAGTAATTAAAATTACCAAAGAGATGATAGTCGAGGCTTCCATTCTCCAAAAATTCATATATCAAAACCTTTTCTTGCTGGTGGACACTCCAGCCAAGAAGGCGGACAAGGTTGATATGCTGCAAGCTTGCAATCACCGTGACCTCTGTTTCGAACTCAGCAGTCCCTTGGGTTGACATATCCATAAGTTTCTTCACGGCAATTTCTTTGCCGTCTGGTAACACTCCCTGCCCACATTTTAATGCCAAAAACAACAAGTTATCTATTTATTGGATTCACTGTATTTGATTAAAGAGAGTAATTGAAGAATATCCGTAAAAACGGCTGTACCTTGTAAACTACTCCGAAGCCTCCTTTGCCAAGTTTATTAGAGTCGGAAAAATTTCCTGTGGCCCTTTGAACAATTCCGAAATCGATCGTTTGACCGGACATAATTGTACCGCTTGGTCCAGTAATCTGATAGCCCGCTAATTCAACTTCTGAAAAAAGAAACAGTTAAAGTAGAATCACCAAACAGCACCTACGACTATTATTTTTAACATAGTAATCTAAATTAAATTGGGATATTGCACTGGTTAACAATATTGGAGGCCATAATTTACTATCTAACCATGAAAACAAATAAAAGTTATATTGTATATATAATCTACAATATGTATCAAATTGTCCCTCACATTCCTTCTTCTCTCTCCTCTCTCCTCTCTCCTCTCTCCTCTCTCCTCTCTCATCTCATCTCTCTCCTCTCTCTCAAGATTTATGTCTTCACAATGATTTTAATTCAGCATTAAAATTTTGCATCTATATAGTCAATATTAAAATGTAATGGTATCTTTCAAAGTATTCTTAGATTTAGAGTTTAGTTTTTTTTAGGTATGAAGTTTAGACTTTGGAATTAACAATTAAGTTTTTTGGATTTAAAGTTTAGATATTTGGGTTTAGAATTTAATATTTTGATTTGTGTTTTGGATTTAGATTTTAAGGTTTAGGGTTTAGCTTTTTAGGTTTAGGATTTAGTTTGGGTTTAAATTTGGGTTTAGGGTTTAGTATTGGGATTTAGGGTTTAGTTTTTGGGTTTAGGGTTTAGTAAATAGTATAGTAAAACATAGTGAATAACATAATATAATAATTAGTACTTATTCATTTAGCAACACTAGTTATTAAGCTACGAAATTTTATTCAGTTAAAAAAAATTCAAAACTTGGTAAATGCAGAAAAATAAATTATGATTTTTGGTATAAGGTTATAAATTTTAATTAATGGGTAATATGAGATAAGTACAATTGAAAAGATATGGACTATGTCATAATGGTTTATGTTATTTAGTAACAAATCTATGGACTAAAATGTCATGGCTATATTTTAAATTTGAATGCCCAATACTATATTGTTAGGGAGCAAATTAGCCCAATTAAATTTCTAATTTTTATAAAATCACCTCTAGCTGCGGCTGCCGATGCTGCGGCGGCTGATGCTTTTGCTTGATTATGTTTCTTTTTGAGTAAGCAGAAAACAGCGAGAGCAAAAAGAGCCAAAGCCGGGATTCCGATCGACAAACCAATCACCAATGCTCGACCGTTTTTCTTCTTCTTCCCTGGGAGCCAAAAAAAAAAAAAGAAAAGAAATTAAGTGACAACAGAAAACAATAAAAAGAAGAAAAAATCTGAGGGAGATAAAAAAAAAAAAAAAAATACCAGAAATTTTGACGAGGATATCTAAACCGCCACCATCCGCGTAACGCCGGAGATGGGCCAAGTCTTCTCTCCAGACAAAGCAGTTTGAGCTGCCCATGTGTAGACTATTGTTTATAAGGGCGAAAGCGCGACAGCTACAATCGGCGACGCACAAGCTCCCGCATCTCTTGAGATCCATAGATCCGTAATCAACAGGCTTCTTCACAGTGTATGGATAGCTCATATTCTCTAGCCCAATGAATGTATCACTAGCACAGTTTAGAGGCGTGCTCCTCCGGCACCCATCGCCAATAGTCATGTTGGAGTCACTCTGCTCAAATCCTGGGATACAGGTACAAAGTGATGATGATACGTTCCGGTCACAGTACGAATTAGACCCGCAATAATTGAAGATATCGCATAGGTACGTAGTTGATTCCCAAGCCGTGTCCCATGTGCTTGTGCTTTCGTTCCACGCTAAGTAACTTGCGATTCCGCTGCTTTCCATAAGGAGTCTTGAGTAGGAGGAGACATTGTTTGTTGCTAAGAAAAAGGTCACGTCTTCTCCATCCTGTCTTAATTTAAATAAATCGGCTATTCTTCCAGATGTTAATCCATTCCAGGGTTCGCTCAAGAAAACTGAAAAACCTGTATCCATCATCTTGATGGAAATCCTAGGGTTACCGGTGGTTTCGAGCCTGAGAACGAAGTCTCCATACGAGGGGTCATCTAGGGTTTTCCACGACGTTAGATAACTCTCCGCGTGTACCCTTTCGGAAGTCCGTCCCAGAATCATCCCAGGAAGTAAAGTATCAGTCGGGTAATCGAAGCTTTGCCAAGAGTAATCTCCTGAGCGCTTTGTGTTGGAGTATCTCAGAACGAAATTGCCGCTATCCTGGAGCATTGCCACCACCGGAGATCTCTCGTCTCCCTTCCTCCAATCCGTTGACCAGATTGGCCTCGTGTTGTTGCCAGATTGACTCATGAGAACGAGGTCATAGTCAGAGATTTCGAGGCTTCCCTTAGAACCGCGGAGAGGTTTATTTCTGTTGGAGACCCAAACGTAGGCTCTCTCATGGATTATCTTCTTGTACCATATCCCGAGGTACCAACGATCCTCACCCATACGGAAAAAACCGAGCTCGAACTCACCTTTTGGAGAAACGAGTGTCTTGTTGCTTGTTAAAGACAGACTTTCTCCTTCGGACAGGGTACTAGTACTAGTACTACCATCGTTCAAGGACGAACAAGGTCGTATAAGAACAAGAAGATAGAACACGAACAAGATCACACAAGGACGACTACTGATACACCTTTTTGTTTTTTTTTTTCAGTTTCGAACAAGATTTCATAAATAAACTCTGTTAAAACTAACAACTTTATAGCTTCCGATTATCAAACTCTAAGATCCTAGGCTAAATTAGTTATATCTAGGCCGTTTCTTTTTCCTCGTGCTTTAATTTGAAAGCTTAAGTTTCTAACACATGTCACGTTTTCAAAAACAAAAAATTTGGCCACTCCCCTCTCTTGTCGACTACGTACTTCACATTTGCAAGCTTCTAAAACCCATCAGTTTATAGTACCACACATTACACCATTTATATGAGGTTATTTGGTATACAAATGTTAAGTTGAATCTTGAAATGTCAGCTGAGTAAAGTTGTTCTCAATTGTTTCGACTTTCGACCACTTTTCTTATCTGCTTTAATTTTCTGAATATTCTTTTTTTTTTTCTTACTAACGTTAAATCAGATTCGATGTACATCAACTCATGTAGTTGTTGTTTTAATTTTTTTTTTATCTGTCCAGCGAGTATACTCAAAATGGTACATTACGAAAGACTGCATTTTTTGTTCATGTTTCTCTTTAAATATATCTCTTGATCTCTCTGGAGGATAAGAGACAAAATACGATCTCTTGATCTCTCTAAAAAGATAAGGGTAAAATATTAAAATCGACAACATTTTATTTGTTTAAGTTAAATCGACAAGTATACACTCTGTTGCCTACTTTCATAAATAAAACAACAAACTATCCAATCTCCTAATTAAAATTTTAGAACTATGCACTTTTCTAACTTCCCATAAAGAAAAAGAAAGACTTGGCAACCACCCGACTTAGAATTTACGACATATCATTGACATTCTCTATTCCCTAGTAGTAGTCTAACGTTATTGAGCGGACATGACATCTCTTTCTCTTCTCCACCAATAAAACTCGAGACCTTATAGTATTAAAGGACAACTTTTGAATCTAACTACCGGACTTGGAATTATTGACGAGAGACCGGCTAGTCTCCTCCTAACTCTATATTACAAGCTTTCAGTCAAACTCAAACTTGGTTCTAGTTATTTTATAATTTTTAGTCACATGATGCTTGTAATCGAGTTACATTCGCCTCATGCATTGTCCAACATATGACATATAAAACTTTAGCTTCTAGGAAAATATAATCCTTCCACAAAATAGATCACAAGTTTCAGATACGTACCTTTGCACTGACCAGCTATATATATATTCTCCCTGTCATCACTTGTCAAGATCTAAAACTTTGAAAATGTAGGAAATTTCTAAGTCACGCAATTCTCAAAGTTTCAACCATCGCCGCTTTTAAATTTTCCCTTTTATGTGAAAAAGACTTACGTAAAGCAAAGTTACCACTGTTGGGCTTTTGGTAACTGCAGACTGCATTTTAAAACATCAAGAAATGACTACATTTGACGTAATACAATTTTCCCTTAAAGAAACTAACTCAAACACTATTAGGCATTGTTTTTTTTTATATGTTAAATTGAGTTTCTGTACCATCATTTGATTCTGGAGATTTTAATTCTCTGAGATCCAATGTGATAAAGCTGAAAATACGTTGATGAATGTTGCTTTCTCTCACATTGCTTTAGGATATGTTCCATTTATACTACACAAAAAAAAAAGATGAGAAAGGCTTAAAGTCTCATGTGCTGTCTCTTAAGTCTTTAATTCATGACCTTTTATTGATGTTCCTATAAGTATGGAAGGTTTTATTTTTAACTCACAAAAAAAGTTTACGAAAAAGTTTTTGAATATGCTAACAAAAATAAAAATAGAATAAAAATTGAGCGATTTGACCGGGCCTTTGGTAAAAGCTTCAATAAAAATAGAGATATATCAATCTAGAAACATGTGGTCAATTCGATATTTTATTAGTTCTTATATTTTTACCTATTCGTTGATCATTTTTTATGGCTATTTTTTCCTTTTTTCTTTCTATTTTTAGAAAACCAGAAAATTATTTATATACAACAATTCAACAATCAGGTATTAAGATTCAATCTTAATTCTCCATAATAAAATATATGATAAAAGAAGAAGCAAAGATGGTTAAAAGCATATTATATGTCTTGGTGATTTTCTTGGTGATTTTTCCAGGTAATGGACATTATGACTAATCAATTTCGTAGAAAACATAAATTTATCGTTTGTGTTTAATTTCAACTCATGTGTAGTTTCATTTTTCTCAAATGAAGGCATACCTTTTAGATTTCTAAATAAAATCCAGCTCTTATTTATAAATATCAAACAAAAACAAGTTATTAGCTTTCCGAATGCGTTTGAATTTTTATTACAAAATTATTTTATGAAAATCTTAAAATAATAAAAAGCCATTTAATTTGTAAATTTATATTTCCAAAACAGGAAGTTCTTTAATCTACTGATCACTAACTTTATTACAAATTCCAGGAGGTTCTATGGATTTAAAGCCGAGTGAGGCGTGGTGTAGAAAAAGGCCCATATCAAAACCTAGGGGAAATTGTACTAAAAATAATGGTGTCAAACAGTGTGAAGAAAGCTGTAAAGGGTATAATTTGAAATATAGATATGCAGAATGTAAGGATACGATAGTAGTTGATCCTTCTGACAAAACAAAAAAGAAGAAGGTAACGATAGCAGTTTGCACTTGTTTTTATGATCATCCGAGTTGTCCTAAGTAGATTTATATGCAAGAAATAAGAATAATATATAATGACGTGAATTTGAATAACAATTGCAAACAAGGTCTTGCAAAGATATGAGTACTTTTTATTTATTAGGTTTGTTTTTACAAAACCATGTTTTGTAACCTTTACATTTCTTTAATTATAACCACTATGTTTGTTAAAGTTGTAATATTTCTTTAAAACAACTAATAATAAAGTTCTTGGAATTGTCCTTGGTATATAATGACGTTGTAATATATAATAATAAAGTTGTAATATATAATGACGCGAAATTTGAATAACAACAATTGCAAACAAGCTCTCGTGCTTTTTATATATTAGAACACATTGGTTTAATTTAGGGGGACTAGGAGAAGTAGTTGAAATAAATTTGCTCAAGTCCATATAAACTACGATTGTTGCAATTTGGTTGTTGATCTTAAATATTTTTAGGTAATTAGCAAATCACATTAAAGAGTGTTTTTAATATCAATGTACTTAGTTTGGTACTAATACCATCTAGTACCATCGTTCGATGGTTTCTGTCTCTTGCATGACCTCACAAGATATAAAACAAAAAGGCAACAAAAGTTCTTAGCTTCTGGCTAATGGAACACAACAGAGAAAAAAAAAAAGTCTTCTTTTTTTGTGAGTATGTGTGTTTTTTGTTTATACATCTGCTGACTAAACATAACATTAAGTTTTAAGAACATACGTCGTACGGTAAATTAGATTGCTAGTAGTAAACTCTAAGACCAACTCCAATCGAACGGCATAACGGCATATTTGGTGCAGAATCATCTCCAATCACACGGCAAACTTCACACCAAATCTTTTTTTTTGGTGTTTTGTGAACAGTGTCACACCATATTTGGTGTGACACTGTTCACAAAACACCAAAAAATATTCTTTTTTTTTTCATTTATCTTTTAATAAAATAAGTGTTATATTAATAAAATAAGTATTTGTTTATTGAGTAACTAAGTGTATTTTAAGTTTAAAAAAAGTTGCTATTTAAAAATGATAAAACATTTTTATATTTTGCATTTTAAATTATAATTATAACTAGTATTCCACACAAAATATAAGTTAAACATAAATTATAACTAAAAATACATATTGAAATTCAACAAAAAACATTGGAAAACATAGGATTACAAAATTAAAAACAAACAAACATAAGAAAAATACTTAAATGCAACAATTTATTTTTTAAGAACATAATCTAATTTCCGGGAAAATAATTTCCGTCTCCACCAAGATAACGATAGTATTGGGTAAAATCTTGTGGATCATTTGGTGCTCTTTCATCTCCACCTTCAACGTGGTTTCCTTGAAATTGGTTTCCTTGAGTTTGATCTCCTTGATTTTGAGATGCTCGATATTGGCTGTGAGAACCTTCTCCGTGTTCTTCATATTGGTCTGTTGGTGCTCTTCTTTTCAAAATTTTCTCTCTTTCATTTTCGATATACGCACGACACCCTGGATCACTTATAGAATTTAAATCTGTAAATAATATTCTATTTTCTTCTTTCATTTTTGCTACCTGCACCTTCTGTCTTTGAATTTCGTTTCTCTCGGCAGTACCTTTAGAAATAGCTTTGATAAGCTTATCACTTTGCTCCATCATTTGTTTAAATTGATCTGAAGATTGTTGTTGTTTCTTTGCTTTCTTCACACCAATAGGTCGCTGAGAGGAATTAAAAGTGGTTTCTTCACTACTCATATTTAGATCAAATGAACTCATACCATGCGATGGCGATGACTCATCTTGGAATGATTGAGATGACATGACATTACGGCGTTCTTCTTGAAATGCAGTGGTTCTACTAGTGTGGTTGCTTGCAAATTTCTCAATACCTTTGAGAATAGGCCATACATGATCAAATTTGAATCCTGTCTTGTATTTGACATCTTGTCTTAACAACATCTTTGCTTGGTTTAACTGATTAATATTATAAGAAAAAACATAAACATGTTAGCAAATAAAACAAAGAAAAATGACAAAAATTAGAAATAGTTCAAATATATACTTACAATATCTTGGTCGGAAGCACCACTTGGATTTTTATTTTCAATCTGGTTAACGCATCCCCTCAGCTTGGAGACTGCAGAAAGAATTTTTGCCATTCGGGTTTCTAAGGATCTTTGTGGTCTTGGTTGATTACGAAAAATCTCAGATTTATCATATTCAACAAAAACCCTCCTCCAAAACTGATCTCCTGATTGATTTATCCCAATGATTGGATTTTGAGAAATATCAAGATACACATGACATAAATGAATATCTTCTTCCATAGAATATGAAGCAGATCGAGGTGAAGCCATTGCAAAAGAAATATTTGTGGTAAGTAAGTGACTGTAAGATGTGTGATCATTCAAAGAGTAGTATACATTTATATAGAGAACTGAAGAAACAAATCAACGGTTAGATCTTCGCTGAACAACTTCAACGGTCTAGATTTAGTCGTATTTTTCTGATTGATAAAAAGCATGAAGTGACGAGTGAATGCAACGGTTAGATCTTAGCCGAACAATTTCAACGGCCTAGATTTAGTCTTATTTTTCTGATTGATAACAAAGCATGAAGTGAGTAGTGAATGCAACGGTTAGATCTTAGCCGAAGAATTTCAACGGCTTAGATTTAGTCTTATTTTTCTGATTGATAAAAAAGCTTGAAGTGACTAATCAATGCAACGGTTAGATTTTGGCCGAATAATTTCAACGGCCTAGATTAAGTCGTATTTTTCTGATTGATAAAAAGTATGAAGCGACTAGTGAATGCAACGGTTAGATCTTAGCCGAAGAATTTCAACGGCTTAGATTTAGTCTTATTTTTCTGATTGATAAAAAAGCGTGAAGTGACTAATCAATGCAACGGTTAGATTTTGGCCGAACAATTTCAACGGCCTAGATTTAGTCTTATTTTTTTGATTGATAAAAAGCTAGAAGTGACTAATCAATGCAACGGTTAGATCTTTGCCGAATAATTTTAACGGCCTAGATTTATTCGTATAGTTCTGATTTCAAAAAAAAATTATGAGGTGACTAATCAATGCAACGGTTAGATCTTGGCTGAACAAATTCAACGACTTAGATTTAATCGTATTTTCTGATTGAATAAAAAAGATAATTGAAAGTGATAATTTCTAACACTATAAAATGGGTTCCTTGTCTTGAGACTAAAATGCATATCATCTTTACTTTCTTCTCAAAATCATGAATTTCAACTATGGTAGTTCATCTTATACAAATTTTTCTTCTTCTTCTTCTTCATCTGATGATGAATTTTACGATGATATCGAAAAGCAGGCAGTAACTCAAATCACTGCAAATACTAATTTTCTCATCACTCAAAATCTATTTAATTCTGAGGGTTCTCATCGCGGATCAATTCCTGGTCATATAGTTATCAATCGTGACCGGGAAAATGCTGCTCGCAATCTCTTTAATGACTATTTTTCAGATAACCCTCTTTTTTCCGAGACAATGTTTCGAAGAAGATTTCGAATGAGCCGTCCCTTGTTTCTCCGTATTTTCGATGCTATACAAAGACATGACAATCACTTTGTCCAGCAAAGAGACGGTCTCGGTAAACTTGGGTTGTCTGGTTTGCAAAAAATCACTGCTGCATTTCGAATGTTAGCATACGGTTTACCGGCGGATTCTACTGATGAGTATATCAAAATAGGGGAGTCTACGGCTATAGAAAGTTTGAAGAAATTTTGCCGTGCTATTGTCGAGGTGTTTTCCAACCGCTATCTTCGATCACCTAACGCTAACGATGTTGCACGGCTACTTCGCATTGGTGAAAGCCGAGGATTTCCAGGTATGTTGGGTAGTTTAGATTGTATGCATTGGAAATGGAAAAACTGCCCAACTGCTTGGGGAGGACAATATGCTGGTCGGAGTGGATCTCCTACAATTATTTTAGAAGCTGTAGCTGATTATGATCTTTGGATTTGGCATGCATACTTTGGTCTACCAGGAACTAACAATGATATTAATGTGCTAGAAGCGTCTCATCTTTTTGCTAATCTAGCTGAAGGAACGGCTCCACCTGCTAATTATGTTATTAATGGGAAAAACTATAATATGGGATATTATCTAACTGATGGTATATATCCAAAATGGTCCACTCTTGTTCAAACAATTCATCAACCACGTGGTCCAAAAAAGAAATTATTTGCAAAGAAGCAAGAAGGATGTAGAAAGGATGTGGAACGTGCATTTGGAGTATTGCAGTCAAGATTTGCAATTGTTGCCGGGCCATCACGCTTTTGGAATAAGGAAGTGTTACATGATATTATGACAACTTGTATTATAATGCATAATATGATCATAGAAGATGAACGTGTTGATGATGCACATATTGAAGAACGAGCTGAAGTTCCAATTGCGGATGTTGAGAGGACTGGTGATGATGATGTTCAATTTCAAGAATTTTTAGCTCGACACAAAAAAATCAAAGATCGTGAAGCGCATATTGAACTTCGAAATGCATTAATTGAACATTTGTGGTCTGAATATACTAATTCTGAAAATTAGTATGATATGATGTAATTTGTTTTTATTATTTCTAAATTCTGAATTGTAATTTGTATTAATTTAATAATGAATTAGTTTTGAATAATTAAGCATTCATTAAAACTTTTTAGAAAAATAAAAGAATCTTAAATTTAATAATATAATATAAAAGAATATTCTTTTTAGTGTGAGATTTGGTGTTTGTGGTTGGAGTTGAAAAAAAAAGTAGAACACCAAAACACCAAATTTGGTGTAGGAGCAACACCAAATATGGTGTGTGGGTTGGAGATGCCCTAAGAGGTGTAAAAGGAACTGTAAAAAGCGAAAAAAAAAAAGAAGAAAAGTAAAGTGTCATTTACATGAAAGTTAAACTGTGTGGTTTTTTAGAGGTCACGTCTACACATCGGGCAAGAACCGTGTCTGAGGAGCCAATTGTCGATACAAGGTAAGTGAAACATGTGGTGACAATGAGGCAAGCTTCTTACTGTTTCACCAAGCTGGAAATCCTGCAATGTCAGAAGAAGAAGAAGAAGAATTACTTTCAGTCCGATCTAAGTAAACAAAAGGAACCTAAGAAGATTGATGTTGAAAACCTGAAGACAAACAGAGCATGAGTCTCCTCTGTTGTCGGAAGCATCTGCGTTATGGTTTCCAGTGATAGTCATCTTTGGGATTTTGTCAACCAAGTCTCCTGTTAATCCCTTTGAGCCTCCTGTCTCGAACAGACTCGAGAGGTCATCGAATGATGCATCCAAAGCTCCCATCTGACCAAAAACCATCACTAAGAAGCACGGAAAAAATGGAGCCAATTCTGAAGAGCTTTTAGTATCGCAATAAACGTACTTGGCTTTGCACCGCACTTAGCATTGCAGGTCCTATTCGCTCCCGTACGAGCCTCCCGCTTACAAGACTAACAATCACATCAATCTACACACACGAATTTCAGACTCGGAATCAAAATAAAATTGATTTCTTGAAAACAGAGCAATAAAATTGATTTCTTGAAAACAGAGCAAAAGTGTTGTTGAGGATCGCTCACCAAGTAGAGAAGGCATCCGAAGCCCGACTCATCGGATTTCCAGAGATCTAGCGACGACTCGAAGACCTCGATTGAGAAAACAGCTCCTGAAATGGCTCCAATGGCTGCTCCTCTGATGAAACCGCTCTCCGTCTCTTGGCCTATCAAGGCTCCCGTGAGTGCTCCTAGCAACGTTCCCACTGAAGATGATAAAAAAGGAAACAGCTTTCTTAGCTCAAAGTTGCAGACTTTTGGCTAACAAATTCCAGATTTTGGCAAACAGCAGTTTATTGACTGGAATTGAGACCAAATTGGATCCGCAATCGAGGTAGAAGAAGGAAAACCGAACCTAGAGCGAAGAAGAAGGTCAAGATCGCGGAGATGATCGTGCCCAGAACAGCGGAGACGAGGAAATGACAAGCGTCTTTAATCCGTTCGACGAAATTCCCAAGAGGAAGATGACAAAACCCAGATTCGAATCTATAAGATTCCATCTTCCTTCTCCTTAAATCCTTTGTGCGCGACGAAAACGAACGATTTCAGGTAAAAAGCAGAGTCCAGAGAGAAGCTTTAATAGGAGAGAGAGAGAGAGAGAGAGAGAGAGAGAGATTTGCTTAGCTCTTAAGAGAGAAGAGAAGATGCGACGTCGCGCTAATTGCATTTAAAGCTCGGGGTATTTTGCTTTCATGGCCAGAATTGTTTTACCCTTTGTTGTAGGTGAGAGATAATCTAGGGCTTTGTATCTGTCAGAGTCACTGCTGAAACCACAAAATAAAGTCTTCAACTTTCGTTCTCAGAAGCACACGAGTCAGAGTCAGAGAGATAAGAGAGACGATTTCACGGGGCAACAACTTTCTTATTTTACTCCCTTTTTCGTTTTGGTAAAGCTTTTTGAATATTAATAACGTTACTTATTTCTTAATTATCCATTTGCATTATGCATCCTATACTAAAAAAACAATGAAAATTAGGCGTGTTCACTAGTTAAAGCATTGGTATTAGATATACCTAATTACCCACCACGATTTTATTAACAAACAAATTTATATAATTATATGTCAGTTATAATTAACATGCCCCTAAGTTTTGGGTTGCTGTCAAACAAAGAAATGTTGATATAAACTTGGTTAAACTGATTCCAATACTTGAAAATAAACTGCATAAAATGTTGGGATGAAGCTATACACTTTCTCAAAAGGGAATTATTATATTTTGTTTACTTCAAAAAGAAATATATTTTGGTTTTATGATTAGGTTCTAGATCAAAGTCCATTATATCCCAATTTTAGTACTAATACAAAAGAGAAGAATGATCGAGTAACTTTGAAACACTAACGTCAGATCTTCATGCACATGACATTTAATACATATTTGATATTGAAATCGATCAAGTGTCAGAAAAGAGGATGTGGCTTACTGGCTATCTCCAAAGTACTATATTATTTCGACGGCAATATTGATATTTCTACAAATATCGGCCCGGAGATATTTTCGTCGAGATTAATATTTATTTAATATAATCCTAAAGACATTAAGACCATACCGGTCCCATACACACATCACAGGCTCACAGGCACTTAAATACTGTAGTCAATAGCAAAGGAAAATGAATAAAAGAACCAGTAGAGAGATATTCATGATAAGAATGGTTTGTTCGTGTCATTGTGTGTGTGGTGTCATGTTGTACGTGTGTGCACGAAAAAATATACATGTGTTCGCGCGCTTTTTAACTCTAAATCAGGAAGAGATATTCATGACGTGTGTTTATTGCGCATCATTTTCTAACATTCCATTGTTTTATTAATCTTTTTGTTTAAGTTTTGCATTTATCGACTCTTGAGCAGTTCGAACTCATAAGTCATAACATCGTTTAGTCAAACACGTTTTTATGTTTTGACATCAGTGATGATCTAACTTGTTTATCTTCTAGCAGCCAATCAAATTATTGTAAGCGCAATATCTCTTTTCATGACCAAGTCTTGCCAAAAAGAAGAATTTGTTTTCAGTTTTGAGCGTCAATACATACTTGTTTGCTTTTATCACTTAATCACTTGGACAATATACGTCAATAAGACGTACGGTGTGGCCTAGGCTTCATGACTTTTCATTGTGGAAGAGAGTAAAAGAAAATGAACAAAATTGGAAACTTCTTTCATTTTACTTATTTTCTTGAACTGAAGACATTCGTCGAGCTTCATCATCCATGGGTATCAAAATGTTTCATTTATCTCATTTCTCCAATTTGTGAAATGTTACCTAATTTGGATGATGCACATCTTTCAAACCTCGCTTAATATTTGCTTGATGGTGAAAAAAGGTTTTGTTCTATTTTTTTTTTCAGGGATCTATGAATGTTCCTATTGTTTGCAATCTTGATTACTCAGGACAATCGTAGTGGGGATTCTAACAGAATTAATCCGCTGGTTAGTGTCTTAATTAGTACAAGCACATTAGCCAATGTATTTGACAATATATGAAGGTAAATTAAGCCTACATGCACTTTTAGTTACCTGTTCCTCTTGAAACAAAACATAATGGCTACTAATTTTCAACAATCATGTAAACAGAAAATTCATGGTTGTATTAAATTATTAAAGTGATGAAACTCAGAAGAATAAACATGTAAAGTTACAAAAATTCCAAATAGTTTCAGAAGAAAGTTCACAAATATCCCTCATGATAAATAAAAAAAAAGAAAAACAGAAACCTCCAATTTCCTAAAAAGGATCTCTCACTTTCAGTAGGGAAATACAAACAATACAATCTGTTTATAACTGTATCCACACAAACTTGGTCTTTCTGTGAAAAACCTACAAGATAAACCAAAGAGAAATCTGAGGTTGAAGATGATGCAATCTTGAAGATGCTAACTGATAAATGTTTAAGAGACTAACTACCTCTTCTTAAACCTTAAACTCGTGGACATGGAACCATTTAGTGGATGACCATTTGTTTCCTTTCACCACTGGACATCCACCTTCAAAAAAGCAAAACAGATATTATCAATCTATCCATCTTCAAGAGAGTTTGATTAGTGTTGTTGAATCTTCCAGTCTCTTACCATGCAAACTCGAAGGGTCTAGAGAAGCATCAGGTCTCATGTTCCAGAAAAGTAAAGCATCTCTCTTCTTCGGTAGAACAGAGAGTCCTTCTTTGCCACACTTCGATAGCTCGTTCCACCACGGGACTGCGCTGATGTTTCCTTTCGCCGCCGGGAACACAGTCTCGCCACCATCATCAACGTCCGAGCTGAAAGCAGAGAAGGAGATTACAAACAACACATCAAAGAAAATGAAATCCTCTTTCTTTTTGGAGATACTTACAGGTACATAAGAACAGTAGCGATTCGTTGCCCACCGTTCTTGGTGTTGAACTCATCCAAGAAATAGTCATAGTGAGGCTCATACTTCTGCCCAACTTGGTAATGAAGAACTTGAAGACCTTCTCCGTTTTCTACAAAACCAAACCTCATCATGTTTTGCAAGAACTTTCCTTATTTGGATAACTAAAACCTATTCAAGAAACCATACCAACGGGAATGAAGGTGAAATCCGAGATCCGTTTCTCGATCGTCTCCACAACCTGGTCATGTCCTCTCTTAAGAAAAGTCCCTGAGCTCGTCCTCACTCTGCTGTCTTTGCTCCCACCGGTTTTCTCATCAACCACGGTTGACTTAACCATGCTCGGTTTAGCCAGACCGATCAGGTGCTCACATTCTTCATTCGTCTACAGAAAAATTGATTTTTACTCATTTCAAAACACAAATCTCCAAGTATCACATTTTCGTATCTTTCACAAAGATCTAAGTCTAAACTCTAAAAGTCAACTCAATCGGATCGAATCAAAATTTAGAAACAACAAAAGCTCAGATTTTTTTTTTTCATTATCTTGTCTAACAAGAAATACAAATCTGAGTTTCTAAATCAAAGCAAAAAAAAAAATCATCATCAGAGAGAACGAAAAATTTACCAAGAAATTGTGGTAAACAACAGCTCTAGGCTCCCATGAAATCACTTCAACCCAACGCTCGTTGTTCCCTTCCTCATCTCCATAACTAAGAGAGAGAGAGAGAGAGAAAAAATTCAAAATTGATTTCAGAAATTCAATTCGAATTTCGATGCGAAATCGTTGGTCACTAACCTCTCCTCGGTCTTGCGAACAATGTTGGTCAAATCATTGGGCTTGGAAGAGTTTCTATTGGCATTGGGAAGTGATAAGATCCCGAGACCGAGAAGAATCAGAATCACTACGAGCAGAAGGATTAGCACTGTGAAGGCTTGTGTCGATCGAGATGCTGATTTTCGCGGCTGGTAACGAAGGTGGCTCTTCGATTTCGGCGCCATGGATTTGATTTTTTGAGTTTTCTGTAAAATTTTATTCTCTTTTTCTCTGTATAGATCTAAAAAGACAACATTGAAGAAGAGAAGCTTGTGTAATCTGGTGATTGGAGTTTTATTTAATAAGAGAATTTATAATAATTATTATCTTTTTTTTGTCTGAGATTGATTCTCTTCGTGTTTTTTGTCTTCGTCTTCGAGTATTTGTTAGATACAGACACTATAGAGGAAGGTGGCTTTGACTTTTTGAATTTCGGACTCAGTCTTTAACTTTCTTCTTTTTATTGTTTTGTTCCCGATACTTTTTGGTAATTCAGATTTCACCCCGTTATTTTTATGTCGAATAGAGTGACACATACTTTAATTGATTACTAATATGTCCTGAATTTTAGTGGAACTAAACTACTTGTCTAGACATGTTTAAAAGGTGAAATGAACTGCTCATAGGTATTGATAGAGTTTTGAAGAAAAAGATTGATAGGAGTCACTTTGGTAAATGTCAAAAATGAAGTTAGGTATTTTGTATGATGAAATAAAAAGGAGTTTGAGTTTTAAAATTATTAAGATAAGTCAATAATGGCAAATATCATATGGATCTAACCTGCTTCTTTGTAAGTCTTTGCGCAGTTTGTATAAATCAAACTTTTTTGTTTTCAATGTACATATTTCTTTGTTTGACCATACATTTGAGATGTGCTAAGAACATGTTCGACATTACCAATACATGATTTGGTCACTTCTTTTATGTTTATTTGTTTATCCAAAATTTGAGATGGTCAATCATTTCGTTTGTGATCATTGTTTAATACAAGCCCTTAGACAATCTATCCAATTCTTATCAACACATCATACAAAGTCATTTATAAAAACTTTAAATATTTACTTTGTATTACTAGATGGTTTTTTTCGCTCAATAACATATCTCATAGTTAGTAGTCTTTTTTGGAAAAGACAAGACATGTCACTATAGCAAACACGCATGGTAAAGAGTGGATAACGTTTCGTTTCATGCTCTGCCAAAACTAATCCCCAATTTGACATTATTTATCATCTGAGGAAGTATGAATCCTTCTTACAAGTAGGAGTATAAAAAGACCAAAGTACAATAACCTTATCATCATCTATGGAACTAAAAGAAACTAATGTTCCAATAGAAAGATTGAATTTTATTCAACAGTAGAACAAACCAACAACCACACCAAATTCCATATCCATTTGCATTGAAACAGTAACACATGTACGTACGAAGACACAGACACACACATTTGACATATATATACACATACATAAACGCAAGATGATAGATTTAAAAGACATTGAGCGAAGTTGCATATAGTGGAGTGCAAGGCTTGAAGGAGAAACAGTTCGGTACATAAGAAGTAAACCTCTTTCTCTTCAATGAATCCGCAGATCCAAGAGCAGGCTGGTTCAAGTATGCATATTTGCTCTTCATCCACCTGAATCAACCAACACACATCGAAATTCAAAGTTAAAAATCACCTTATGGCAAATTGAATGAATGTTCAAGATGAGAAATTAAACAGAGACCAGTCTTTGATTCCCTCCTCATGAACATCGGTCTCCAGATCCTCCATGTCCAAGCTTTCTTCAAAGCGTTTGTAGTCCTCATCCTGGAACATATTCAGGTATCAGATCTACAAGCCTTCTTCGATTCTTGATCTAAAAAAAACGAGACAAGAATTGTGAGAAAACCAAAAGGACATACAGAGAGATTACGGGCTCGGACACGAGCTGCAGCCTTGATAGCAGCAAAGAGATGTTCTTCTTCAACGATCTGCTTCTGCCTCCAGAACTTCTTGATCTGTTTATTTGTTATACTATCTCCATCGATCTTTCTTGATCCATATCCAGGAGATGAAGGAAGCGGTGGAGGAGGAGGAGGAGGCATCAATGACTTCTTGAAACACACATTCTCAGACTCATCCATAATCTGCTTCTTCATATTCATCACCATACAGCTAAAACACTTGGAACTATGTCTATATATACAACAAAAGCAAGCTCAAAGATCGATAACACAAAAGAGGACAAAACGCAACAGAATCTGAATCTAACCTTCAAACTAAAGAGATACACCTGAGATTCTTAAGGGGCTACCAAAAAAAAAAATTAATTCAACGTCTACGTCTACTCTTCCCAACTTGTTGCAATTCTCTTGTACGTTACGACAAACTTAATAAGCAAAAACACTGTAGACGAGAAAAAGAAAGGTAGATGTAACTTCTAATCTTCATTCTAGTCAATAATTAAAGTAAGCAATTAGGTAATCTTAAGGATAATGCAAAAAAATATATGGTCTTAAACACCTAATGGCACATCCTTCAATCACAGCCGTTGAATCATTGGCCGTCGCAATCAATATCACCGAAAGGCCATTTTCATGTGACATCATCCACTAAACTATCATCAATTCTTGTTCTGTTCTTCTTCACTCGTGTACTCTTAGCCGATGAAACAATAAAAACAAAAAAAAAACTCAACTTTAAATTTCTCAGACTGAATAGTAAATTAGTCCCACCAGAGAAACGAATCACCCAAAGAACGTTGATGATTACTGAAGAGAAGATGAAAGATTCAAATAATCGAGAAAACAGAGTGAAAGCAATAAACCATATGATTCACATTAAACATAAACACAACACAAAATGATTCGAATTCAAATTCAAAGCCAAGCACATACTTAACTATATATTATACATGTGTTATGTGTATATCTTATCTACGTAAAGCTAAAAGATATATGTTTTAGGTCTGAGACGAGATGAGAAGCGTCTTGGTTTTGAATCGATAACGAGGAGCACGAGGAACGACCTGGCTCGGACCGAATCCGTACTGGCCGATACCGCCGGTGAGCGGCGGACCATCGTCGTAGATGTGGCCGATTAAGTGGCCGCAGCTGTTGCACTTGATTTTGGTCCGTTTCCGTTGGATTCCCCAGTAATTTAACGTTTCGAAGAAGGGGATGATCTTGTCCTCTTTCTCGAATCTGAATTTCTCGGCGTCGACGGCGGCGAAGGAGACCGTTCCTTTGTTTCCGGCTTCGAAGTAGAAATCAGGAGGAAACAGATCGTTCGGGTTCAGATTCAGATCCGATCCGCATTCTTTGCAGCTGTAGGTCGTGAGCGCCATTTCTCTAATGCTGATTTCTCCAACTTCCTTCTCCTATATCGTCTTTTTCTTCTTCTCTGTGCGGAATTTTCTCCAGAGACGCGTTTCTCTGGTCAGCGCCGTCGTAACTGACTCGGCGGATCTCTGCCGCTGTCAAATTGGGCTCGTGGGCTAAATAACGGGCTTAGTTTTAATTTAAATGTGTGGGCCTTATGTAATTTTGTATGTGTACTTAATTTGTTTAATTCTTATAACAATTTTTGGTCAAGTGTTAATTTCAGCTCAAAATGTTATGATTGAGATCTACAACGTGACCGGGAATCAAGAGAAAGAAGGTTTGCGTACAAAGAACACTTACAAAAAAACAAATTTGAGTGCAAAAGATCATTACCAAGAAATGAGCAAGTTTTTGAGTTGATACTCTCTACTAGTAATAAACTTATAAGAAATTAAAATTGTATATACACACACACGTGGTTTTGTTCGTATATATGTATTATATGTCAATGTCAGCATATTCCTTCTGAATATTACCTCGAATCTCATTTTTCTACATCCCTGTTGATTACTTTAATCACAATTATTAGTCAGGCAGACTTAAGTATGGTCCATTAGTTTATGATCATTAAGTCATTTGTTTCTAGTTTTGCGTTAATGATGTCGGTACCGTTGACAATCTAATACGTTTACTGTGTTTACTAATACAAATTGACAACACCCGTGAGCATGTGATGGTAAACATGTCTTATCGGAGAGAGCGACTGACTCGTTCTTTAGTATCACTAGATTTTGATTAAGAGAACATGAAATTGGTTTGATGATTGATAATTACACTCCAACAAGCATTGATTTTTTTTCTGTTTATGTTGATCTTTTTCATCCTCTCCTCCTATAAACGTACAGATGAACTTTCTGTAATACATATTAGGGATATTGTTAGACTCAGAATCACACCATTGTTTTGAGTCAAGGTTTTGTAGCACTTGCACAATAACATTCAACTACATATTTTAGTTTGTATTAATATTTTACGGCGAGACTATTTAATTTATTTAAGACTGTTTCAAGAGATAATTCAAAATTTTGTGCTCCAAGTAGTTGGGATGTTGAATCAGCTAGACAAAAGTGAAACACACGTATGGCTAGTGTGTACTATGATGAACAGTTGTTATAGTTGACATATTGAACCGTGAATATTGATAGCAATTTAGAAAAATATAAATGATTTAATCTCAACTACTAAATACAAAATCATCGAAGCGACCCTTTTTTTTAAGTATAAATTACACATCTAGAAAAATATTTATAACTACAGATACTCAATTGCGACTTTGCATTATGATTTAAAAAAAATAAATATACATCATTTGAGTTAAATTAATCATAAAACTTTACAATATCAAGTCGTATTTTTCGTCTATTGCCATCATTATCCTTATTTTTCTGTTGTCTATAATTAAAAAAGGCACCACTATCCACTTAAACGAAAAATGAAAAAATGAATGGGTGTCTTGTGTGACCCACACATATATGGTCCCCACTTGATGACGTGGCTATTTCCTACGTGTAACACGCCGTAACGTTTTCTCTCCTCACTCTGAGCCCAAAGACCTCTCCTCTCTCTCGATTTCTCTTTAATCTCTATCCTTTTTTTCCTGAAGAATCTCTGAAGATTTTCTGTTACTTTCTCTCTCTCTTTCTCTCTCAGCAATTACTTTACCTGAATCTTGGATCAATCCTCTAGATCGTTCTACGGATTTTGGGAGGTTTCGTGTTTTTTTTTTCTCCCGATCCGCCGTCGTGATTCTGTTCCACGATGACGATCACAGATGAGTCGGAGAGTTGTGGAAGCAGAGCCGTCGTGGCTACTCCGTCACAGGAAAACCCTAGACATTACCGGATGAAACTCGACGTCTACGGAGAGATTTTACAGCGACTCCAAGAATCTAACTACGAAGAAGCTACCCTTCCCGATTTCGAGGATCAACTTTGGCAACATTTCAATCGCCTTCCTGCTCGGTTATTCTCTTCACCCATCTACATTAGGGTTTTTATTTCTATATTTCGATTTTGATCAATTGGAATTTCAGGATTAAAAGGGTTTTACTTGCAACTTGCTTTCTATTTCTACTCAATTTTTTTCTATTCAGTTTCTTTCTTTTAAGGTTTGTATATGTTCATCGACAGTGACTGATCTCTCTCTCACTCTTTCTCTCTCTGACTCATCATCTTCAAATGAATGTGTTGTTGACAAAAACTGATAATCTTTTCCATTTCTTAACACGTGTCTCGACTCTTGACCCGAAAACGAGATCATTCGAATGAAGTTTTTTGGTATATCGTTTTGTCATTTGGCATTGACATTATCATTGTTGCTATTTCTAGATATGCTCTCGATGTTAAAGTTGAGAGAGCAGAAGATGTCCTCACACATCAGAGGTTGCTTAAAATGGCGGAAGATCCTGCAACTAGGCCTGTGTTTGAAGTTCGTAGTGTACAGGTGATAAAAAGATTCAGCTTACAGTGATACAGACTTAGTAAAGATTTGTTTTGCTTTGTTGTGTTAATCAAGTTTCTCTGGCCTTTTTTCTTGCAGGTCTCGCCAAGAAATTCTGCTGACTCTGACCCTGCGTTGGAGGAAGATGCTCAAAGCTCTAGACACCCAAACGGACAGGGGTATGGACTTTTCTATCACATTGAGATTGAATCTTAAACCATCTTCAACATTGTAATTTGTTTCTATTTCTTGCTGTGAAAAGGGTACTTGCACCTCCAACATTTGGTTCTTCTCCAAACTTTGAGGCTATTACTCAGGGGAATAAAATTGTTGAAGATGTTGATAGTGCTGTCAATGCAACAATGCCTACTCGGTGAGGTTTCTTGTAATATTTGAGCTCCTCTGAATTATGTTTTTCGTTATGTTTTTGTAATTTTGTAGAACGGAATTTTAATCTCATGTTGAAATGTTATGTTGCCTATTTTGCAGACCGATGCACGAGATCACGTTTTCAACTATTGATAAGCCAAAACTTCTTAGCCAGGTTGGTGATACTGTTTGCCAGTTTTGATGCTTCGTTACAGACTGTCATAAAAGTCACCACAGTTTTTCCCATTTTTGTGACTGTTTGAGTGAGAAATGGTTCCCTTCTTTGTTGTTGTTGTTTCAGCTTACTTCTCTTCTTGGCGAGCTTGGACTAAACATTCAAGAAGCTCATGCTTTCTCTACTGTGGATGGTTTTTCGCTGGATGTCTTCGTTGTTGATGGTTGGTCCCAGGAGGTACGGTTTTAGCTTTTGGAAGCATCATGCTACTTTTCACTTAGCGACATCATGCTGAGAAACTTTTTGCTTCTGGAATTATAGGAAACAGATGGTTTAAAAGATGCACTGAGCAAGGAGATACTGAAACTTAAGGTATTTTCCATATCTTAATTTTTGTACCTTTTATGCTGTTGGTATTGTGCTTCAAACATTTGACAGTTGATATATTGTCTGTGGGCTATGTTCTACAGGATCAACCTGGTTCAAAACAGAAATCTATTGCTTTCTTTGAGCATGACAAATCAAGCAACGAGCTGATACCAGCCTGCATTGAAATACCCACGGATGGAACTGACGAGTGGGAAATTGACGTTAAACAGCTCAAAATTGAAAAGAAAGTTGCATCTGGTTCATATGGGGATCTGTGAGTTTTAATGTCCTGTAAGCTTGTTATACAAAACTGTAAGCTTTTATTTAGAATTTACAGTAATAAGTTTTGATGGCTATACAGGCATAGAGGCATTTATTGCAGTCAGGAAGTAGCTATCAAATTTCTCAAGCCCGAGCGTGTAAACACGGAAATGCTTAGAGAGTTTTCTCAAGAAGTTTACATTATGAGGTCAGTGCAATTAATTATTATCGTCATGTGGAATGCATATTGCCATAGTACTTTACGCTGAAATTCCACCGCAGAATCCAGTTCATAGTTTATAACAGAATGCCTAATTGACCCTTATTTTCACTAATGATGCACTTGTGTCATCGTTCTCGGTTTGTTACTGATATTTTACTGTGTGCAGGAAAGTCCGACATAAAAATGTCGTTCAATTTTTGGGTGCATGCACAAGATCTCCGACTCTCTGTATTGTGACTGGTAAGGTCTCGCTAGATGCAGATTTGGTCTCTTGTAATTCACAGAAAGCATGTCATTTGAGCTGACAAGTTTATCTTTGTGTCTATCAGAGTTCATGGCCCGGGGAAGCATTTATGATTTTCTTCACAAACAAAAATGCGCTTTCAAACTTCAAACTTTGCTAAAAGTTGGACTTGATGTTGCAAAAGGGATGTGCTATCTACATCAGAACAACATTATTCACAGGGACCTGAAGACTGCCAATCTTCTCATGGATGAACATGGAGTAAGATTTGTCTTCCCTCAGCCTACTCTTAGTGTAGTCTACAAACATAGTCTTTACATTTACTCTGCAAACGTTGTTTTCTACTTGAAGCAACTGAATCGAGGGTTCTAAAACTTTGGATAATATTGTGCAGCTTGTCAAGGTTGCTGACTTTGGAGTAGCCAGAGTGCAGATTGAATCAGGGGTCATGACAGCCGAGACAGGGACTTACCGTTGGATGGCTCCAGAGGTAAGAGTTCTATACCTCTCTTATATATTTGATCTTGCTTTTGAAGTCTGCTGGCTCTCTTTGTTTTACCTCTCTTGCTTTTGACAATATACTTTCCGAAACACAGGTCATTGAGCACAAACCATATAATCACAAAGCAGATGTGTTCAGTTACGCAATAGTGCTTTGGGAACTTTTGACTGGAGATGTAAGAGTCTGCTTAAAATGCTTTCTCTGAATCTTTCATGCTTACTAAAGATACTAACTTTGTGTGTTGATGTAACTTGTAAATGGAAACAGATCCCATATGCTTTCTTGACTCCACTGCAAGCGGCTGTTGGTGTTGTTCAAAAGGTATTTGCATTTTAACAAGTCAAAGAAGTTTTTCTTCTCTTCCTCCAGAGAGGGTAAATTGAATTCTTGAGCTTTCTCTCATCAGGGGCTTAGACCGAAAATACCAAAGAAGACACACCCAAGCGTGAAGGCACTTCTGGAGAGATGCTGGCATCAAGACCCAGAACAAAGACCGATCTTCGAGGAAATCATAGATATGCTTCAGCAGATAATGAACGAGGTAAACGTCGTAGTGTGATCTCGAGTAAACAAAAAACCCTTACAAGGCACAACGAGATTTCTCAGAGAAAGGATGTGGTGAAAAAACAAGCAGGTTCCAGATGAAGACGAAACAAGCAGCAAGGACAATCAGTGTCGTAGTTTCATGCATGCCTTCAGAAAGCCACGTTACTAGTTTCTTCAGCTTTCAAGGGGTAGCTCCTCTCTTAATTCATTTTTTAGACTTTTGTACAGCTTTTTCTTCTTCTTCATTTTGGGTGTGGGGTAATGTGGAGAACCTAGTTTTGATCTTAGAGAATGTTTAGTATGATTCCTTTCTACGTAAAAGACCACACTTGTTTCTTTTATGCAAGAATGAAGTTTTAAAAGAGTTGCGTATTCGTTTGAGTCGGTCACTTTCATGAGCAAATGGATGTTACAAACTTTCCACTACCAGACACATCATCTGTCGTTTGACACATTTATGAATGAACAGCTTGCCGTTTTGCTATGCAAAGAAACAACCGGAACTCATTAGGATTAGGATAGATAATCTTTGGAGATTAAACGCCTCTGATTTGTGACGCTTACATCTCTGATCAACTCCCAAATTCGATTTTGCAATATCTCAAGTTCCGATTTTTCATTTACTGCAAAACAACAACAAATTCAGTTTTCTCTCTCTCTCTCTCTCTCATTACAGTGTATTGTTTCAATTTCTTGCGGAAGAGATGGTGTTCTTGAGCTGGGGCCGTCCATCTTCCGAGCAACAGCAACAAGTAATCAACAAGTAAGTATCAAAATCACCCAATTAAACAAGAATCAATTTCACTATAAATCTCTGCTTGTTCAAAATCCAGAGCAGGAACGTTCAATTACGACAACAAGTACAGAGGAGCTTCGTCTAGATCAGCAGCTAAGCTAAAGGAAGATTCAGAAGTCGGTAAAGATGGATTCTTGATCAATCACTCTCGTGTTTTAGTCGGTTCCGGTAAAGAGAGCTACGAGAAGAGCAAGAAAGCTCTACAGAATTGGAAGTATGTTTGCTTTTACAGTTTTACTCATCTTCAAAAAATTTGGATTTTTGTAATCATTTGATTTCAATTGAATAACCCAAAAATCTGCAGGCATTTCGGAATGGATTGGGCATTTGTGGATCCGAAAACACGTGTTGAAACGGGCAGCAAGTTTTGCATATGCGTGAAAGAAGTGCTTCCATGGGTGATGCTTCCTCTGCAAGTGGTGTACGTGGACAAAACCCGGAAATCTCGAAAAGGCCCCGCGCGTTTCGGATTCGGGAGCGGCACTCTCCAGGGGCATTTGCTAGCCGGAGAAGAACGGTTCTCGGTAGAGCTCGACGGAGATGGTCAAGTGTGGTATGAGATCACTTCTCTGTCAAAGCCTGCTCATTTCTTGTCGTTTCTCGGATACCCTTACGTGAAGCTAAGGCAGAAACACTTTGCTCATCATTCTTCTCATGCACTACTCAAACATGTTCATGACTCTTCATCTTGATAGTACCACCAACTATTGGAAGATGTTTCCAGTTGTGTTATTTCTACTTTCCATATGTTATCTTTGTTTAGAACTTTGAAAAGCTTATGTGTACGCCTAAGTATTGGTAGAGAAACCTTAATTTGTATGAAATCACTAAATTAGAGATGATGCAATGCAACAAGGTACATTATTACATCACATAAAAGTAAGGCTGCTTACAACTGAGAAGTTTATGATTTGAGGATTGAGAAATTTGTAACTAAGATCAGCAAATAAGGAAAAGAAACATATCACAAGTGAAGACCAATCACTTCAAGAAATAGTGTCCCGATAGAAAGAAACACTACTAGACTGTTGTAGTTTGTAGTAAACCAGTTCACGATATGATTGAACCGGAGTGTTTTTTTATTCGGTTTTGTCAAATGCGGTAGGGCCATTTTCTTTAATTAACATGGGCCAAAGGAAAAGGTTTATTCGAAGCCTAAATTTAAACTTCTTGTACAAGCACACAGTTTTTTAGAGATGATGCTGTTTTTAGAGATGAACGTGTCATGTCGTTGCATAATTAGGAGCAATAAATAATATAGAAAAACTCTAATATTAAAATAACGTATCTATCGAATATTAATTTATATTATAAAAAAGTCAACTTAAAATATTAGTATTCAGAAGCCAACTTAAACAGAGTTAGGGTTTCGACGAAGAAAGAAGCGTTGAACAAAACACAAAAATCTCAGATCTGAAAAAAAAAAAAAACATCATGAGCAACAACGAGTTAATTGCTTTCTTTGATTTCAAAAGAGATAAATTTGGGGAACTGCAGTTTGGAGTGAGGTTACTTATTCCTAAGACGATGGATCATATTGCTCTACGGTCGATGATGATTCGACGGCCAGATGAATTCCTTGAAGCCTCCGACACAATCCACAATCTGCTCAACGGATGTATTTGGATGGGACATAACATTACGAGAGTCGACATCCCACTGTTAGAGGCTGAGTTTGCAAAAATTGGCAAAAGACCACCTACCGCCGTATCAATAATCGATGCAGTTCACTTCACATCCTCCGACACAAAGGTATCTTTTTGTTTTTTTTTTTTCCTTGTCATTTGATTTATGACTGTGTAACATGAACACGGTTTATGTTGTGATTATGAAGTTGGCCAAAATTGCAATACAATTTGGTTTAGGTCGTCAAGTCCACGGGAGCTATAAGGATTGCGGCGAGAATTTTCAGGCTATCATGAATTGTGAAAGTTTGCTGTCTTGTTTGGGGGGACTACCGGAGATCAAATATGAGGATGATGTCCATCCCATGCTTTCTCTTATCAAATATTATCACGATGAAGCAGTAAACACTAAGCATTTTTCTGAACTAGGTAAGAGTCCTCTTATCTTTTGTTTTTGTTTACTCCAGTTTACAATTGCTGACTTTGTTTTTTTTTTTTTTTTTTTTGCTATGAAGCTCTGGAGTGATGAGCACCAAGGCGATGCAGCTTCTGCAACTATGATATTGTCCTCTGATTTTGATTTGTGTGTAAATTTTCTCATCTGGTTTTCTTACCTAGAGACTCTCAGTCTATGATGTTAAACACTTAAAAAAATTTGTCCAGCTTGGTTTCGTTTCATAGAAACACTTCCAAGAGATCTCCTAGCTCATAAGAATATTAACAACATAGTGAAACAAACCAAACGATGGAACTCTTTATTCAAAGAGTCAAGATTCTCTAAGAAGCATGTTGTAGACATCTAGGCTTTGTTCAACGAGGAAAATCTCTCAGTGTTACATCAAAGATATAGATGTGGATGACCAAAAAAATTGATACTGAAGCAGACTTTGTCATGGACCAAATCTTTTGCAGTGGACCTAGATTGATATATGGATAATTGTCTTTTTCCGGCAGGAGAAATGTGGTATACAGTATTTGAGAGAAGGATAAATATCACACAGAAATACCTTATATTGAAGGATGGGGTGGGCCGTTTATTTTCAATTATGTTCCAAATTTGGTTCAAATCCAATCAAAATATAACTATAACACCCCCTAAGTGATTTCTTGCAGCTCATCTTCTCAAAATAAGTAAATGATTTCTTGCAACTCATTTTCTGTTGTTTTTGTTTTTGAAAGACAATGTCATTCGAATGATTTAAATATTTAAGGAATACTTTTTTGGTGCATCAGTATCCTCTTACTTACTCTATGATTCTTTTCTTCTTTGTGTTGTATAGTTTTTGGTTTGAGCTTATTTATCTTTCTTTTGGTTTCTTAGCATTGATATCAAGATTTGTGAATATGGTATTTGGTTTTATCGTTTCCGGTATATCAACAATGTCACATGTTAGCCAATTGTTTTTGTTTAGTCATGCATCTAGAATTTTAAAATAAAGCCTGAAATGAAGAATTTGAATACGTTTGTCTGCTTTCCCCCAAAACTACCAGGTGATTTATCTTCTTTCCCCCAAAACTATGTCTTCTTTTGTTTCTTGGGAAATCATTTTACTCTTTCAATGTTCTATGATGTTAAACACTTGCAAGATTTGTCCATCTTGGTTTCACTTACAAGATCCTAGCCCCTAAGAATATTAACTGTTAACATAGTGAAACAACCAATTGTCATTGTTATTTCAATCAACGTTGGCTTCTTTTAAAGATTACTGTATTCAAAATTCATTTCTTTTGAGCAAAATGCAAAAGAAACAGGATTTACAAATAGAAAAAAAAAAAAAAAACGTTTTTAGGCTATTTCAAGGTGGTTTCAAGGTTAGAGTAAGCAGAAGCATCGGTCAAACTCTTGTTATCAACATAATAAAAAACTTGATAAGATGCGATTTTTGTGTTGTAATTCACTAAACATGTCATTTGAGCTTACTAGTTTTATCTTTGTGTCTGTCAGAGTTTATGGCTCGGGGAAGCATTTATGATTTTCTTCACAAACAAAAATGTGCTTTCAAACTTCAAACTTTGCTAAAATTTGCACTTGATGTTGCAAATTGAGAGAATTGGTTGTTTCATTATGTTGTTGATACTCTTATGACAGATCTTCTAGGTAAGAAAGCCAGTTGAGAAAAGTTACACACAACAAACACAAATCAAAACCAGCCATATTCAAATTCAACACATTGATGTCAGAGACACGGAACAGGCCAAACATTCAAAGATTAATATGATTCCCAAGAAAGAAAAAAAAAACAATAGTTTTGGGGAAAGAAAACAACTTGTAGTTGCAGAAGCTGCATCGCCTTTGTGCTCATCACTCCAGAGCTTCATAGCAAAAAAAAAAAAAAAAAAAAAAACAAAGTCAGCAATTGTAAACTGGAGTAAACAAAAACAAAAGATAAGAGGACTCTTACCTAGTTCAGAAAAATGCTTAGTGTTTACTGCTTCATCGTGATAATATTTGATAAGAGAAAGCATGGGATGGACATCATCCTCATATTTGATCTCCGGTAGTTCCTGCAAACAAACAAGACAGCAAACAGTTTATTCCGGAACTTTTGTGTACCTCTTTAATGATTGTATAAAAGAACTTACAAAACATGACATGATGGCTTCACAGTTCATGATAGCCTGAAGATTGTTGCCGCAATCCTTAAATCTCCCATAGGCTTGATGTCCTAAACCAAATTTTTTCGCAACTATGGCCAACTGCATAGTCACAACCGTGTTCATGTTACAAAATTACAAATCAAAAGAAAAGGAAGAAAAAAAAAACAAAAGATACCTCTGTGTTGGATGATGTGAAGTGAAGTTCATCTATTTTTGATAAGGCTGTAGGCGGTGGTTTGCCAATTTTTTTGAATTCAGCCTCCAACAGTGTGTCGACTGTCGTAATGTCATGTCCCATCCAAACTCTTCCGTTGAGCATATCGTAGATTGAGGCAGAGGCGGAGCCTTTAAGGAATTCATCTGGTCTAATCATATGCGAACATAGAGCAACATGATCCAGCGTCTTAGGAATAAGTAACATTGCTTCGAACTGTAGATTCTCAAAATTATCTCTTTTGAAATCAAAGAAAGCAATTAACTCGTTGTTGCTCATGATGTTTCTTTTCAGATCTGAGAAAACTAGGGTTGATTTTTCTAGATTCGTGTTTTGTATGACGACGCTTCTTTCTTCGTCGAAACCCTAAATCTAAAACTGGATTTATAAGTGTTAAGTTGGGCTTCTAATAATATTTTCCTCTCGCCCACCCTACCAAAATTGACACTAATACAATAAAATAAATGAGCTTTCAAACGGCAGATCAGAAGGAGAATATAAACTTGGGCCAACCAAAACAAACTCAAGACAGGCCCAAACATGGATTCGGTTTCACTAGGGTTTGTTCAGTGTATAAATAAGTAAGTTAAAAGGAAAATAAATGGGATGTTCGAAAGTATTCAGTTTCTTCTAAGTTAGCGCGTTTTACAAACATGAGTGAGAAAGAAGTTACTTTTGTTAAACTTAGCTGCTCGGAGAAGAGATTATAGAGATAGGCAATGATTACGATTGCGGCTGAGAATTCGTTTGAAAGAGGTTACGCGGAATACTTTGTTAAACCACGTAATTTGGTTGACTTCATTGATATAGGGCGTATCACCGTCCAGATACTGCAAACTGCCAAGGAATTCAAGGATATACAAGGGGACATCTTTGCGAAGCTCAATGGTTAGTTTGACTTCTCTCTCTTTTAATTTTCACTCCGATCTTTATTTGATACTACTTTTAATAATCATCCTCCAGATAAACCCTGGATCAGCCACGATGACTCAGTTCCAAAATATCTGGTAGCTGCGTGCGTTCGAGAACATTGCCCAAAAAGCTCCAACGCCTACATGTATTATCAATACACATGACCTCTTGTGGGATGCTAATTTTAATCAAATAACCAACAATAGCTAAAGAAATAACAGCGTATCCTTTTGTCGCATAAATCATGAGATTCTTAAACGGTGTCTAGGAGTTCTCCAAGTGGTAAGCCTATAGTCATAAAACTGCTTCTAAATTCTTAAATAAACACTTAATTAGAAAATTTGTGTTTGTTTGCAGGAGGAGATGTTTAAACAAACGACAGAAAAAGTTCGTAAGAAGAAGGAAGTTGAAAAGGCAAAAGCACAGAGGAAAAAAGAAAGAGAACGGAAGAAAAATCAGATTTAGGTGTTGATTGTGTTCTGATTTTTTTAATTCTTCCATTGCGTAGCTCTGTTCTTTGGAAAGAAAGACTACTTTTGTTTAAAGATTTTAGTGCTCTGAAGCAAAACCTAAAAAACGTTTTGGACAACAAAATGGCGGATTTTAGATTGGTTTATAAAATATTATGAATAAACCTTATGAACTTGTCTTTGCCATACAATAACAACACCGTAGAAATCAGACGAAGCCAAAAAGTTCTCTCCATGGCTCCACGGAACACACATTACTGGAAACCTGTGACCCTGCAAGCATCCAAAATTTTCACAACTCGTGACTTCGGTTTCCTCTTAACTTTCGATCCATACACAAAAAATTTCAGATTTAAGAAACAGATTTATCTCACCTGTAGCTTGTTTACACATGTTTCCTTTGGTTTGGTTAGATCGTGTTAACTACAAGGTATGTTTACACATGTATCTTTACACATACACATGTAGCTACAAGGTGTTAACTAGTAATTATCATATACTGTGTTAATCAAACAACTGTGGAAGATCTTGCTTTATTTATAGATGATCTGAAGTTGAAATTGTAATGGATTATTGATTATGGCAATTGTAATCGCAGGCCAACTCGGTGATGCAGTCTCTGATGAGCTTAGCTCCACAAAAGGCAATCATAGCAGAGACTGGAGAAGAAGTTGAAGTAGATGAGGTTAAGCTCAACACAATCGTAGCAGTTGAAGCCGGTGAAACCATACCAGTTGATGGAAACTTCTGCTGGAGCTTCTACCCCTGCAACAGATTCTGCACCATCTGTACATAGCCCCTGAAATGGATGTATCATTAGTGCTCCTTCACTCATTTGGCTTCCACAAGCTAATATTTTGTTAAACTTTAGAAAATAAGCATATCCGCTTACTTCAGTTTCTGATCGCACCAGACAAGCCCCTTACTCTAGAAAATTCTTGTCTCTCTAGACTTTCAGACATGGTGAGCAACTCATGTTTCTCAGCAATAACATTCACCCAGAAATAGCTTAGTAAACCACTGAAATGTTTGTTCTTTCGTCAGTGTGATTCTGTGATTGAATTGCCACGTAGTGAGAAATAATCCGAGGAAAGATCCATAACCAGTTATTGCATTCATCAATAGCTCATCAGAACAGAGAATATGACGCTATAAGGCAAGATATTTCGCTGAAACTAATCAATAGTTTACTGTAAGAAACCCTTTTTAGAGATCTCATGACACAAGAATAATACCAACATAATCTCTGCTCGTTCATTAAGGATTAACTGTTCATTTTCATATAACCTATCAAATTCATCCCTTTGGAGCAATACAACTTCAAAACGAAACCGCACTTTGCACAAAGAGGAAAAGTCTCGTAAAATCTCACCATTTAGACATGCCTTTGGATTCAGCTAATGACTGTTCATACTAGTCCATTTTTCGGTTATTTAATAGTTCCCAAAATTATAAACAAATACAATTGCAGTTTTTATTTTCAATATATCTTTACGACAAAATATTATTTCCATTTTAATATATGATATGGTGCATATAAATCAACAAACTAATAATATGTCGATACTTAGACACAATATAATTTTTATATATTTACATATATTTTTAAAAAACTAATGTGTAACATATTTTATTCAAAATAATAAAATGAACATGTAACATACTAACAATATATAATTTTAAATATTTTATATTTTATATAAAGAAAAACGAAATTAAAAATAAATATATATATTCTCATATGAAATAATTTTTCTTTTTATATGTCATTAGAATTTTTTTTTTAATTTACTAAACACTTTAATATAAATAGAAATATAAATAAGTATTAAGTAAATATCATAATAACAATTAAAAAGGAAACTATTTGAAAGTGCTTAGAACCAATTAAATTGAGTTTTTAAAAAAAAAATTTATATGTGGATATTTTCCTTTTTATGTAATTAGAAATTTTATTTTTCCTATTTTTTATTATAAAGTTGTAAATATCATAATAACAATTAAAAAGTAAATTATTTAAAAGTGGTTATCTGGACCAATCAAATTCAATTTTAGAATACTATGTCTATATTGACACTGGACACCTAAGGGTCAAACTAATAGATAGATGAGGGGTTTAGAGTAAGGGTTTCGACGAAGAACAAAACACAAATCTAGAAAAAACAATTCTCAGATCTGAAAAAACAAAATCATGAGCAAGAGCAACAAGGAGTTAATTGCTTTCTTCGATTTCAAAAGAGATAATAGGGAGGCTCTGCAGTTCGGAGGGATGTTACTTGTTCCTCAGACGCTGAATGATGTTGTTCTACGGTCAATGATGATTCCACCAGATGATTTCCTTGAAGAATCCGACACAATCTACGATATGCTCACTCAACGGAAGAATTTGGATGGGACATGACATTACGAGAGTCGAGACCCCACTGTTGGAGGCTGAATTCGCAAAAATTGGCAAACCAGCGCCTACCGCTAAATCAATCATAGATACACTTCACTTCACATCCTCCGACTCAGAGGTATCTTTTGTTTTTTTTGTTCCTTCTCTTTTGATTTGTGATTTTGTAACATGAACACGGTTATGGGTTTGATTATGCAGTTGGCCAAACTTGCGAAACAATTTGGTTTAGGTCGTCAAGCCTACGGGAGCTTTAAGGATTGCGGCAAGAATCTTAAGGCTATCAAGAAATGTGAAGCCTTCATGTCAATTTTGGAGGAACCTGAGAGGAAATATGAGGATGATGTCCATCCCATGCTTTCTGTTATCAAATACTATCACGATGAAGCAGTAAACGCTCGACTTGGTAAGAATCCTCTTTACCCTTTTTTTTTTTCTTTTCCTTTGTTGACTCCAGTTTTATTACAATTGCTGAGTTTGTCTTTTTGTTTTTGCTATGAAGCTTTCCAGTGAGCACAAAGGCCATGCAGTCTTTCCCCAAAACTGTTTGTTTCTTGGGAATCATAGTTACTCTTTCAATGTTGTTCTCTGTATCTCTGAATCTATGGCTGGTTTTGATTTGTGTTTGTGTAAATTTTCTCATCTGGCAATATTGAAAATAGTCATTTGTTTATTTAGAGATCACATGTCACAAGAATAATACAACCAAAGTTTAAACAATCATAAATATGATTAACTGTTCATTTTCATATAACGTATCAAATTCATCCCTTTGGAGCACAACACAACTTCAAAACGAAACAGCACTATTGCACAAAGAGTAAAAAGCCTGGTAAAAGCTCACCACTCTTAGACAACCAAGCCTTGTTCTTTCGCCTTCTTCAGCCATTTCAAAGAGATCTCAAGCGTGGAGTAAGCACAAGCATCAGTCAAACTCTTGCTCTCAACCGCATAATCAAAAACTTCATAAGCCTCAGCGACCTTCCCACTCCTAACAAGAGTCCTCACAAGCGTGGCATAAGCACTACTCTCAAGCTTCACACCGTTTGATCTCATCAAACCATACAACTCTATCCCTTTGTCCATCAACCTCGCCTTGCACAATCCGTAAAGCAGAGTGTTATACGTGCAAGCGTTTGGAGCACACCCTTTCGCTTCCATCTCTCCTAACAAGCTCAACGCACCTAAAGTCTCGCCTTTTCTACACATTCCGTTCATCAGCGACGTGTAAGCCACAGCGTCCGGCTCGTACCCCGATTCAACCATAGTCTCCATATACTTCCTCGCTTCCTCAACTCTCCCACATTTCGACAGTCCAAATATCAAAGTATTGTAAGTAACACGATCCGGCTCAACACCTTCTTCCTTCATCTTCTTGTACACACCAATGGCCTCGCTCCCTTTGCTCAGTGTGCAATAGCCTTTCATAATCGTGTTGTAGAGGAAACAATCAGGCTTAAACCCAGCATTGCCTAACAGACTAACCAATCTCATCGCCTCTCTCAGATTCTTGGAATTGCAGACGGTATCGATCAAGATGGTGTAGCTGATAAGATCTGGCTCCACCTTGAAAGACTTCTTCATCACATCGACGAATTCGTAAACGAGACTCAGTGATTCGCACTTGCACAAATGCTTCAGGAGAAAGTTGTAAGTGTATGTGTCTGGAGGCGAGTGCTTCTCCGAGAGCTCCTTCGTCAAATCCATGGCGTCTATGATCCGACCCGATTCGCAGAGAGATCGGACGGCGATATCGGTTGTTACCTGATTAGGCTCGACGCCGTTGTTCACCATGAGGTTGAGCACTCGATGGACATTCGAAAGAGGTGAATCGGGAGCTTTGCAAGCGTGTGAGAGCAAAATGTGGAAAGTAGAAGGCTCCGGGGAGAAATTACGCTGAGACTTGAGGATGTGCGTGAACAGATTCACCGTGTCGTCGACGGCGGCGATCGAGGCGTAGGATTGGAGGACGGAGTTGTGGAATTTGAGATCGAGAGGGATTTTAGAAGTGGAGGCGATCGAATTGAAGAGGGATTTGGCGTCAGATAGATCTGGGGTCTTGAAAGGGTTTCTCAGGGGCTCGCGGGAGGAGCCTTGATCGGTGTTTTGAGGAGTTTTGACAGATTCTCTCCCGGAGACTCTGTTGCGAAAATCTCGCGGCGGCGGCGCTGGAGGAAATGTTGTTGGTTTCTTCACCAGTTGCGTCGACGTCATAGAGCGAAACGACGACGGAATTTTCCCCATTTTCGCGACGTTTCCGTTCGATTAACGGTAAGGTTTTAGGGTTCTTCGGGTTTTAGCTTCTCTGAATCAAATGGGAGAGAAGGCGAATGTAGTGACACACTCGCGCTCTCCTGCGTATGTTAGCATTGGGTCTATTGGGCCTTTACAATATCGGCCCAAATCTAGTGTGTACGATAACGAACGCATTTCTTTCCCTTAGACGCATACTTTTCTTTACTTTATGTACAAGTTTGTGTCCAAAGCCCTAAAAAGAAGAGGTTTATGGAGCCCTGATTACATAACGATTTATGTACACAATTCAAGAAATAATCGTATAATTTTGATGGCAATTTGTATGAATGAGTGTGAAGATGAGACTATTTTAGGGTACAAATGTAATACATTTTTGATTGGTTACTCATAAAGAATTACACTTTGCATTACACACCAAGTTTAGTGTTACAAATCAAATTCACTCTAAGTGTCACCAATTGGAGCAAATAGTATTTGCATACCGAACCGGTGTGTTTATTGTATATTGGTTTTTGTCAATTTTGTTTAGGGTTTTCGACATTGACACATTTAAAAGCAAACGCCGGACGAGAGCGCCGTACAATACCCAAAACCATGAGCGACGGGAAAGTTGTTCTCATTGATTTCAAAGAACATGAGAGGATGCAGTTCGGAGCGATGTTAGTGAGTTCTGAGACGCTGGATATTATTGTAGAGATGGCGTTTTATATTGATCCCAGAGAAATCGAAAAGCTTCTGAAACGACCACGTGATCCACCTAAACGCGATAGTTACTTCAAGAAGATCCACGACATGCTCAACAACCAAATATGGATTGGACATGACATAATCAAACGAGACATCCCAGGTTTGCTAGCTTTATTCAAGAAAGTTGGCGCAAAATTCCCTACGCCCAAATCTGTAATAGATACAGTTCTCTTCACCTCGTCCAACACGAGTGTATGTATATCTTGTTTCTGTCTTGTCATTTGGATTTTGTGAACTGTGTGATTTTTGTAACGTGAAGAACAAGTTTGTGATTATGCAGCGAGCCAAACTTGCGGTACACTTTGGCCTAGGTGAAGATAAGGGAGCTTTGTGAATTGCCTGATCAATCGTATTGCTCTCCGGGAGTGTGAAACCGCCATGTCAATATATGTAAGTTGTTATATACAAGCATAATAACATACAAAAGTTATTGGTAAGTTCTGATATATATAATAGCATACGAAAGTTGTGATCTAGCCGAAAGTCATTGTTTGTTGTTTGTTTTGCAGGAGAGTAAGAAGAGGAAGAGGAATTGTGGGGAAGGATTACATCCCATGCTTTCTCATCTCATGAAAACAGCAGATGCAACTGAGCGTTTTAGTGAACTAATGAGAGGTAAGAAATTCATAGATTTGAAGCAATTCACTTTGTTTCCGTTATTAGTTTACACTTTAGACTTTGACTAAATGCTATTGACTCTACTGCGTTTTAGGGTTTTAGGGTTCTTGCAAGGGTTTTAGCTTCTCTGGATTAAATGGGAGAGAAGGCGAATGGTAGTGACTCTGCTGCGTATGTTAGCATTGGGTCTATTGGGATTTTACATTATCGGCCCAAAGTATAATGTGTACGATCACGGTTACTTTTTGTACAAGTTTGTGGCCAAATCCCTTAAAACGAGGGTGGACAAATGTTTCATGGTTGTAATATTCAAAACAAATCAACAGAGATGAGGTAAAACAATATTTGTGTGGAAGAAGAAGAAGATAAATTTTTCTGAATCTGAATAACGTTAACGAACATGTTCAAGAGCTTGTGTTCACCTCAAAACCAAAACTATTTCCTTTTGCCACGGTTACCAAATGATGTGATGATTTCAAACGGAAGAAGATCTCAGTCAACGTTTTGTAAAAGGACGTCGATATCTAAAGGGTTGGTCTTGGATTGTCCAGGTTTTATAATCAACATAACTAATAAGGCTTGGACAATCTCCAGCCTTTGACACGTGGCACTCTTTTTTTTTTTTTTTTTTTCGCCTAACACCAAAACGACGTCGTTTTGGCTTTATTTTTTTTTTTTCGTCTTACACCAAAACGACGTCGTTTTGCGCTTTATCTTTTTTTTTTTCGTCTTACACCAAAACGACGTCGTTTTCGTATTAAAAAAAAAAAAAAATCTAAATCAAAATTATGTGTAATGCTGTTCGTTTTGATGGGCTTGATTATTTATCGGACCTCTTCGTTTCCATGGTAGCTTTAAATGGGCTTACTGGCTAATTAGCTCATTTCATTTCCTTTTAAAAAGGATTGCAATTATTATTATCTATGAGTCTGTAGGATAATAATCAATCTATAATGATTGTTAGTATAAGGAAAATTAGAAGAACTCAACTCCAGTCGATAAATTATTGTATAAAAGAACAAAAAACATATGAAACTATTCACTATGAGTCTATATAAGATTTCACGTAAATAACAACTAAATTTTAAAACTATATGAAAAAAAACAAAATGCAAAACTTACAGAATCTAATATATTCGAGTAAAAAACAAATGATATATTCGAATCTAATGTTCTGAATAATTAAATTAAAAATATTTGGTTTAATAAACCCGCGCATTGCTCCTAGTTCTTAACTTAACGAAGACATCGGGGTTTTGTCATGTGCAATTCATAGGTTTAAGCAAATTAAGGAAAAATGAAAGAAAAAAAAATGCACATCCGATAAGCCCGGCCCACTTTTGGCCTAGACTTAAAAGTTAAAACGAAAGACCTAATAAATAGATGGGAGAAAAAAAAATGATATCAATAAATCTTCACATTGTCTAGCTAGGGTTTTTGCCTCTCGATCTCCACTATCTTCTCGTTAATGGTTAACCTAGAGAGTCGCTCTTCTCATCTTCTCCATGAAAACGAGATCTAACACCAAGAGAGAGCGGGAAGATGAATTGGAGAACCATAAGAAAGACGTGACTGAGAAGGAACAACCTGTTTCGACGGAGATGATGAAAGGAATAGCTGATCGTATTCAAAGGAAAGAAGAAAAGAATGATATGTTGATCTCATCGAGTAGTTCAAGTAATGGAGTTGCTGCAGCTGTTAAAACTGGCTCCGTAAAAGCCGAGGCAGAAAGCAGTTTGTCTGATGACAAATCATCTTCTGATGATGAGCCTGCCGAGAAAAAGGCTAAAGAAGATACCAAGACTCCTAAAGAGGAGAGCACTAGTGATGATTCTAGTGAGGAAACTGATGAAAAAGAGATTCATACTCGTTTTGGTCCTGCTCGTGGTCTTTTTGTCGGTGGTCGTTTTCGCGGTGGTCGTTGTGGCGGTCGTCGCCTTTGTTACATTTGTTGAGGTTTTGGTGGCGGAGGAAGAGACAGGTCTCATGGAAAACGGACCTAGTTTTACTACTCATGTAAGATGACTATCTTCGACGATTAGGAACGATTAGGATTGAAAAGCAGCTCTGTGTTTTCTTTTTCTTTTGATAAAGAAGAAGTTTTTTGGTGTTTTTAACTTGTGTGATACAATGAAATTGCAAACCTTTAGATATATATCCAATCTTAAATAATTTGCTTTAACGTAATTAATGACCAAATCTCTATATTTCCTATTTGATATTTTCCTTATTAGGTTTAGAAGTCGGCATAAAGATTGTATAAATACATCGATCCCATGGTCTAAGAAATACAAGATATTCAGCGAATTCATTATTTGTCACTCAGACCTCTTTTCATAATCTCTCTTTAAAGGTTTAACTTGGTTTTAAGGTTTCGACGAAAAAAGAAGCTTCGTACAATACCAAAAATCTAGAGAAAAACAACCCTAATTTCTCAGATATGAAAAAAAAAACATCATGAGCGACAACGAGAAAATTGCTTTCTTTGATATCAAAATAGATAAATCTGGGGTTTTGCAATTCGATGCGATGTTACTTAATGCTCAGACGCTGAATGATGTTGATATATGGTCGTTTAAGATTCGACCAGATGAAGTCATTGAAGACTTCGACTCCGACATAATCTACAACATGCTCAACGGAAGAGTTTGGATGGGACATGACATTGAGAAAGTCGACACCCCACTGTTGAAGGCTGAATTCAGAAAAATTGGCAAACCAGCGCCTACCGCCAAATCAATCATAGATACACTTCACTTCACATCCTCCGACACAGAGGTATCTTTTGTTTTTTTTGTTCCTTCTCTTTCGATTTGTGATTTTGTAACATGAACACGGTTGTGGTTGTGATTATGCAGTTGGCCAAACTTGCGATACAATTTGGTTTAGGTCGTCGTGAAGCCTACCGGAGCTTTAAGGATTGCGGCAAGAATCTTAAGGCTATCAAGAAATGTGAAGCCTTCATGCCAAGTTTTGTAAAGGAACTACCGGAGATCAAATATGAGAATGATGTCCATCCCATGCTTTGTGTTCTCAAATACTATCATGAAGCAGTAAACGCTAGGCGTTTGTCTGAACCTGGTAAGAACTAAGAACAACAAATTATTTGCAGACGAATTCAAGAGAGCATAAGGAAGAACAACAAATTATTTCAAGAGCTTGTGTTGTGTGATCAGAAATAGGGTTTCAATGATTTATGTTTCCCATAAATATATTAATTTCAATAAACATATCTTAAAAAATAGCAAATCACATTAATTATAATATATACTTATGGGAATAATGCTATATACTAATAAAAATATTATATATATATATATATATTTTTTATTGTGAACCCAGTTGAACCGGTTAGACCGAGTTGACCTATGACCTAGAAGCCTTTCCGGTTCGTCTCCCGGTCCGATTTTAAAAACATTGCCATAGACCATAGTAAGTAAATAGATTTTTATGATAAATCAAATGATATAAGTTTTATGTATTATAGATATATATATCCAATCTTACATACATTTGCTTTAACGTAATTAATGACCAAATCTCTATATTTCTTATTTGAGATTTTCCTTATTAGGTTTAGAAGTCGGCATAAAGATTGTATAAATACATCGATCCCATGGTCTAAGAAATTACAAGATATTCAGCGAATTCATTATTTGTCACTCAGACCTCTTTTCATAATCTCTCTTTAAAGGTTTAACTTGGTTTTAAGGTTTCGACGAAAAAAGAAGCGTCGTACAATACCAAAAATCTAGATAAAAACAACCCTAGTTTATCAGATCTGAAAAAAACAAAATCATGAGCAAGAGCAACAAGGAGTTAATTGCTTTCTTCGATTTCAAAAGAGATAATAGGGAGGCTCTGCAGTTCGGAGGGATGTTACTTGTTCCGAAGACGCTGAATGATGTTGTTCTAGAGTCGATGATGATTCCCCCAGATGATTTCCCTGAAGACTCCGACACAATCTACGATATGCTCAACGGAAGAGTTTGGATGGGACATGACATTACGAGAGTCGAGACCCCATTGTTGGAGGCTGAATTCAAGAAAATTGGCAAACCAGCGCCTACCGCCAAATCAATCATAGATACACTTCACTTCACATCCTCCGACACAGAGGTATCTTTTGTTTTTTTTGTTCCTTCTCTTTCGATTTGTGATTTTGTAACATGAACACGGTTGTGGTTGTGATTATGCAGTTGGCCAAACTTGCGATACAATTTGGTTTAGGTCGTCAAGCATACGGGAGCTTTAAGGATTGCGGCAAGAATCTTAAGGCTATCAAGAAATGTGAAGCCTTCATGTCAATTTTGGAGGAACCTGAGAGGAAATATGAGGATGATGTCCATCCCATGCTTTCTGTTATCAAATACTATCACGATGAAGCAGTAAACGCTAGGCGTTTTGTCTGAACCTGGTAAGAACTAAGAATCCTCTTATCTTTTCTTTGTTGACTCAATTAAGATTAAAAGATTGTTGTTACATTCTTGATTGAAAACGGCATGTTGCATGCATGTTGTGATTTGCAGACGAATTCAAGAGAGCATAAGGAAGAGCAACAAATTATTTCAAGAGCTTGTGTTGTGTGATCATCTCATCATAATCAAAGATTCTGTATTAGCGACTTTTCCCTAAACCCTAAATCCTAAACCCTAAACTGGAAACATAACGTTATAATTATTATTTTTATATTAGATGACTAAATAGTTTTTTGAAAAAAGGTCTAACACAAAAGTTGTTCCAAGGCTCATATAAGGCTCAAAGCTAAACTCTCTCGCTTATGATTACACTTGGAAACACAACACAACAAAAAGAGGAAAAAAATCAAGCAAAAGTAAAACAGAGCCATTTCTTGACCGTTGGTTTATCACCGTCATGTTTCCTCTGAGAGTTCGTCTTCGTCGTGCTCCTTCCCGTCTTTTTATCTTCACCGGCTTTGCTGAATATCACCGTGAACCCATCCGCCGTCGCCGGATCATTCACATCCCACTCCCCAAATTTCGGCAATGGCCTAGCGTCATTCGATGCCATCTCCAACCAAGAATGTAACAACAGCAAGAAAACAAAATCACAATCTTTTCTTCTTCTTCTTCTTCCTCAATGAGCTAATGATATCTTTTGTTCAAAGGTTCTCTCCCACGATGCAGATTTATAATAAGAGAAAGAAAAAAAGAAAAAACAGATAAGTAAAGATTGTGTTTTGAAATCTTCCTAAACTCGTTTCAGACACGGCAGAGAATATTCTATTAGCTTCTTTCTCTTTTTAATGTCTTAAAATTCATTCTGAGGTTGAGAATCGTTGTCCTCTCCGCGTAACAAATCTAATTATAGCATTATCTAATTTCTTCATCTCTCACGCGGTCGTTTACAAATTCTCTCATTATAATACAATGAAACAAGAAGAGAGACCAAGATTGCTTATATCACAAGCTTCCCATTTCATCAGCTCTCTTCCTCAACAAATACTTCTGTACTTTCCCTGTAGAGGTTTTAGGCAACTCCCCAAACACAATAGTCTTTGGAGCCATGTAATGAGGCAAACGATCTCTACAAAACTCGATAACCTCCTCCGGTTTAACCTCATCAAACCCATCTTTAACCTTCACAAACCCGCAAGGCGTCTGTCCCCAATGATCATCAGGACGTGCCACAACCGCAGCTTCAAGAACCGCCTCATGACCACACAAGACTCTCTCAACTTCCACCGAGCTTATGTTCTCACCTCCTGAGATAATCACATCTTTCAACCGATCTTTAATCTCTATGTACCCGTCCTGATGCTTCACACCGAGATCACCGCTATGGAACCAACCTCCCTCGAAAGCCTTCCTCGTCGCCTCCAAGTCCTTGAAGTATCCACTCATCACTGTGTTCCCTCTGAACATAACCTCACCCATTGTCACACCATCTTCAGGCACAGTCTCCATTGTAACCGGATCTTTCACCTCAAGCCCGTCCAAACCCAAATGCTGCACTCCTTGTCTAGCTTTGAGCTTACTTCTCTCTTCTAAACACAGAGAGTCCCATTCTTGCTTCCACACACAGTGTGTCCCTGGACCGTATGTCTCCGTCAAACCGTAAAGATGAGACACATTGAATCCTAACTCCTCCATCTTAGCTAAGACCATCGGTAAAGGCGGCGAACCACCGGTCATGACATCAACTCTACGAGGAAGCGGTTTATGATGTTCTGTCTCGGTAGAGTTCACAATCATGTTCAGCACCGTTGGTGCTCCTCCCATGTGAGTCACATTGTGCATTGCAATGTTCTTGAAGATCAGCTTTGGAGAGACTTTCCTGAGACAGATGTTTGTACCTCCTTGTGCTGCTACTCCCCAAATGAGACACCATCCGTTGCAATGAAACATCGGTACAGTCCATAAGTAGACAGGAGAGACAGACATTTGGTGAAGGAAAACAGTAGCGAGAGAGTTGAGATAAGCTCCTCTGTGGCTATACACTACGCCTTTAGGTCTTGAGGTTGTTCCTGAAGTGTAGTTTATACTTATTGGATCCCATTCGCTTCTCGGTTTGATCACTTCGAATTCGTTGTCTCCGGATTTAACCAGAGTTTCGTAATCGTAATCAAAAGAGTTGCTTGAGGAGCTATCATCTTCTTCTTCTTCATCATTAGACTGAGAGATTAAGACAATTGTTGGAGCTTTTCTACTTCTGTCTGATTTAGCAAGACGATCAAGAGCTTTATGAGCAAGCTCAAGGAACTGGTGATCGACGAAGAGGATATTCGACTCAGAGTGTTCGAGCAAAACAGATAAAGTGGAAGGATCGAGTCGAGTGTTGAGCGTGCAGAGGATCAGTCCAGCCATTGGAACAGCGAAATGAAGCTCGAGCATTGCTGGAACATTCGGTGCTAAAACTGCAACCTAAAGATTTCTCATTTATCAACTAAAACCTAACCGGAGCTAATAAAGATGAGAAATTGAGCCGAATTTAGAGACTAACCACGTCGCCGGGAGAGATTCCGAGGTGGGTAAGAGAAGAGGCGAGACGGAGACAACGTTGATAGGTTTGGAACCAAGTATGTTTGACGGAACCAAACCAAACAGAGGTTTGGTCTCTGTAAACCTTGGCGGATCGCTCTAGGAAGGTGATTGGGGATAAAGGAGAGAAATTTGCCGGGCATCGGAGAAGACCTCTCGTCTTCCTCCATGATTCCGGCTCGGGATCGTCGGAAACTCCACCGGAATCTGAGGTTGAGAAGGAAGAAGAATGGGTCAACGAGTAGAGTCTCTGAGAACGTGGGGTGAAGATTTTGATTGCCCTTTTGGTTAACGAGAATCTCATGTTTTTTTACTTTCTCGAATTGGAGCTTTTGATCTGATAAACTGAACAATGGCAGGTTTGACTCTGTTCTTGATCCTCCGAGATTTCGCATTATCTGTTATATTGGTATTATAATAAAGCTTAGGCCTCGTGATTAACGACATTACCTGACAAGGAAAAAAAAAACAAAATCTTTGAACTTGTATTGATTTGTACAAGAACATGCGTCTTGTCCTAAGCCACAAATCGGTAAAGTTTTGTCCACTGCCGTTACATTCCGACAAATCTCGGTGAGTGGTTTCTTCGAGATGATTTTACTTCCAAAATAGTAAAGATCTTTGATAGTGGCATTAGTTAAAGATTTTGAAAATTATGGAGTCATAAAGTGTGTGATTGTTGAGTATACAGAGAAATGATTCCAAGACTTAATTAGTGACTTAACCGTGGCATGTTTGATTTAGTTAGTCGTTTGTTAGTATGAAGAGTACCACATGAATAGATGATCACATTATTAGTAGAGAATAGTGTTTGTCAAAAATTGTTGTTTGATCTGTAAACGAATGGTTTAACCGTGAACACAAGATATATCACCGTATAATGAGTTGAAAATTTTAAATTCATAACATGATCATGGATATGACGAGAGTGATAAGTGATGGGCTCTGGGCTCGAGGGTCTAGATGATTGTGATGTGCCATAGCTGATAGCACATAGCCAAAAGATTAAGGGGGTGATTGGTTGTTGCTTTAGCATTTTTTTTTGCTATAGAGTTTTTGATTTATGTTTTATGGATGTGGCTGTGAAATTGTTGCTTTAGGATATTAACTTCAGGATTTTAGTAAAAAAAGAAATAGATAAATATGGAAAATAATAATAAGGAAAAAAGTAAAGAAAAAAACAATATATTTAGAAAGAATCAAAGAGAGAGAAAAAAAAATTCAGAGCCTTTAAAATTATGCTCTAGAAATTTTGCTCTGCAAAACTAAAAAAGAAAGGAAAAATGAAAAAAATGAAAGAAGGCTGTAAGTTTTAAAAAAAAAAGTATAAAGCATGATTGGTGATCTATTTGGCTTTAGAATTTTTTTTTTGCTCTCTACAGCTTCTACAACCACAACCAATCAGCCCCTAAGATACAAACTTTTGTGTGTTTGCCACAAAACATAGTAAGAGACACTATACCTTAATTCTATACAATAAACACTCCGACAAGTGGCATTATCATTCGTGGGTATCAATTAATCATATTCTCCCTCGAGGAATTCGATCCCCTATTGATTAAAAAACTAAACACTTGAGTAGAAAACTAAACAATTGATTAAAAAACAATTATCTGTTTAGGAGACCCTAATCTCACATTACGAACTTGGACTCAATTACGGTCCCGACCAGATAAGGCCAAAATTAAGGAAGTGAAAAAAAGAATACAAAAAAAACACAAAATGATATGATATCGTACAATAGAAGAACCATTCAAAGCGGTGGACACTGGACACAACACAAAGACTTAAGTTAAGACTCGGATCAACGAGAAACCAAACAAACAACGACCATCAGGAGAATCAGAGTGAATCAGAGGACCCATTTTGAAAACTCAAAAAGGGTTTTCTCAGTTTATCATCATATCCACTAAAGTAGCCTCCTTTACCTTTTCTCCCTTGTCTGCTGTCCAATCAAAAAGACTTGTGATTCTTCCTCGTGCTCTGTTCCGGGAATTGTAGTCTCCGGAGATATGAACGGCGATGAGCTTCCCTTTGAGAGGGGTTTCGAAGTTTACGCTCACAAGTCCGAGTTTGACCCGATTTCGCTGGATTCTGGTTCCGATCCTATTTGGTTTGCTATAAGAGAAGAAGCTAAGCTTGAGGTTTTTCACTCAATTCTTAACACTTTCTCTGCACCATCGTCTCATTCTTATTCAGAAAAAAAAAATATATGATTTTTATGATTTAGTTCACAGTTCTCTTGTTATTCGATTCTACAGAAGAACAAGTTTATTTGCTTTATTTTAGTAGTAACTGTGTCCATTAGGGTTTTAGAATAAGCCATTCTTGTTTCTCTCGTTGAAAGTCTTGATTTTTTTAATTTGACCAAACATAGACTCGAATTTTCAATTCCTCCACTGATAATCATCATCATCGGATCGCATATGGACTTACTTTTGATAATTTAGTAAACCAAAATGGTCTTACAATGGTGAGATCTTGTTGTGGTTACAGGCAGAAAAGGAGCCTATTCTGAGTAGCTTCTTGTATGCGGGCATCTTAGCTCATGAATGTTTAGAGCAAGCCTTAGGGTTCGTTTTAGCAAACCGTCTCCAAAACCCAACCTTGTTGGCAACTCAACTCTTGGATATATTCAATGGTGTTATGATGCATGACAAAGGTATTCAGAGTTCCATTCGCCATGATATTCAGGTAAAAAGTAAAACATTCGTCTAAATACCAGTTTGTTTGTTTTTGAGGGTGTTTGCTGATGTGACTTGATGATTTGCAGGCGTTTAAAGACCGGGATCCTGCTTGCCTGTCGTATAGCTCTGCTATTTTACATTTGAAGGTAATTCTTGAGTTGAATTCTTAGACACAAAACATCTAAATGACTGCTCAGGAAGACATTTTCACCAGAAACGTTTTGTTCTACAGGGCTATCATGCATTGCAAGCATACAGGGTTGCGCATAAGCTCTGGAACCAAGGGAGGAAACTATTAGCTCTTGCATTGCAAAGCCGAATAAGCGAGGTAGTTTTCAGGATCATTGTCTTTTGGTTTCATTTTTTCAGCTCAATGTCTGATCAATGCTGTGATTTGATTTCTCTCAGGTTTTTGGAATCGACATACATCCAGGTAACAGTTTGAGCTTCTAATCTTATCCCTCTTAGAGGAACATTCTCAGTTTCTCCACTCTTGTACATTAGTTGATCAGGTTATACATGTTGCTTTACTTCTCTTTTTGCATAGCGGCAAGAATTGGAGAAGGAATCTTGTTGGATCATGGAACTGGAGTAGTCATAGGTGAGACCGCTGTGATAGGAAACCGAGTCTCGATCTTGCATGTAAGCAAGAATCTCTGTCTCCAAACCGTTGCCTGGAAAATTTGATGCAGATAATCATGAGTTTTTAGTTGAAATTTTCTCTGTGACGACAGGGTGTGACTTTAGGAGGAACAGGGAAGGAAACAGGAGATCGCCATCCGAAAATAGGTGAAGGTGCAATGCTTGGAGCTTGTGTGACTATACTTGGTAACATAAGCATAGGTCCTGGTGCAATGGTAGCTGCAGGTTCACTTGTGTTAAAGGACGTTCCTTCGCATAGGTAATAAAAGAGAACACTGCATCTGAAAAAGTCTTTGTATGTTTGTTTAGTAACAATGGTTAATACTTTTTGAAGTGTGGTGGCTGGAAATCCTGCAAAACTGATCAGAGTCATGGATGAACAAGACCCATCTTTGGCAATGAAACACGGTGAGAGTTTTGCAGATTCTTGTATTCTTATGGCTCTGTTTCTGTCTCGCTGACTTGTTCTTTGAATGAATATGCAGATGCTACTAAAGAGTTCTTTCGACATGTAGCTGATGGTTACAAAACCGCAATATCCAACGGTAACTTAACACTCTTGCAATGAATAGATTAGCTGGATTTGAACCTGAAAATTTGCTATATTGCGCTTATTGAACACAGGATCATCAGGAGATACAGAGAAAGGACACACTAACTGCAAAACATGAGATCCTTCCTTGTATGCATTTGGCATTTGCTTATCATCAAATGCAAATCTCAGCAATTTCTCAATAAGTTGTTTAACAACAAGATTTTGATCACTTGGAAGTTTATATGATTCTTGCTTCACTAAGATTATTACTGAAAAAATTCCACAGACAATTGAATGAAAGAAAAAAAACTCACAAAATCATAAGCATCAAAGCTTATTATAAAATCACTCAAACAATAAGATCCAGAGAAGCATCAGGCATGCCTTGCCTGGAAATCCTTCATGAAAGCAACAAGCTTTTCGACTCCAGCCAAAGGCATTGCATTGTAAATCGAAGCTCTCATACCTCCCACTGATCTATGTCCCTTGAGCTGCACCATCTTCTCCTTCGCAGCTTCCTTGATAAACTCTGCTTCCAACTCCGACTTCTCCAACGTGAACGGAACATTCATCAAAGACCTCACAGACTTCTCAACAGGACACTTGAAAAACCCTCTGCTCTCATCAATGGCGTTGTAAAGCAGCTCAGCTTTCCTCTGGTTCTTCTTCTCCACTTCCTTCAAACCACCTTGTTCAAGCAAATCATCAAACACGAGGCCACACATGTAAATCCCGAAACACGGAGGCGTGTTGTACAGCGAGCTGTTCTCGTCGTGGATCTTGTAATCAAGCATCACCGGAGTGATGTCGCGAGCGTTTCCGATCAAATCTTTCCGGATTATCACGATCGTGACGCCGGAAGGACCAACGTTCTTCTGCGCGCCGGCGTAGATCACACCGAATCTCGACACGTCCACCGGCTTCGAGCAGAAATTGGACGACATGTCAGCGATTAGAATGCCGTTAGAGTTCTTAGGAACTGGGTAATCTTTGAATTCGACTCCATGGATCGTCTCATTGGCGCATATATGCAAATACTTGGCGTGCGGATTCTGCTCCAATCCATCAAAAGACGGGACTTTTGTGTATTTCTCCGATTTGCCTGACCAAATCACTTTCGGATTGCAATATTTCTGCGCTTCCTTGAAGGCCTTGTCTCCCCAAGATCCGGTGACAATGTAATCGACGGGATCGTCGGATTTGCAGAGGTTGAGCGGCAGCGCGGCGAATTGGGTGGTGGCGCCGCCTTGAAGGAACAAAACGGAATATTCCGTAGGGATCTCGAGGAGCTGACGGAGATCCGATTCAGCTTTTTGGATGATTGAGAGAAACTCTTTCCCACGGTGGCTCATCTCCATGACGCTCATCCCAGATCCACGCCAGTTGTATAGCTCCGACTGAGCTTTGAGCAGGACGTTCTCGGGTAAAGCCGCTGGGCCCGCCGCGAAATTGAAGACACGTGGCTCGGATCCGGCGGTGGTGGATCTGGCACCGTCTTGAACGTGCGTCGTCGAGGAAGCGCATCGTATTGAGACGGATTTGGCTCTGGTGGTGATGTTGACGGTGCAAGGCTTGCTGAGGTGGAGTAGAGACTGGGAAATGGATTTGGGTCTCAAGGTTGGGATCTGAGGGTGGTTTCCGACAAGGAAAGTGTTCGTTGACGCCGCCATTTTCGTTGATTTCTGAGGAATCGCGAAAAAAAGTTTGGTTTTTTTCCCCAAAAGATGTGAAGCAGTGTAATGAGAAAAGTGTAGTGACGACGACTCGAAAAAGTATCTGAAAATAGTAAAGTCTAAAGAAAAGTTGGTGGGAGAGATCTACTGTATTATACGACACCGTTTAGGGAGATAACTTAATTTTTAGAATTTCGGTTCGGTTTGATTTGGATTTGGATTTGGATTGGATTTTGAGGTTTATTTATTGTGGCATTGGTCTGACCGGACAATGAATAGACAATAGAGCAAACTGAAGTAAAAGAATGATTGAATCATCTTCTCATTGATTATTGCAGAGATGTAGTAAACAATTAAAGTTACAATTAAAGTGAATGAAATAACAAAAAAAAAGATATCAAAATCAAACTTGAGACAAATTGAATTATGTCAACAGAGCTGTACAAAACTACTTATTATATCCTTTTGGGTTAATGAAGGATGGTGATGAGACTCAGTAGACAAAAGAAAGTGTGCAGCTTCACACTTTGCTATGTACCCAAATTTGAATGTGTTATACTTCCTATACACTCCTGTCAACTTCCCTGTCGCAGCCTTCTCATGTAGACTCACCATCTTCCTCGAACATTCCCTGCAACAAAAAACCGCCATGACAATTCATTTCGTTTTTCTAAATACCCTTTTGTGTGTATTGATAAAAGAATGACTCTTTTTGATTTGAGATTGGGAGGGAGAGGGAGACTTACATGAGCTGGTCTTGAGAGTAATGAGAGTGGTGTTGACAAGTACTGTTCCATTGCCTGAAACCATCAAGTGTGCATTGAGCAGTGTACACAGCTGTTGCAGCTAGTAATGATGGTGGAAACCGAAGCATCTCATACTCCACAAGCGCAAGCTCGATCAAGAACGATGCCAACATCTCACACTGTTGATTATTTCAGTTTCCACAGTTAGTCAGTTCCTTTTCCAATTCCATTATTTTCAAAGTGAAAATGATTCATGAGTTTTTAACTTTACCTTCTTCTCTGCTTGAGCTGCCTTGAGGAATCTTTTCAAGAAAGGGTATTGTGTTGGCAGAGAGACATTGAACTGCAATGTGTCCAGCATTGTTTTCTCCTGCAAGCAGAGAGAATGGAACAACCGTTTCATTATTGCCTAAAAACCTAAATGAGATGAGTACTAAAATCTTTGTATGGAAACAGCCTTTACCATCTCAAGAACATCATTCTTTGTATAAGCTCTGTCTGAAATGAGAACCAAATCTTGGACAACAGGAACCGAAACCTCTTCATACTTGCAAGCTAAGAGCAAAGCCACTAACCCTACAAGCTGAAGCTTCTTCCTCATTACACCTTTCTTGGACAAGAATCTATCTATCAGATTCACTGTGAGAAACAGTGTCTCATTCATCAGATCAAACTTGTCATGCACCTGAAAGAAGAAAGTTACTTAATCTCTCCTTTAGTCCTCTCTATCAAATTACACATTAGTGACTGTCGATTTTCGATATATATATACCTCGATTAGCCAGTCGATTAGTATTGCTCTCATCTTCTCGTTTAAGTCGATTTGTTGCATCATGTAATCTACTGGAACACAACTAAACATCTGCAAAAATTCAAACCAAGGATTGTCTTAACACAAGCTCTCATCTCAAGCCTCTTGTTTCCTTCAAAGACAGAATCAAAAGCATACTAAGTTTACCTCCATTTTGCGATAGAATGAGTAGAGATCTTTGACATATTCAACAGCTGCAAGTGTGTTCTTCGCATCAGAGACATCTATATCCAAGATTGGTTCTTCCACTATTACATCCTCCATCTCAACTTCCTCCTGTCCAATCAAACAAGAACATTCAAGTTGCATTCAAAGCTGAGATCTTTATCAAGTGGATTGATTTGATTATGTTTACCATTGGATCAGCTTCAGTGTATGGCTTCTCCAGCGACATTGGCATCGGATGGTCGAATGTCACTTCTTCCTCATCATCAACGAGTATACAGTCAACGACATCGTTTCCACTTGGAACTGATTGATTCAGCTTCTTCCTCTCCTCTGCACACCACGGCTCTTCATCTTGAGATCTGCAGATTCAAAACAATCTCAGATCTTTTTTCTTTCAAATCACCAATAGAAATTGAAAGATTCAAGCTTTATTTATACCTTGTAAGCGAGGGTCGCAGAGAATCAAGCTTCTTCTTTTGACATCCTACTTCTTGCCTACTGATTCAAATCATCCCAAAAAACAATAAGCACAATCAAAATGGACAAAAAGACACAAACTTTTGAGAAATTTGGAGATTTTTATTACTTTGATAAGCTTCCTCTCTTGTTGACAAGACAAGGATGACCTCTTGCACCAATCAGATTCTGGTTAATCACACCCAACACTCTTCTCTTCTCTCTCTTCATCTCTTGTCCGAATTTTCTGCTTCTCGTTTCATCTAAACACAAACACATATGTCAGAATTCTCCATTGTCAACACCTCGAAATTCTCATAGATTACTCGGACAAATTCTACAATACCTTGAAGAATCATTGTTGCGACGATTTTGTTCTCACCGGAATAAGCCATTTGTTTGTTTGTTTTGATTACTCCAAGAGAAAAACCCACAAAGAGAAGACTATAAGAAGAGCATTAAACGAAGAGAATCGTAGTGTGATACAGTTGAATCTGGAGGAAAGGGGATGAAATAAGCAAGTGAGAATTAAAAGAGGAAGATAAATATAATTTTAATTTAAAAAAAAAGGAACGGCTAGGATTAGAAAATGACCGTTGGATACATGACGGAAACGATTTACTTCCAAGTCTGTATAAGAAGGAAGACTTAACGGTAACTTTGGTTCAAGGCATGTGGCTCCGTTCGTCTCTTCTCTTATTTTCAAATTTTAATTATTCTTTTTCTGGTGGATTTCGACCTTTTTCAGACAAATTTGTGCGCTCCATTGGCGCGGCTCTAACAAACTTTTTGATTATTAAAATATGGTATTTATTATTTTAAATTTTAAGTATAGTTAATCACTTAATAATCAGTAATGTTAAGGTTATTAATTATCCGTATTTACAGAGCTAATCATATGCTTTCTCAGTCAAAATTTTCAGAGATAAATTTAGGAGACAGGACCAGAGTCCGTACCGAGAATTATGCTTGCCCGTGACCGTGAGTGTTCTTTCCATTTTAAGTGATTTGCTGGTGAATATCTTAGTATCCAATTTATTAGACTAAATTAACTTTTCCTAATTTTTAATATGTTTGTTTAAAGGGTCGGTCAGTAGGGTGTTGGAAATTGTTAGTTCTTTGAGAAAATATACTTCCTTGATGGCGTTTTCGAAAGAAAAAAATGTCTTTTTTTTTTACAAAAGTGGTAATTTGTGAAATTTCTTTGTTCTATATACGTTATTGTTCATTCCAAAGCTTTTTAATATCATATTTTGTAACAAAAAAATAATGTTGGCAGGGAACTGAACAGTAAACAATGTTTAATGTTTATGAAATTTCAGAACTCGAGTTCAAGCAAAAGAAATTATGGAAAAAGTTGTGCAAGTCATATAGGATCTGCATCCATAAATCACTATGTAGTATATATTGGAAAAACAAGAATCATGTTTCAGTTTTTTTACTAAGTCTAAGAACCGAAAAGATGTAATGAAATATTAGTAATTTACAGCACCAAAGAATTAATCATTTTACCTGACCATAAGCATATGGAGTAGTAATTAGGAATAGTCAATGTTTACGGAAATCAAGGCAGAAGGGGCAAAGCAATGCCAGGGAATGAAGCCGTGAACATGGGGGAGCCTCCTTATCTTCTTGCTCAAATTAATTATTAATCAAATTTTCAATAAAGTTTTGAAAGGCATTGTTTTCGTAAGCCAAAAGCATAAAATTTAAGATTAAAAGGGACCATATGTCATCCCATTATTGATCGATCGTACGTAAGAATCTCATAGTTTGGTTTATTTTTAAAATACGGATCAAACTAGCCGAATTGATCATTCGAATTTAGTGTATTGTATAGACTGGTTAAATCCTGTATGGACTAATTTGTCAATTCAAGGAATCAGTCTGCAAAATGTTTTTCTTTCCAGTGAAATATATGTCTTTTTGATATTTCCTTATGTATTTATTGGTTTAGGGTAATTCTGATTATTATCATTATATTTACTAATGTACTAATATTATTAGGAATTTGTAACCAAACTGATTGATATAAACCAATCTACCTGAAAAACCGAATTTAGCTTTAATTCTACAAATGCAAAAACTTTTTCTTCAAAAAATCCCTAACTAAAACCAATGTATATTATTGAAATCTTAAACATGAAACTGTACTATATCCATCTTACAAAAGGACTATAAAAAGGCATTGTTTTTATAAACCAAAAGGCACACGAGTAAAGATAGATAGGGGACCTTGTCATAGTTTGTTTTGTTTGAAAGAAATAGACCAAACTAGCTGAGATTTTTATAGTGGAATTGCACAACTACATCTATTTTAGTTTGGTAGAGCCATCTTTCAGAAACAATCATTGGTTTCCGAGATTGGGTCTAAATTATTTATGTCCACTTCACCACAACTAAAATCATGGCCCAATAACGGTAAGTTGGAAAAACAGATTAAAAAGAAACGAACGGCAGCGAGAAACGTCCACAAGATCGGATATCGTTTCCCGATTGATCAGAAATATTTCTATACTAGGTAAGGAACTAATGTTGAGACATGGTTTATGATCCGAACTGATTAGAGAGAGCCTATAGCCTCTATGAAAGAAAAAAGTTTGGATCGCAGGAACCACAACTGTCTTACATGGTTCTTGTTGTAGAAGAGAATACGCTATTATTGCATTTTAAAACTATACACTAACGAAATAGTTGTGAATATAAGCATGGGAAGACTAATCCATGTTTTTAAAATAAACAAAGACTTTTCTTTTTTATCTCTATCGTAAGCAAGATCGAAACAGCTTGTAACTCTTGTGTAATACTCCTCTTTTAATTAAGCTATTCATTAATTGGTTGGCCTACAAAAGCTCTTGTTAATTGTTGTCACATACATATATATATGGGGATAAAGACAGTCCATGGAGGAAATTTTAATTATAAGTTGCATACTAATCCAATATTTTTTGTCATCCTTATAACAATATAATTTGTATACTAGGTCATTTTTTTGGTCGCTAATTAATTAACTTATGCTCACATTTGGACAAGACATCTCCACACGACATGATATGAACTCATTGTCATTGTTTATAGTAATATACAAATATATAATCCCATTACTAATGCACCACTTGTGATGTGGAGTTTCACGACATTTATCACCTCCCACATTTACTAAAAATGACGATAAAAAAAAACTTTATTGATTAATAAAAATATCATTACTATTATACATTTTAAAGATATACGCTACATTCACTCATATCTTGGAATCGTTTTGTCAATGTTCAGCTTGTGACTGTTTAATTACGCACCTGTTAGCTTTTGAACAAGTCATATTACACGTTCAACTTCGACTGTAATTAATGAATATTCTTGACAAAATGATAACAATCGCCATCCTCGACCGATTTGTGTTTTAAGTGTGATCATTGTTGCCCACATCCTCTACAAGTTGTTTGAGAAGGAGTTGTGTATCTTGGCTGTGTGTTTGGACATCCAACGACATAGGAAACTGTCATAACTCCAAAGCAGAATAAGCCTTAGATGGTTTTTAAGACCGTGAAAGGGTAGCTGTTTGGTAATTTGAAGTCATAAATTAAACTATTCTCGGGCTTAAAAATCGATAGTTGACTTTTTGTTCGGACGACAAGTAAACTGTAACATTGTGCTGCTTTAATATTATAGTATATTATAAAGTTACTGGGTGTAACGATTGTATATCCAAAAAAGGATACAGAAAACAGAAAACACACGAAGCCTTTCTTGACCAAAAAATCTCTGGCACCATTGAGAATAATCTCTCACAGCAACAACATGGATAGTGATCCAGAGTCGGAGCTCTTGTTACTCATAACTGAAATAACAGCTATTGGCAGGTCTGCGGATCCGGACTCGAAGCTCGGGGCAGTCAGACTCAGACCTCAACTAGTAAAACGTGTGTGGGGGTCTCGGGAAGTGGAGTATCCGGAGGTAGAGGCAGTCGGGCCTCAAAGAGAAAAACGTCTCTTCACCTCCATGGATCCGGATTTGGAGTCGGAGTTGGCATCACTCATGACACGAATAATCTCTCTGGTCAACTCTATGGATTTGGATTCGCTGCCCAAGCCGGAGACAGAGATCATATCACTCATCAAGAAAACAATCTCTCTCTTCGGCTCTGTATCAGCATCGGAACCTGAGTCGGAGCTGGTGTCACTCGTTACTCAGATGATATCTCTCGGCAGCGATTCGGACTCAAAGTCGGAGCTTATGGTAATAATGGATCTCGCGGATGCAATCTTCTCCCTCACGCCGGAGCCGGAGATGATATCGCTCATCAATCAAATAATATCTCTGGTCAGCTCTAAGAAGTTGAGTCTGGAGTTGAAGCTCAAATCAGTGGTAACTCAGATAAACTCTTACCTCAGCTCTGGGGATTCCGTTTGGCAGCCGAAACCGGAGTCGAATCTCGTATCTCTCATCAAGCAAATAGCTCCTCTCGTCAACTCTATGGGTTTGGATCAGACGAAGCCCAAGTCAGAGCTCATTTCACTCACAAGTCAAATAATCACTCGCTTCAACTCTATAGCAGAATCAAAGCCAGAGTCAGAGCTTGTATCACTCGTTTCTCAAATAACCCCTCTCGTCAGCTCTTCGGATTCGGAGACACAGCTCTTATCAATCATTTATCAACTGTTATATCTCAAGATGGATACGAAGCTCTTATCACTCACGAATCAGATATCCTCTCTCGTCAGGTCTATGAACTCGGAGCGCAAGCAGATGATCTCCTTGTGCCCTCAAGCACAGGTGAAATATGAAGACAGCAAATTCCACGTGACAGGAAAAGTCCCACGGCAGGGTTCCAATGCCAGGTGGCGTTGTCCCCCTAGTCGCAAGTACTTCCCCAGGATACCAACAGAAAACTACACTGCGTATTTTCGTTGTAAAGATTGCAATGGGGAGGATCATGAAGAATATGTCAAGGCTCCTGTAGAGGTCAAACATTCTCTTCATCGGAAACATTCTCTCCAGCTTGTCTGGTACGAATCACCTTTCGGGAGGACCAGGGAATGCTATTGCTGTGATGAAGATCTCTTGCGGGTATTCTATTATTGTTCGGCTTGCGATTATGCTATGAACGTAGCTTGTTTGGAGAAACAGCCACCTTGGTATGTAGACCATCCAAAGTGGCATGAGCACACACTCGTTTTGTTCCCAAGACCGGCTTTCTTGACATGCGATGTATGTGCCTTGGCCGATTCAAGCTCCCCTATCTACATGTGTCCCTCTTGTGACTTTGTTATCCATCTCAGATGTATCAACTTACCACGTGTCATACGGATATCCCGCCATCGCCATCGTATCTCTTTCACTCCTTCTTTTGACAAAGGAGATTGGTTTTGTTGTGTTTGCCGCAAAAAGATCAACAATGATTGCGGTGGTTATTCTTGCATCAACAACGCTTGTTTGTATACAACTCATTCAAGATGTGCCACACAAAGCAATGTCTGGGATGGCATTGAACTAGAAGGAGAGCCAGAAGACATTGAAGAAGAAGAGATGAAGACGTTTGTGAGGATAAGCAGTGACGTCATACAACATTTCAGTCATCCACAACACCACTTGAGACTTGATGAGAACACCGACAGAGATTACGACGAAAATAAGCATTGTCAAGCATGCATCATGCCAATCTATTTTGGTAACTTCTATTTTTGTATGCAGTGTGACTTCTTTCTACATGAAACATGCGCGAATCTTTCTCGCAGAATACATCACCCGATCCATCCACATCTGCTCACTCTGGTGAGTGATCAGTATGATGGTGTTATGGACCATTCTAAGAATTTATGTTCAGCTTGTAATCGCATGTGCAAAACTGGTTTCTTCTATGGGTGCGGTAAAGAAGGATGTTTGTTTAAGTTACATGTGCAATGCGCCACAACTTCTGAGCCATTAGTCCACAAAAGTCACAAGCATCCTTTGTTCCTGACATCCAAACCAGGAGAGAGGAGGAGAGTATGTGGGGTTTGCAAAAGTTTAAAACAATCTGACGAAGAAACATTCAACTGCATTGAGTGCGACTTTGCTTTGTGTTTTGGATGTGCTACTTTGCCTGAAAATGTGAGGTATAAGCATGATAAGCACATGCTCACTCTTTCCTATGGAAACGAGAGGAGTACCGTGATGTATTGGTGTGAAGTTTGCGAGCTAAAAGTAGATCCAACAAAGCGGTTTTATACATGTGATGATTACTGTTGTGTCACCCTACACATTGAATGTCTGCTTGGGCAACACGTCTACATGAAGCCCGGTTTAACGTTAATTGACTACCTTGATCTCGACATAGATGTTCTGCCCAATCATGGTATGTCTCGACCAGTTTGCTACAATTGTAACAGGCATTGTCCATACAAATTAGTTTTTCTATATTTTGGGTCAAACTTTTGTTCCCTACATTGTGTATGTCAAAGGGAACTTGGTTGATGTTCGATTGTTTGCTAGAAAACTTGAATTTATACTTTTAACACAGAGAATTGTTTTACCAGTTCCCGCCTTGCTTACTGGTACGTTTCTTGTGGTGCTCTCCCCACAGAACAAAATAAAAAGACCAACGTACTTGAATAAAGCACACCAAAACTAGAACAGAAAAAAATGTAGACAATTTGTGTATGTCTCTATGACTGTGCCTTTTTTTTTTTTTTTTTTTTTTGTTAATGAGATAATTGTGCCTCTTTGATCCTTTTGTTCTAGATCGTTGACTTTCATTAGGACAACCTGTAAGCTTGAACACACGTATCGTAAGCTTAAAGTAATATAGAAAAGCTGTGAGAAAATCAGAAAACTACTAAGCCTCTTGGTCAGTTGGTCTTGAAAATAGAGATCATAACCCAAAATTTCTCATACAAGCTGTATAAACCTCTCAACAACTCTATCAATGGATTCGGAGACGGAGCTCTTGTCACTCATAACTCAGATAACCTTTCTTGGGAGGTCAACGGATTCGTATACGGTGCGGGTGTTGGAGCTCGTATCTCTCATGACTCAAATAATCCCTCTGGTCAAATCCATGGATTTTGATTCCCTGCCGAAGCCGGAATCAGAGATCATATCACTCATCAAGGAAACAATCTCTCTCTTCAGCGCTGTATCAGAAACAGAACCAGAGTCGGAGCTCGTATCACTCGTCACTCAAATCACATCTCTCGGCAGCTCTAACGATTCCGATGAGAAGCTCATGTTTCTTGTTAATCAAATCTCCTCTCTCAAGCCGGAGCCGGAGATCACATCACGCGTTTATCAGATAATGTCTATCGTCAACTCTGCGAATATGAGTTTGGAGTCGAAGCTCCTATCACTCATTACTCAACTGGTCTCCCTCTTCTCTAGGGATGCCAACACAGAGCAGGAATCCGAGGCCGCATCACTCTGTAAGCAAATCAACACCCTCGTTGGCTCTGTGGATTTGGAGTCCCTGCCGAAGCCAGAATCGGAGGCCATATCACTCATTAAGCAGATCATCTCTGTCTCCAGCTCTGTTTCGGATACGGAACCGGAGTACGAGCTCATATCAGTCTTTCATGAAGCTCTCGCCAGCACTGTTGATTTGCATTCAAAACCGGAGGCAGAGGCGGAGTTAGTTGCGCTCATTGAACGAGTGTTCTCTCTCGAGCCAAAACCGGAGCTTGTGTCACTCATCACTCAGATTTTACCGCTCGTCAACTCTGCGGATAAGCAGTTTATTTCCTTGTGCCCTCAAGTAGAAGTAAAACTCGAACATGGAAGATTTCGTGTGACTGGAAAAGTGCAGCAAAGGAGCAGTAAAAAAGGGGAATGTTACCGTAGAACCATGGACTTCTACAGGATAGTAACAGGAGAAACCTTTGCTCTGTTTCGATGCCCAACTTGCAACGGCGAGGACCATGAAGAATATGACAAGGCTCCACTTGAGGTCATACACTTTCTTCATCCCAAACATTCTCTTGAGCTTGTCTTGTCAAGCGGGGAAATAGCCAGGAAATGCTATTGCTGTGAGGAATATCTCGCAGAGGTTTTCTACTATTGCCCGGCTTGCGATTACGCTATGAACATAGCTTGTTTTGAGAAAGACACTCCCTTGTCTATAGACAATACAAAGTGGCATGAGCATTCACTTACGCTGTTTCCAAGGCTGGCTTCATTAGCTTGTAATGTTTGTGCCTTGACCCATTCAAGCTGTCCTTTCTATATATGTCCCCCTTGTGAGTTTGTGATCCATCAAAGATGCATCAGCCTACCACGTGTCATAAAGATGTCTCGCCATCTCCATCGTATCTCTTTTACTCCCTCTTTTGACCAAGGAGATTGGTCGTGTGGTGTTTGCCGCAAAGATATTGATACTGAGTACGGGGGTTATTCTTGCACCAAGAACGGTTGTTCCTATGCGGCTCATTCAAGATGTGCCACACAGAGCAATGTGTGGGATGGCGTTGAACTTGAGGGAGTGCCGGAAGACATTGATGAGGAAGAAGTTGAACCGTTTGTGAGGATAAGCAATGGAATCATTCAACATTTCAGTCACAAACATCATCATTTGAGACTTGATGAGAACACTGACATAGATTACAAGGGAATTAAGGAGTGTCAAGCATGCATCAAGCCAATCGATGACGGTAGAATCTACTTGTGTATGAAATGTGATTTCATTCTACACGAAGCATGTGCGAATCTTTCTCGCAAAATACATCACCCGATACATGCACATCCAATCACTCTAGTGACGGATAATAGCAATGTAATGGATACTAGGGTGTCATCATGTTCAGCTTGTCCTTGGTTGTGCACTGGTTTCTTCTACAGCTGCACTAAGATCGGATGTCATTTTAAGCTGCATGTACAGTGCGGCACAATTTCTGAGCCATTAGTCCATGAAAGTCATACCCATCCTTTATTCCTGACATCTAAACCAGGAGAACGAAGAAGATGTTCCGTTTGTAAGGATACAGGAGATGCTTATGCAGAAACATTTAATTGCATTGAGGAGTGCGACTTTGCTTTGTGCTTCAAATGTGCTACCTTACCTCATAAGGTGAGGTATAAGCATGACAAACATATGCTCAGTCTTTCTTACGGGAAAGAGATAAGCATGGGGACGTATTGGTGTGAAGTGTGCGAGCGAAAATTAAATCCAAAGGAGCGGTTTTATATGTGTGATGAGTATTGCCGTGTTACCATACATATTGAATGTCTATTAGGGGTGGAGTTTTACATGAAGGTGGGTTCATCGTTGATCCACTTGGGTAGAAAGTTTGATGTTCTGCGCAACAATACTATGTCTCGGCCCATTTGTGTGGTTTGTAAAAAGCGTTGTCCACAGAATGTGTCTTTCCATCGTTTGGGATCAGTAACATGTTCCCTATATTGTGTTCAGTAGCACATGTAATGGCAGAATGGTCAATGTATGTTGTTTCTCTAGGAAATGTGATTGGAATTTGTATTGTGTTGTACTGCTTTGGCAAACATAGCTATGTCCAATATTTTCTTTGTCTTGTAAGAAAACCACAAAGGATCATAGTCATATGTTCTACTAGTTCATATTTTTAAAAATAAACAAAGACTAACTCATAAGATCGAAACAGCCTGTAACTCTTGTTAATTAGTTCCTTTTCTAATTCATTAATGCACACTTATTAATTAATTGGTTGGCCAATCAAAAAACTTGTTGTTGATGTCACATATACGTTGCTACCACTATATTATTTGAGATATGGACAGTCTGGAGACAGATCTTGGATAAATTTTTAATTATAGATTCCATATTAATTTAATCCTTTTGTCATTCTTAATAATATAATTTGTACACTGGGTCATTGTTTAGTCGCGCTAATTAATTTACTTATGCTCACATTTAGTCAAGTCATCTCCACACGATCTGAAAAGTAGGACCATATGATTTTCAGATCAAACCAAAACTGTTACAAACAAAAATGGCTTCCAATGAAGAAAGACCGATATGTCGTCTATCTCATCCAACTCAACCTCACAGCCTCTCCCGTAGAGCCGGAAAAGTCCCTCCATCGGGTTGCTTCGCGTGCGACAAAGATGAATTCTCACCAGCTTCTACGTTCCATTACTGTTGCACCACTTGTGATGTGGAGTTTCACGAATTTTGTCACCGTTATCCAAAGAAGCTCACACACCCTTATCACCTCCAACATCCTCTCACTCTCTCAACTCAAAACACTGAAATAGAGATCAAACCTGGTTACATATTCAAGGAATGTAATTGGTGTGGAGATGACTTGAGAGATGGATCTCAATTCTATCGGTGCTTGATATGCAACTTTTGCTTGGATCTTTCTTGTTCCCAAAACATTCCAACTCTCACTATCACAAATCCCAAAAGTCATCACCATTCACTCTCTTTATTCCCTTGGCCACTCTTATTCCCATGTGAAGCTTGTGGGCTGATTAGTTTGTTGGAACCAAGCTATGCTTGTTTCCAATGTAACTATATGGTTCATGAGAGTTGCATCGACTTGCCCCGTGTCGTAAAAATCACACGTCACCCGCATCGTCTCTCTCACACTCCTTTCCTTCCGGCCACAACTTTGTTATGCAAAGTTTGTTACAAGAAGGTCGACATCAAATATGGCCAGTATTCTTGCAACCAGGAAAGTTGCTCTTACGTAGCGCATTCAAAATGTGCAACTCATATGCATGTTTGGGACGGGAGAGAACTTGAATGGGAACCAGAAGAAGATGAAGATGAAGATGTTGCTTCATTCAAGAGAGTAGGTGATGATATGATAAAATATTTTTGTCATGAACATCATCTAAAGCTTGAGAAGTATGATAGTGTTAGAGACGCAAAGAAACAATGTGAAGCTTGCATCCTACGTATCGACTCTTATGATTTCTACAACTGTAAGCAATGTGAGTTCTCTCTTCACGAGGAATGTGCAGATCTTCCTCGAAAGTTGGCTCATGCACTGCATAGACATCCTCTTGTCCTAGAGACTTCTCCTATACTCGACTACAATTCCGCAGGTTGTTCAACTTGTGCCCGCGAGTCCACTGGTTTCAGGTACAAATGCTCAAGAAATGATTGTGACAATGAGATTCAGATTGATGTTCGATGCGTTTTAGTTCCTGACTGCTTCATTCACAAAAGTCATGAACATCCTTTATTCATCTCCACATCTTATTCAAGAAAAGGTAACATTTCTTGCAATGGTTGCAAAGATAGTGTTCGTGATGAGTATTATCTGCAATGTACTATATGTGCATTTGCTATGTGTTATCGATGCGCTACAATCCCGGATGAGATACACTACAAATACGATGCACATCCGCTCTCGCTTTGCTACGGAGAAGGTGAAGAGAAAGAAGCATATTGGTGTGAAGTTTGTGAGAAAGAAGTGAATCCAAGAGAATGGTTCTACAAATGCAACAAATGTTGCATCACTATCCACCTTGAGTGTATATTCGGATCCTCCGTTTATATCAAGCCAGGTTACACGTTCTACTTCGGCTCTGAATCAATGAAAATTATTGGCAATAGTAGTAATACTCGGCCGATTTGTTTTAAGTGTGATCATCGTTGCCCACATTCCGTGTACTACAAGTTGTTTGAGAAGGATTTTTGTTCTTGGTTTTGTGTTTGGACATCTGACATAGAAAATTGTAATAACTCCGAATCAGAATAAGCCTTAGATGGCCCTTTTTGTAATGGATTCGGTTACAAGACAAAGTTTGGCTTTTTTTACCTTCAAAAACATGTCTAAATTTTCATATATCAGATTACTCAGGGACCAAAAATTGATCTCTATCAGTGACCAACTAAAAACAAATTGGTTTAAGTGACTACTACATGGTAACGTACAAGTTGTGGAGCGTTTTCACCTGAAGAGACTTGAGAGTTTTCTTGGTTTCTTTGTCTTCTCTGATGATAACGAGTCGGTCTCTTCTTTTGTAGACTCTTGCTGAGTTGGTTTCACAAGAACTTTCAGAAGATCACTCATACATTTGTCAGGGACGGTGCTCTGTTTTGCATCTTGAATCTCCTTCACAGGGATGTCCTTGTATTTCACTGTCTCTGCCTCCTTAGAACGGTTCTTTGAAGTCTTTTGCTTAGACTGATGCTGATCCTTTGCTGGAGCAGAGGGAGTTTCTACAGTCTCTTGCTCATCTGTTTTTGACCTCTTTGAAGTCTTTTGCTTTGGCGCCTCCTCAGGGACTAGTGCTTCTTTACGACGTCGCTTAGGCTTTTGTACTGCAACAGACTGATCTTCATTCACTGCTTGACCAGAGAAGGTTGTGTCTGGACACACTTCATACTCTTCGTCATTCTTGTTCTTACTGTCTTCTCTCATTTTCTTCAAGATCTTTTGGTGAGCCTTAAATACCGATGATGTTTTTGAGCCATGGAGTGGAGCTTGACCGTTGTGATCCTCCTTTGATGGTTTAGAAACGACCAACTCAGCCTTCTTCTCCATACAAGCCTCTGGAACGACTTGATTCCCGGCGCTATGTTTCATCTCGACTGGATTTGGCTGCTCGATGATGGTGTCCAGAATGATTCTGCCAAGAACGAATCCCAACTCGCATGGGACTCCCTTTCCAAGCGAGATATAGTCAATAGCGAATCCTTCTTTCTTGCTTCCATATGATTCCACATCACTCAGCCTTGCAAACCAATCTGCTATCTCTCTCCCCTTCTTCTTCGGTATAAACACCTGAGAAACAGCGTATATATGTCAAATGATTCGATTAAGAGAAACTGAAAGTAGAGATTTGGGGACTTTGATGAAAGACATTGGCTGCTTTGAGTGCTTAAACTGAGTATATATGTCTTAACACAATGAATCTTAGCGTAGTAAAGTGTACTATGTACTTACCAGACCAGAGCATTTGAAACCTGGGTATAGGCGTAGGGCTTCACGGAGAGCCTCCATGTCAGTGAGAACATATAGAGTATCGTTTATTAGATACGTTAATGCTGAAACTGCTTTTGCAAGATCTTCATCGGATCTTTTCGTCGAAGATTTAGATACCTCAGGGGCGTATCCGGGTATTGAGTGTTCATGTTCTCTAGCAAATTTGAGAGATCTGCTCCAGTTTCTATGGTAGAGCAGGGAGGCGAAAGCGCGCAGCACAATAGCCTCCTGAGGTTTACTCACTAGTGCCATGTGAAAAGCCAACAATGCAATCCTGTTCAAAAGAAATCAGGACAATGATCAGAGCTAATTGAAGAGACAGATTCATATTCTTATAGAACTAAAGAAACAACGCACCATAGTCTGGAATCAGCAGGTCGGTCGCAGGAAACTAATTTATCCATATTGGAGAATAATTTCTGAAACAGCAACAATGCAGACTCATAAACTGTCAAAAAGGGATCATTGAAAAACGCTTATTCGCATAAAGAACATCACGTACCATTAGCATTAAGGAACTTGGTACAGATGTTTTACTAGCTTGATCCAGGTAAGCTGCCTGAAATCCAGATAAAAAAAGGTAAACAAAAAAAGGCTCAAGAGCTAAAGAGATTGATGAATAAGCAAATCAATTGATATACCTGAAAGGGAAGCAAAACATGAAGTAGTTTGAACTTCATGAGAAGAAGGATGGAAGGCGCAGCAGCTCCATAAGCAAGCATGTAATTCATCTCCAAGATTATTCTAAACTGAAACAAAGGGAAAGTAATGATCATAGACCATGAACCTATTATTTAACATAAAGGCGGTGGTTCTAAATATATCCAAGTTCAAGCAGTAAAATTACCTGGCCTAAATTTGCAATGGAAGATACGAAATCAGGTATTGTAGTCTTAATATCCTTTGACAATGACAGACCCAATCGTGCTGCAATTCTTAACCCCCTGAGAATTCTAGCTGTAAAATGGAGAAAATTTGGTTAGACACAGCAACAAACGTACTTTCTTCAGATACAAGGGCGTGAGGAGATTTAGGGGAATAAATAAGGCATACCGCAATCTTCACTGAAAGAGATACGTGCAGGGACAAGTGTACGTAGCTGCATTCGCGTCAGTAAAACAATGGTTAATTAATAATACCATACACAAAATTGAATTCGCAAAAGAGTAAGCAAAAGTTAGTCACCTTCAGATCCTTCAAGTCTTCCATTCCATTGCTGTAGTCATAAATTTTCAACTCAAAGGGATCATAGAATAAACTGCACGTAGATTTAGTACCACAAGTAAGTTGAGTTTCCAATGATGCAGCCAAACAAAAACAACAGTCCCTTTTTTGCTACACTATGTCTCAGAAACTAACCTGTTAACTGTGAAATCCCTTTGAAAGCTATTCCTCCATCGATTGCAGTCTTTTACATCCAAACCAGAATACATTTTCAACACGCTGCTACTCATATTCGCCTCAGTATTCTGTGGAACATCATATTTCTTCTCTTCAGACTTCCCCGAATCGTTCTCATGCTCACTATCACTGTGCGCCACGGTATCAAAACTCGACACCTATAAAGTGGAGTGTCAAATGTTACACAAGAACAAAATTGCCTAAAACAGAAGATTAACAGCAGAACTCTAAAACTAGGCAAAGACTATGTACCTCAATTATCGAACCTCCCATCCACACATGACAAATGGGAAACCTTTTCCCAATAACCTGAGCACGATGAAACAGTCGCCGGATCTATAAACAAAAAAGACAACATCAATAAAGCAAGAATCCAAAAAAAGATCAATAATCTTAGAAGAGTGAAGCCATTAAACCTGCTTAAGATTAGCTGTAGTGATCACATCATAGTCTTTTGGCACTCTATGGAGTACCAAATCCCTCACACATCCCCCCACAAGGTATGCATCGAATCCTAAAGACAAGAAAAAACAATTACTTTCAGCTTCTTCTTCTTCTTCTTCTACATCAATGCTAACAGATAAAGCTAAAAAGACATCCAGAAACACTAAACCTTGACGTCTGAGGAGTCTCAGGACATTCATAGACGATTCCGGAATCATTGAATTTCTAATTCCAACATCACTTGCTCGTACCTTCTTCCACTTCGATGTATCAACTGTTTAATTCAAATCCATACGAAAGGAACAACCTTTCATTAGCTCGATACAGTCCGAACCAGCTCAGTTAGTATCACACCAAAACAAAAACACACAAGCACCTGAATTTGGGTCTTCATCAATAACTGAACGAATGCTGGAACACTTCTCCATGACTCCCTCACTCTCAGCAAGCGTGTAGTTACTCCTCTGAAACTAGAGTCCAGAAGAATTCCGCAGATGAAGTGTTCGAGCAATTGCCGCACAGAGAGATTAAGCAAATTCCAAAAGAGAGAAATTACCCACCTTGGAGTAAATGAAGGATAGGGTTTGAGAACGAAAGACTGCGTTTCCTCTGCGCTTAATTAATCCCGCCATGGCAAAGACTCGAAATCATGGCTCTTTAAGCAACATGTAGAACCATCGTTTCAGAGAAAGCTCGTTCCTTTGCAGAGTCGCGACTTCTTAGGGTTTAACTTCTATGAACCGGAGTTCACTACCGGTATGGTTCAGGTTCCAACCCGGTTTTGGAGTTTTAATCGATAACCGAAATTTTATATTTCAGCCAAGGGTCAATCTCAGGGACTTGGGAACTCCGGTAAACCGCTTGCTTTGTGACTTTTGTCTTAAGAAACACCAATTTGGTCGGTTCGGACTAAGAATGTAACAAAGAGGATTAGGCAAACATTGTCCATGTCTAAGGTTCTTTGTTCCTAAAATGATTTGACTATATTGCTTTGGAGAGAAATACATGGAAGACCTCTTGATTTTAAGACACTTTTTTCAGATTCTGTAAAAATGAGTTTTTTTTTACATTGAATTTCACCTGAAGTTGTATTTAGTGTCTGTTATCAATGGTGTTTGATATTCTTTTGAAGTCCTTAAGTTTTCAATTATCCATTTTCTCAAACTCCAATTCTAGAGTGTCCCAAAACAAATGTTAAGAGTCTGGAACTTGCACGAAAAGGAGAGGAAGTGAGATGTCTTTAAGATGGATTTTCTGGCTAACAACTCATAAAGAAAAATCTCAAACGAGCACATAAATTCGTGTGTAAAATACATTGACTGTTGTGTTCTATGTAAAGCAATCCCAAAACTTCTTTATAATAGTACATCAGCTCACATGAAAAGCCAAAACAAAGAGAGTTTGTATCCTTGAGAACGATTCACAACTGTTTCTTCTTCTTCTCCAAGTACGAATGGCTTCTCTGGAAGTTCAATATAGCCCACACCAAATGCCTCAGACCAATCTCAGGCCACAAAGCATCAGGAGAAAACAGCTGAGAGTTACCTGTTTGCCACAGAAGAAAATTGCTCAGCCTCGTCTCTCCTGAACTCCGAATCAGTATATCAGGATCAGGCGCCACGCTCATCTGCATATTCTCCTCAATATCCACCAACTGTATCCTCCTCTTCTTCTCCATATCCATTCCTTCTCTATCCTCATCTTTACAACTACCAGACGCTTCTGACTTGTTCATACAAGTTTTCTTGACAGCTTGCACGATCTCATCCGTCGAGTTATAGGCAATGCAGACAAGAAGCACCAACCGACTGTTCTTAGCAGTGGCATTCATGACTTCTTCCGCAGCAGCTCTCACTTGATCACTAAGAAGCGAAAAGTTACCGATGAAATACACTCGCATACCATATTCATGTACAATACTCTCTTTCTCTAGCAAAGAGTTAATCTTTTCCAACAGCAAATCCATCAGAGACTGAACCTCCTCAGGCCGTCTTCTAAAGTTATCTATGCTAAACGCGTATATCGTCACATACTTGATCTCCAGCTCGTAGCAGTACTGTAGCATCGACATGAGCGCAGAGAACCCGGCTTTGTGACCTGACCCGTCTACTAAACCGCACTTCTTTGCATACCTCCGGTTTCCATCCATGATAAAGGCGAGATGGTTTGGCATAGGACCCATAGATATGACTCGGAACAAACATCTTCTTGAAACACCGCATAGCCTCTCGAGAAGTTGATTAATTCCACCACCTATACGTCTTACTTGCCCTGGAGATTCAGCCATTTGAGGTTCCACCTTCCAATATCAAACAACATTCTTTTTCAGTAAAAGGCTTAAACAAGATATATCAACAGCACATACTCCATGGTTTTATAACAGTACTTTACTAGGTAACATGTATCACCTTAAACCCATCTATATGCAAACAGAGCAGCAACGAATGATGCCAAAACCCAAGAAGCTAAGTAATAAAAGCTTGGCCTTTATTCATGCTAATCTTGACATTTTGCAATTTCTAAGGTTAACACTCAACAGTAGGTTTTTAAGTTTGTGAAGCAGAGGACGGAGTTACCTGTGTAAAGGGAGGTGAGAGAAGCTGACTTCACACAGAATGCGTCCAAAGAGCTACTAAAGGAAAATAAATAAAAAGTTTTCAAAATTTAGTTAAAATTAAGCACAAGTCAACTGGAAAAATCGCTTGCCAGAAAGATATGAGAAAGAATCAATGGAAAGAGAGAACATAAAGGACGAGATTCGGTACAACGAAGTAGGAAACGCAAAGGAGGAGAATGAACAAATGAGTGAGGAATCAAATTTACCGATAAATTGTGAAGAATACTTGGCTTAGCCAAGGAGAAATTGTCGCAGAGAAGCAGAATCCGAGTAAGATCGAGAAACGAAGCAGCACTGGAAAACCAGAGGAGAGAGAGAGAGAATCGATAATCGTGCAGGGAATCTACCCAACCAGAGACAACCAAATGATTTCGGTTGAAAACCCTAAACTGAAACTCCGGGATCAAAGCTACGGATTTGGGAGGGAGAGTCGGAATCTCACCAAGCTTTGATTCTGTCAGAACGAAGAATGATCAATTGAGGATGTAAGCGCGATCGAAAGCCTAAGTTTTGAAAAGGAACTCAAACTGGGGAAAGAAGAAAAAGGGAGACTTTCGAAGTGAAACAGGTGAAATCGACGGCGCGACCGTGATTCTCCGTTGTGACTCTGTGAAGGAGAGAGAGACAGAGATGAAGCAAGAGAAGGGAATATTCTACAAAACTAAAGTAGAATAACCGGAACCGGTTCACCCCGATTCAACTTTTTTATTTTTTCTTTTCCTTTTTGGTCAACTTTTGAGGTGTCCTACTAGAAAGCAATGTTTTATTCAATTGGGAGTTTTGCTTTCGCTTTTCCATTTTAGAAATTGATAACCTACAAACAAAAATAAACATATAACTGCAAAAAAAAACTATAATTCAGTCTTAAATATAAATTATTGTGATCATCTAAAATCTGAAAAATCAAAAATCAAAAATCAAACCCAACCAAGTCGAATAACCCCTTGTATTTTTTTATCTTTTTGTTCATGAAAATCCTTTGAAAACAAAACAAAATCAACGGGAGATCTGCAAACTCAGGAACACGTGTCATATGGACGGTCAAGATTGAAAGAGAAGAATCCATGATTCCGTCCGTTATTCTTTGTCACCCACGTGGCAATTATTTTGCGTCCCTTCATATAAAAATCCCGCCACAGTACGAATTTCAACCCGCTTTTAATTTTAAAATCCAAAATTTATTATAGCGCATCAAAATCCTAAACACTTCAACAACAAAAAAAAACTCATTACACTCGTCAAACAAACAAAAAAAAGGTAAACAAACTCGCTCCCACCGGTTTCGTCAAACTCAGTCCGAGTCATCCGATTCTCTCTAACGATTCTTCGTTTTTCGCAGAACTCGTGATGAAAGGTGGTCAATCCAAAGCTGAAGCGACGAGCACCGATCAGAGGTTCACTCTCCAACTCTCCGTTTTCTCTGCATCTGAGATCCAGATTTTTTTGTTTTTCGCATCTTCAATTGAAACTTTTTTTTTCCTCACCTGTTTCTGATTCCGATTCGTAGATTGAAAACTAGAGGTAGAAAGCCTGGGAAGAAGACAGCCAAGGATCCAAACAAGCCCAAGAGAGCTCCAAGTGCTTTCTTCATCTTCCTGTAAATTCTCGATCCGCCATTTCCTCACTGCTTTGATTTTTTTCCATTTTCCGTCAATTTTTCACTGATTCATCTCCGTCAGGGATGATTTCCGGCGGGAGTTTAACTTGGCGAATCCTAATAACAAGTCCGTCGCCACTGTAAGTACTCCGAAATTTCTATAAATTTTTGATTTCTCCATCTCAGATCTGTAATCGGAATCCTAATTTGCTTGCAACATCAGGTTGGTAAGGCTGCAGGAGCTAAATGGAAGTCTATGACTGACGAAGTAAGTAATCGCCATTTGAATTTTGCTCGATTGATTAAGCTCTTGTAGAGATCCATACTCAGAAATGTCTTTGTTGATTGAATCTGTAAAATATAGGATAAAGCTCCTTACGCCGACAAGGCAGAGACTAGGAAGATTGAATATGCTAAGAGTATGCAACAGTACAACTTGAAACTGGTATGAATTAATTCTCAATTGTTTATAGCTTTGACATTCTCTAGAGAGAAAGAGAGAGAGAGTTCTTATGATCTTGCTTCTTCGTTTAGGCTAGTGGAACCAATAGAGCTGATGATGATGACAACAAGTCTGAAGTGGACGAAGCAGGAGGCAGCGCAGAGGTTTTGATTTGAGACTCTTTAACCTATATTGGTATTGATTGCATTGTATTGATGTGTGAGTGTGACATTGGGATATCTTCGATTTTTGGCAGGAGGAAGAAGAAGACGATTAAGGATTCTAGTTCTCTTGCTATTTGACTGACTCAGATTTGAGGGATGGATTAGCAATTTGTGTAAACTTGTTTTAGATATGACCAAAAAACAACAAAAGGAAAGAGAGAAAAAACTGGTTATTTATGCTTTGTGTTTGTGAAACTGAGAACTCTCATTTGCTACTTTCTATGTGTTTAGGTCAGTTTGTAGGGATTGAAATTTGAAATGCTGTATTCCCCACATTTCCTTGTGTTTATTAAGGATTTATAATTTGTGCTTCATTTCTACTTATTGGGTAGTATTTGTTTCCAAGTCCCTCCTTTGTTTCAGTGCAACAAATAACCAACCCCATCGTAACCCCCCGCAGCCATAAAACTGAAAGGCTATAATGCAATACGAATCATTTTCATTCGATATAGTTTGTTAATGCGTGCGTCTAAGAGACTATAGGAAGAGCAGACTGTTTACAGAAGAAAGTTGGAAGCTTTGTTACGCGATTTATACAAGTATATATGTACAAATTGATTTTTGAGGTCAGCTTCTCCTATATTAGAGTCTAATGGCATTGTGAAACCAAATTCTAGAGGGAAGTGAAACTTGCGACCCTTTTTAGTGAAACAAGTTTTGTCTATCACCTTTTAACGAATTAAAGTCTTATTTCAGGTCTTATTCGTCAAATAATTAATGATAAATTCCGGTCTTAATCGATTATTCGACAAAGAAGTTTCAACTAACAATATATATTAAAGAATTACTCAAAGATTTAAAAAAAAAAAAAAAAAATACCCCCAACAGATTTATAGTTTATTTAATTTTGAGTTAATATCAAAGTGTTACGTTTTGTAATTCTCTTATTCTCTCCGCATGAATATAAGCATGAAAAAACTAAGGGTGGAAAATGGGGGATATTGAGGTCACACTAAATCAAGTAAAGTGTCTAAATAATGATGAAGACTGTTTCAAAGAGAAATAGGAACTAAAACTAACAAGTACTATTTCCACCAGCAACATGGTTCTATTGGACAACAACGACCGAGATATGGCAGCGAAAAAGAAAATAAGAAATTCAATGATATATATGAGAAATGTCGAGCTTCATAAGCTCATGGAAAAGCATGTGCGATCAAAAGTATATGATTGTGTGTTAAACATGCTCCTTAGAGCATCATTATCGCACAGTTTGAGCACAAGAAAAAAAAGAATAATGAGGTGATAAGTTTTTGACTGAGAAACGTTTCTCGGAGAAAAGTTTACAGAACCGTTTCTAAAGTGGAAGCTCACCATATGTCACAACATTCTTTTTTTCTTTAAAAAATCGAGTTTTTAAAAATTAATAAAGAACATTTTTAAACTCAGCGTGGAGCTGTGCCATAATAATGCTATTAGCTGTGGTGGACATTAACATTCAACACCCAAAACCCTTGACCTAATAATCAAATGGTTGCTGATGGTTTTGACTTTTGAGCATTCTTTGTTAGCTTCATTCCTTTGTTGAATCATCATAAGCCGTAAGAGATTGTTATTATGACTTATGATCATTTGACTTCAGCCCGAGAATGTGGCTGAACATGTTTTGGATAATTGTTTTTAATTTTTGGGCTATCATATAATAATAGGCCAGTATTATGATTATCAGGCTTTCTCGTCTACTTAGAGTAAACCTTATAGGCCTATCTAGATATATGTACTGATTATTTGGGACCAAACTATAAAGGAACACATGATTTAAAGGTAAAGTAGTATTCCATTTTTGTGATATGATTAAAGAAGCCGCGAGGAGAGGAAGAATTCGATTGCATGTGAGTCTGATGCGACTTTTAGGAACTGATGTGATCAAAGACAAAAATGATTAAGGTTGGTCCCATAGACATATGTAGATGTGTAAGTTAGAGTTTAGTGCTTCTTTGTTTTTTAAAATCTTGTAAAAATTTATTATATAGTGTAGCTTTTATGTTCGTTTGGTCTCTATCAATGTTTTTGGATCGTCGCATTACTTAGATTTTGCAAATTTTGGGTTAATATCAAAACTTTCTTGACCAAGAATACGATCGATTTGTTTTAGGCGAGGACTTTTTCTTCTTTTTGAAGTTTTACTAGTCTCACCGAATATTTCCTACAATTAAATTTAGGAGTTGTTCGACATCCTGAAGTATCCATCATTTTCACAAAGTAGCAGTCCTTGTTTAGTAAGTGTTGATGGGAGGATTCGCAACAAGAAGAGTTAATTGAGATCGATCATATTAATAAATGGGCTTTATTTATTTTTGTTTGTTCTAGCCTTCGCATTTATTTTGATTTTTTTGCTAAAGTTTTTCCCGATTTCACAATCTAGTTGAAATAAATAATAAAACAATGCTCTATGTAATAGATTGGAGCACAGTAAAAATACAAAATCATGAGAATCTACGGATAGAGGATCTAAACATACGAAGTCTTCTTTATTCATTAAAGTGGTAGTAATGAGTCTAATGACTAATGAGAATCAAATTGAGTTTTAACTTGTAAGATGTGCAATATAGGTAGCATAGTCGTAATGGCTCTAGGCATAGGGTTTAATCGGATGGAGTACTAACGTAAGCTCGGATTCGTAATAATATACAGATGTGGGGAATGAATAGATGAAGATTGTGGGAAATTTTAATAATAATGAAAAAGGTGAGAATGAAATAAAAGAAGTAATAATGGAGGAGAGTCGAGGGAGGATACGAAGCACATGACGATCCATCATTAATACATTTAAGAAATAAATATAAAAATAACAAAGCGTGTTTTGAGTCATAACTTTACAACTAAAAACCCCACAATGCCATCACCATCACCATGAGTTGTATGTATTGTATTCTTATCGAATCCCACCTTTTATTTTCTTTGTAATATATGATGAACTTGTTTTAAAAGTATTAGTATTAGCTTCCATGAGCTACAATAATGTTGTGTTAGGTCGTTTACGTTGTGAATTAGATTTTGTTTTCTTGTAACGCATTTATGTTAGTGTTCTCGAATTTGAGTATTCTTTAATATAGAAACAGAACAAATTATATCTGACTTTTAATTTCCAGTTGTTCGTATTAGGATTCGATGATTGTTGTAATTTTGATTCGTAGTATAGGTTAATGAACTGTAGAAACAAAAATTCCAGATAACCAGAATATGTGGGAAAGGTTAAATATTATTACTAGTATAAAACTATAGGTAGTTGGGTGAAATCAAAATTCTTTTAATCTGGCAACATTTTCTAATTAGTCACTTGTTTTTGGGTGTATTGACAGGGACTAATTATATAACTAAGAGCTAGCCACTTGATTAATACAACAATGAATATTTAGTAGTTATTAATTTATTGTAATTTGCATATATATAGGGGCGAATCTGCTTTGACGAACATCCATGCATGCATATATAATTGGAAAAGACCATAACTTTTTTTTTTATAAAGGGAAAAGAACAGAACTAAAGCTAGTAATGGGGGATTAGTGTTTTGCATGTATGCAGCAACGTCTTTAGATTGTATGCTTAATTTCACGTTAGATTCATATTCAAAGATATTTTTAGAGAGAATAAATTAAAATGTGTAAATAATTTGAAGTGTTCTTAAATTGCTAGATAGTCAGTTAGTCGTTCGTTAGTCATTTGACATTTTTCTTACAATAAATACTTGTGTTACATAAACATGTTATGTCTTTTTTGTGTGTTCATATTGTTTGAGAAAACAAGTCACCGTTACATATGTATAACATGTAACCAAGGACGAACATGTCTTTTTCTCGATGTTCAATTCTATCACAGCCTCATGAGAAACAATGTTAAAAAGCCAACTAATAAATAAGTTAAGAAACGAAGTTGATGAAATACATTTAATTGTTTCTTTTGACAGAAATTGAGAGTTATTGTTATTGTTGGGACAGGTTTTATTTTTACTCCAATGTCCATGACCATGAGCTGTTCCTTACATGGTTTCGTATGTTGTTTAGTTTAAGTTATATATTAATATATATGTATAATTAAAAATTATTTTTCCATAATCTTTATTGCATTAAACTGATTAAACTATTTATCGATAGTTAGTACCGAAGAGACTGATTTCACAATCCAACTACCCTTCTGTTCACGTTCCAACTTACAAAAGAGAATGGGAATTCTCATTCATTCTCATTTATTTATTTCTTATTTCTCGCTTTATTACCCATTTGTTTTCTCTACAATAAAAATATTAGTCAAGGAATCTTTCAACTTGTCCGACGAATTTTCGATTTTCTATGAATCCTTATTTCAGATATTTATTACTTTCTTATACAACCTTCAATCTTCACTATATTCATGATAAATATACATGAAAAAGGTTCTGCCAAACTAAATGAAAACATCTTTATAAAAAAATCTAAATGAAAACAAAAACTAATTTCCAGTAACATAAACTTTTGATGATTATATTCTTTGTTGTTACTCACAATAATGAGAATAATGATAAAGATGTTTTTTAAATATAAAATAATGAGAATAATCATAACGGTTAACAGAAGCTCAATCAATAATCGATCAATAATAATTACTTAATTTGGAGCGGCTCAAAGAAACCACGTACGTACCGGAGAAAGAAGAATACTCTGTTATCTCTGAATGTCCACGTTTCTTCTCTCTCTTCTGCAAAATTCCGTTTTTCATTTTCTACTCTCTCTCTCCAAAAGTGAGAAAGCGACCGGAGTTCCGTACTTTGGATTAGATGTGTTTCGTCTCGCTGTTTCGTCAGTTTCCTACTACTACTCACCATTAGTCCTCTCTCTCCCTCTCTCTCTGTCTGAAAACGACTTTCCTCTGTTCCCCCCAATTCTTCTCTCTCTCTCTCTCCCTCTCTCTCATCCTCTCACCATCTCCATTTTCGAGGTTCATTGGTTCATGAGAGACATTTCATTGATTTTGTTTCCCCCTTTCTCTCGATCGGTTCTTTGCGTAAAGCTCGTACTTCTATTCTGTTCTGTTCCTGGTTTCAGAATCTGTCTTTCTTATCCCCAATTGTCTCTGTTCTGTTCTGTCTCTCTAATAAAGTTTTTTTTTATCATCCTTTCTTCTCCTAAAAGGAAATTCACATTTAATTCACTCTCTCTCTTGTCGGAAACTGGGTTTCGTCTTTCTCCGATGACTCATCAGATCGGAAGTTCAATCGCCGTTTGAAGCATTCACTTTCTCTCTATCTCTTTATTTTTCATTTCACCGGAGATCCAATCGCCGGATAATGGGAGGCTTATTGCATCTCTTCGACTTCCACAACAACAGCTTCTCCCGGAAAGTTTTCTCCCATCACAAAAGCCGCGACGAAGGTGAGAAATTCACTTTATTTAATTGATATTTACAGAGAAAAATCAAATATATATATTTTTTTTTTTGGTTTTAAGAAAAATCAAATCTTGTTTCTGGGGTTTTACAGTTAAATTCATAGTTTTGAACATTGATTAATCGATCTTTTTGTATTTCTGCAGATCTGGAAGCTCCAAGGAATAGTTTTGAGCTCCAAGTTGACAATTTTCAGTCTTACCATAACGAGAAAGACATACCGGTAAATATATAATAACCAACAAAATTATGTTTTTTTTATTTACTCTGAATTAAAGAACAAAATTGGTAAATGAGTGTTTTTTTTTATATTAATACAGCAGAGTTATGGATATGAGGAAGAGGAATGGTACGAGAGAAGCTGTTACCCAATTGAGGAATCAATGAAGAAGAAGATCATTGAGGAGCTCTCAAAACGTACCAACGACAAACAACAGAACACACCGAGTCTTGTAGCTAAGCTTATGGGAATGGAGTCAACTCCTCTAGAGTCTACTAAATCAACGGCTTGGATCAATCTCAATCTTCATCGTCACTCTACTAAATCGGATCAATCTCATGAGAAAGGAGGGAAAAGAAACAGGAAAGGCAAGTTCTCTTCATCAGTGAATGTAACAGAGGCAGAGGAGATTATGAATCCACCAATGCGTCGAGAACATCCTCAAGAAGAAGAGCTTCAGAGATTCAGAAGAGAGTTTGAAGCTTGGCAAGCTGACAAAAGGTCTAAAGACTGTTCAAGAATCGTCATTGAATCAGACTGCAAAGAGAAAGAGAGGCTCTTCACAAGAACTAGAAGCTTTGGTCGTGATTTTAACTTGAAAACAGAAAGAGCAGCTCCTCCTCCTCCAACAAGGATTGTGGTTTTGAGACCAGGTCCTCAGAGAGTGTATGAATACGAAGATTCGTTAACTACTTCTTCAGGAACAACCATGGAAGGAAGCAGAGGAAGCAGCATTGAGGAGTTTCTTGAAGAAGTTAAAGAGAGGTTGAAAGGTGAGCTTCAAGGAAGAGCTCTCAAGAGAAGCTCATCGGTGAGAGGAAGCGGGATCGAGACTCCTTTCAGCGAAAGACCTTTCCCTAGGTCTGAATCGATGAGATCATACGCCGCGAGTGAGGTCCAGTGCAATGCACCAGACTCTCCTCAAGAGTTTATAAGTAGAGACACAAGAAAGCTTTTGGCAGAGAGGTTGAAGAATGTTTTGAGGAAAGAGATGACTCCTTCTTCATGTAGTAGCCGCTTGCGACCTACTGTATCTGATGCAGAGAAACAAAGTGATGGAATCGATGAAGAAGAAGAAGACTTGAGAACAAACAGAGATGTTACTAAGAAAGAGACTTCATCGCCAAGAAATCTCAAAAGATCTTTATCTGCTCCTGTCTCAGGGACATCGTTTGGTAAGCTTCTGTTAGAGGATCGGCATGTTTTGACTGGAGCGCAGATCATGAGGAAGCACGAGGCTGTGATAACAGAGCGAGAAGAGACAGAAGCAGAAGCAGAAACAGAACCAGCTGTTGTGGATCCGATTAGGAGGAAAGAAAGATTCAATCTCAGGAAGAAAGTCTCAAGCTTTAGATCAACTCTTAGAGGGAGAATCTTTGGTAAGAAGATACGTTCGATGATTGAATCAAACAGCTTCGAGGATGAATCAATCAAGGATTTTGTGACGGGTTCGAGGTTTAACAACTTTTACGATCGAAATGTAAGAACTTTTCTAACTCTCTTTCTCTTCTAACAACAGTTGCAGGTGTTCTTGTTATAATCTAGACTAAGACAAGCTCTGTTTTGTTTTTTCTTAGGAGAATTCAACAGAAGTGCCTCCAAGCCCTGCATCAGTCTGCAGTAGTACACCAGAAGAGTTCTGGAGGAATGTCGATTATCTCAGCCAGATTTCGACACCTGATGTGACTGTATCTGATGAGAACGGTATGCCACAAGTCTTCAGAGACATCAGTTCCAATCTAAGTGGTAAGAAAACTAACCAAAGTTTTCTCCTTTTTTCTTGAAGTGTTTCTCATTCTCTGTTTCTGTTGTATCAGAACTAAGAAGGCAGATAAATGAGCTTGACTCTGACATACAAGTGCCAACGCCTGTGGAAGAAGAAGCAGCTCGAGAGATTGAGACCATTGTTGATTTAGGAAATCCAGACAAAGTTTTTGTGAGAGATCTTCTTGTGGCTTCTGGTTTGTATGAAGGGACAACAGATAGATCATTGTCTAGATGGGATCCATTTGCCAAGCCTATAAACAAATCTGTTCTTGAAGAAACAAAAGAGAATATCAAGAAAAGAAGCAATGAGAATCAAGAAGACGAAGAAGATATTGAAGAGAGTACAAGAAGTGAAGATAATCATGACATACTGTTTGATCTTCTGAACGAAGTACTTACTGTGGTGCTTGGACCATTGACAAAGTCAGCTTTCAAGAAGAAATTTATTAGCTCGTGTGTGTCTGAGCCGACGACTATACGAGGTATATATCTGTTGGAATCAACTTGGAGGATCATGTCGGAGTATTTATATTCTCAGCCGGATAAACCATTTTGTTCATTGGATGGGATTATTGGTTGGGACTTGGAGAGGTGTCCATGGAGTGGTTTGATTGGTGAAGAAGTTAATGTGTTGGGGAGAGAAGTTGAAAGTATGATCATGGCGGATCTTGTTGATGAAGTTGTCAAGGATCTAGCTAAGAACTTAAGATAAGAGGGTAAATCTGATTGGTTTGGTCTGATGAATGTGAATGGTTTTTGGTGTGTTTCTGTAAATAGGGTTTTTTTATGGGGTGTTTTTCTTGAAGAAGTGAGTTTCCTTGGTAACTGTAAATGTTTACTTACAGCACAAGGAAGCTAGATCTTCTGATTGTTACATAACGACTATTTTACTAATACTAAAAGGAGTTTCTAAATTTTTTATAAAGGTTGCACACTTAATTCTAGGGATACTCAAGAGACTAAACAAAATTTTGATTCTTTGGTCATAACTCATAACTGAGAGACATCATAACCAGCTTGTCAATTTCACACGTCTTATCAAAGTCTAAATCGCCTAGTCCCATCATGTGGATTGTAGACCAAATTTTAAATATAAGACATTTGTGCATGCCAGTGAAACTATTGACAACGTTTTCAGGAAATCACACTTTGACCTCTGTTTCAATCCGTTTAAAATTGGACAGTGACAAGGCGTTTAAGATCAAAGCTGTGAAGTGTCAACTTGAGCCACCACATGTTTTGACCAAGTTTCATAAAATGTAGATCACAGAATCGCTCATGTCTAACGAAACGCGGTCCATGAAGACCCATTTTTATCATCAGGTGGAAAGACTATTTGAATCAGAGGAAATACGAGAACTAAAGGAAAGGTTTGTGGCAGTTTCAAGAAGAACTACATATTCTCTTATAATATATAGTAATAAAATTATAAGAGAATATGTAGATCTAAAATATAAACATGCAGATCAACTTGTCTATGTGCAAATGCAACACGTCTAAGATCAAACAAAGTATCTAAAATAGATTTACAATAACAGCCTTTTATCTTATAGGATAGCATAAGAGAATATGCCTAATCCATTAAAGTAGATTTGCAATTTTTTTGTTTGTTGTAAACTCTACGTGATATACGTCTATATAGTTTATTATTTAAAATTAAATACAACCGATTTTAAAAGGATAAAAAGATTACCCAAAATTGAAATGAAAATGTTTGTAATTTCTAGATATAGAAAGTGTACATCTACAATAGTACCAACTAGCTCCGTTGAAAAAGAAGAAAGAGAGTTATGACGGCCGTTATTACAGTTGGACGGAAATTGTAATAAAACGGAGAGAAAAAAAGTCTGGTCAATTTTCTGGTTCACTTTGTGAGGTAAATGTAAAACACAAAAACGTAAGAAAATAATCAGAGAGAAAAAAACAATTAAGAGATAATTAAAACTGATTCGTAGGGTTTACATATAAAAACGAAAATGGATCACAGAGATTGGAAACAACAAACATCTCCTTCCTTCCTTCTCTATCTTCCCCATTTTCTCTCCTTCTGAAAACCCTAAATTTTCTTTCCTCTCATCTCCAACCTCTCTCTGGTTTTGCCTCTCTCTGTTTCTCCGATGAACAGAGCCGATGAGATAACTTCAAAGCCGCGTAAATTCACCTTGTAACAACGGGATAAAAACGAAGTTTCAGGTACTCAGAACAGCTTCTTCATCTGGCACTCTTCGTTATATGATTCTTATAACTCTACATGTTGATCAACTGAGAAATTCTCCTTTTGATGTGATTTCTGTGTTCTTATGATAATTCGATTGATCAAACTTGGTTTCGGATGGGTTTTTTGAGGATTCATGGATTGCTAAGATGTTCTTCGTTTTCGTGATCGGATTGAAGTTTCCGATTGTTACCGATTTTGATAATGTGAACTCACCGATCGATTCATCGTTCTGATTTGTTTCCAGTTTCGATCCATTTTCTGAATTTCCGATATTGATTTGATTTGTGATCTGAAACAATTTCGATTTTGGGTTTTAGCTTGATCGGAAGAGATTTGAGCTGAGAGAAAAATGGCGACGAATGCTTACGATGTGAATCAGCAGCTCGATTCCGATTCGCTTTTACCTCCACGGAAGCGATTACTCGCCGGATTAAAAAAACAGAACTCCAATTCCGGCAACGGATCTTCTTCTTCTCCGAGCCCTCCTCCTCCTCCCAATTTCGCTTCTTCCTCTTCAACCTCATATTCAAACGGTTCCTCCTCTGCTTCAACCGATGTGCAGACTCATCTCGACAATCTATTGACTTCCCAAATCAACGACGACCAAACCCGATCGCCGGACGAGCTAGCTCAGGCGTCGAGAGCAACCGCTGCGTTAGCAATCAAGATCGCAAAAGCCGCGAGAGCCACCGCTAACGAGAAAGCCATCATTGCTTCAAAGGCGGTAGCTGCAGCGAAGAGCGCTTTGGAACTGTTCGCTTCTTTCCCGGCTGAGACGGCGAAGGAGAAGTCTCCGAGGATGAAGAACAAGCAGAAGAAACACGTCCCCGTTCAGCTCCTGTACTCGAAAGGAGCCGCCGCGAACGATGATTTAGCGCGGCGGTTGCACCGAGCGATAGACAATTCTCCTAGAGTCGCCGACGAGGTGTTAGCTCGTAGAGTCTTGAGGGATTGTGGCTCTGGCTCTCATAGGAGCAAGAAGCAGAAGAGTGTGGTTGATTATGAGAACCGTGCGGTGACTAGTACTATGTACGATGGGCATGATGTTGCTGGTGTTGTGGATTCAGATAGCTCGAATGACGAGGGAGGAGAGAGGAGGAGAGTGAACGGGAAGCTGGTGTTAAAGGAGAAAACAGGGGAAGAGAGTAGCTCCTTGGGGAGAAGAAGAGGAAGAGTGAAGCTAAAGAAGTTGCCTTTGAGTATGTGTGGCTCTAAGGATCAAGAAAATGGGATCATGATGATCAACAAATCTCCATTGATGGAGAAGAATGTTGGAGGAGGAGTTAGTAACCAGCCGGAAGGTGGTAATGGTGGTGTGGCTCAGGTGGTGAGGTCATAGAAAGTTTGTACGTTGATATCAACTTTTTACCTAAAAGAGGTAAGAGAGGTGGAGATTCAGAGGCATTGCCATTTTCAGGAGAATCCGAATGTTGTTTATGTTTGTTATCTTGTTTTGCTTTTTTGGGAATTTTTATGTTTACTTGTATATTTTTGGGAATAATATCTAGATACATAGATTTTTATATATGTGTTGGTTGTTGTTGAATCATTTGTAAGTGTTGTTGAACAATGTTCTCTAGTGGTTTATTGGGATTTGTAGATGAGAATTTGAAATTTAATAAAGTGGTGGCTTTTTGTTGCTGGTTGTTTTTGTTTCTTCTGATTTATCTTAGAAGTTTACTTCTTTCCTCGTATTTTTTCGATAAATTAATTTATAATTAAGAAGTATAACTCCAAAAAATAAATTAATACTAATAAGTTACTAACTATTATAAATAAATTGAATTAAATAAAAAGAAGGAGAAGTTATGAAGGAGAGATGGAGAGAGAGAGTTACTAAGAGAGAGGGTGTGTGGTGTACGTGAGGAGAAGAGAGATGAAGAGAAGTTTCGTATGTTGAAGGAGAGAGTATTGGTGAAAGATTTCTTATTTGTATTCAACTTATATCTTAATACAATAATAGACTCCTATTTATAGAGAGTAAATAATGTTAAAAATATTACAGTCGGTAATGTAAGGCGGTGAACGAAACTTACACCATAAGTATAATTAAAATATTTGGATAATTATCCTTTCTAACACTCCCCTTAATTATCCGCTTTGTATTATGTACGGTCTCGTTAAAAAACCTATGTCATAGAAAAACCCAATGGGATAAAAACTATGACTTAGGAAAAAGAGTACCGCAGCATAATCTCCCCCTGAAAAGATAGAATCTTTTCTTTTCACAAATTTTGTAGACGACGCATTCCGATACTGTGAACATGCTTCTTGAACACTGTAGTAGGAAGCGCCTTTGTAAAAAGATCGGCTGCATTGTCACTTGAACGAATATACTCGATGTCCACTTCTTGATTTTTCTGGAGTTCTTGAGTGTATGAGAAAAATCTTGGAGGAATATGCTTCGTTCTGTCACTCTTGATATAACCTTCTTTGAGTTGTGTGACACATGCAGAATTGTCTTCAAATATTTTTGTTGGCTCTTTCTCTGTAATATTCCACTTGATTCTTGTATGTGATGAGTCATAGACCGGAGCCACACACACTCTCTACATGCTTCATGGAGAGCAATAGTTTCTGCATAATTTGAAGACGTTGCAACCAAAGTTTGCTTTTGCGAACGCCAGGAGACCGCGGTTCCACCAATTGTGAAAACATAACCTGTTTGTGATCTAGCTTTGTGTGGATCTGATAGATATCCTGCATCAGCAAAACCAACTAAAACACATTTTGAGTTTTTAGGATAAAATAATCCTAAATCAATTGATCCTTGAAGATAACGAAAAATATGTTTTATTCCATTCCAATGTCTGCGCGTAGGGGACGAACTATATCTTGCAAGCAGATTAGTAGCGAATGCTATATCTGGTCTAGTGCAATTTGCAAGATACATTAGTCCACCAATAGCGCTCATGTAAGGTACTTCAGGACCTAACACTTCCTCGTTATCCTCACAAGGACGGAATGGATCCTTTTCAACATCAAGAGATCTATTAACCATTGGAGTACTCAAAGGAGTTGCTTTGTCCATATAAAAGCGTTTTAACACTCTTTTAGTGTAATTTGACTGATGCACAAATATACCATCTTGGAAATGCTCTATCTGGAGCCCAAGACAAAACTTTGTCTTTCCAAGATCTTTCATTTCAAACTCTTCTTTCATATGAGTTCTTGCATCATCAATTTCCTTTTGAGTTCCAATCATGTTCAGGTCATCTACATATACAGCAATAATCACAAATCCTGACGAGGATTTCTTAATGAATACGCAAGGGCATATCGCATTGTTGACGTAATCTTTACTCAACAAATATTCACTTAAGCGATTATACCACATGCGTCCGGACTGTTTTAGTCCATAAAGTGATCGCTGTAATCTGACCGAACAGATCTCCTTAGCCTTTGATTTCAAATCCTCAGGCATTTTTAATCCTTCTGGGATTTTCATATATATCTCATTTTCAAGAGATCCATATAGATATGCTGTCACAACATCCATGAGATACATTTCAAGATTTTGAGACGCTGCTAAGCTCATCAAAAATCTGAATGTTATGGCATCCATTACTGGGGAATATGTTTCTTCATAATCAATTCCCGGTCTTTGAGAAAAACCTTGAGCCACAAGTCGGGCTTTATATCTTGTGACCTCATTTTTCTCATTTCTTTTTCTTACAAAAACCCATTTGTGCCCGACGGGTTTTGTATTCTCAGGAGTTGTGACAATAGGTCCAAAAACACTTCTTTTATTGAGGGAGAGTAATTCAGCTTGGATGGCCATTTTCCATTTCTCCCAATCAGGTCTTTTCAGACACTCTGATATTGTTTCTGGATCTGGATCATCACTTTCATGATCAATTCTTTGTATACAGAAAAAGAGAATATTCCATCATCATCTTCTATTTCATTTCTTGTCCATACTTTTCCATTTTGGGCGAAGTTGATGGAAATCTCAAATTTTTCTGTATCATGTTCGTCTTCTGGACGAATCTCTTTCTCTGGTTCTTCAAAAACCAGTTTGTTTATGTCTTCTAGGACATATTTCTTTACAAGGTTCTTCTTGAACCTTTTCTCCCAAATTCTTTTTCTTTCGGGGATTTTTATCTTTAGAGCCCATCGGCCTCCCCCTCTTTAATTGGACTTTGGGTGCATTTGCTATGCTTCCATCATTTTGTTCCTTAGAACATCTATCTTTGATGGAACGTTTGCAGCGGGTATATATGATTTCGTCACTCTTTTTGTATCTGTGAACGCGTCTGGTAATTGATTTGCCATATTTTGTAAATGTATAATTTTCTGAACTTCCAATTCGCGTTGTTTTGTCGGGGGATCAAAGTGTAACAAATTCGGTGTACACCATGTGAGGTCTTTTGGAACCTCTTTAATTCCTCCCCCTAACGCTGGAAATTCATCTTCATTAAAATGGCAATCGGCAAAACGTGCCGTAAACATATCACCAGTTTGAGGTTCAAGATACCGAATAATACTCGGTGACGTATACCCAACGTATATTCCCAATCTCCTTTGTGGCCCCATTTTTGTTCTTTGTGGCGGTGCTATCGGAACATAAACCGCACAACCAAAAACACGGAGATGGGATACGTTTGGCTCCTGACCAGATGCCAATTGCAATGGGGAATATATATTATAAGCACTTGGTCGTATTTGGAGCAACGCTGCAGCATGCAAAATAGCATGACCCCATATAGAAATTGGGAGTTTTGTTCTCATTATTAACGGTCTTGCAATCAGTTGCAACCGTTTAATCAAAGACTCAGCCATGCCATTTTGTGTATGGACATGTGGAACCGGATGCTCAACATCGATTCCCAATGACATGCAATAGTCATTAAAGGCCTGTGAAGTGAATTCACCAGCGTTATCTAATCTCACTTTCTTAATAGTATAATCAGGGAACTGTGCTCTCAACCTGATTATTTGGGCAATGAATCTTGCGAAAGCCGTATTTCGTGTTGTCAAAAGACACACATGTGACCATCTACTTGATGCGTCAATTAATACCATAAAGTATTGAAACGGTCCGCATGGTGGGTGAATAGGCCCACATATATCACCGTGTATTCTCTCTAAGAACACAGGGGATTCATTCCCAACTTTCGCTGGTGATGGCCGAGTTATGAGTTTTCCTTGAGAACATGCATTACATATGAACTCGCCCGTTTCTAAAATTTTCCCGTATTTCAACGGATGGCCATTTGAGTTTTGCACAATTTTTCTCATCATGACTGAACCTGGATGCCCTAGCCTTTCATGCCAGATTTTGAATGTACTAGTAAACTTCGGGTTTACTGTAACATATGATTCAGTCAGAGTAATATTTGTGCAATATAATCCGGAGGACATCATTTTCAATTCTTCCAATATTTGTCCCTCCGATTTGATGCAAAGGATTTCAATGCCATTCTTATTTATAGTCTCTATGTGATATCCATTTTTACGGATATCTTTGAAACTTAATAAGTTTCTATAAGACTTCGGGGAATATAATGCATCATTTATTTCAAACTTTGTTCCCCTTGGCATTGAAAAATTGGCTCTTCCAGAGCCCAATATTATTTTTGCACCACCAGAAATGGTATTCACGCTTTCAACGGAATCTTTAATTTTGAGACCGGAGAAATATCTTTTATCTTTGAGTATTGTGTGCGTTGTAGCACTGTCTGCAAGACACATATCTCCATCACGAGTCTCAAATTTCGTCATTTCTGGATTTAACAAAGATGCATTAATAAGTATTAAACAATACAAAGCTTATATCACAAGATACAAAATACCACATTAAAAACTATTTTACAACAAAAAGATCAAACTTTTAGGTTATCTTATTCAGGAAGATAACTATGTATATCATGTCCTTTTAGTCGTCTGTTTTTCCGTTGATCTCTTCGGAGTCAACCAGAAAATCTGAAACATCAAGATGAGTATCATCGTTTAGGCCGTGAAAGGAAGGACCGGGTTCATTGGAGATGAAGTTAGTCTCACTTTCTTTCTCCTTTGCTTTTTGTGATTCCCGGTACAGATCGGCTAAGTGTCTGGGTGTACGACAAGTACGCTCCCAGTGATTTTTCATGCCGCATCTGTAGCAAACACTTTCTTTTTGCTTTTTAGAATCTCGGCCGTAATCATTTGCTCGAGATCTTTTATATTCCTTTCATTGTTGGACTCGTCGGGACGGTACTCTTTTCCTTGTCCCCGACCACGTCCACGGCCACGGCCACGACCTCGGTTTCGACCGTATCCACGTCCACGTCCTCGTCCATTATTTTGGCTGGACGATGCTACATTCGCTTCTGGGAATGGAGCAGCTCCAGTGGGACG